CAATATTGAATACCGTTAATGTACATACTGTCTGAGTAGGTTTGGTGTGATTTCTGGTGGGTCAGCAATATCAAATAGTGTTAATGTAAAAAACTGATGTTCCTCCACGGAAAAAAGAAACACTTTTCGGACTATTTTTCAGTTTTCGACCCCTGCGAGCGATGGGCGTTAGTTAAGGGTCAAGATGAGCACAATTCTAATCGCCAGATCAAGGGTTACCTATGACAAGAAAAATCGTCTCGATCGGAGGGTACAGTATTTCATTAACCTCGACGAAAAATCTAGACTTTATTTACGCGTTTATTACACGTTTCGATCTAATCTTCCCAATACCATGTTTACGAGCTCACCCACCAAACAAGAATCGAAATAAAAACTAAAACTAGAAGCCAACCTGTTCACGCATCAGGTTATGTATGTTTATTTCGAGTCGACCATTCAGAGCAACGTAGTCGAAAGAAAAATGGTAAAAACTCGTCGGCCTTTCGACCCGATCGTTTCCAATGGTCGCTCGAACGCGTCTCGATTCAAATGTCGCGCAAGCTCCCGGTGTTTTTCCTACGGCGCATCGTACGAAATGCCGTCTCAAAAATAGATCCGTGCTTATTTTGGTGAATCGGTCGTCTCCCTTCCTCCCCGTCGCAGGCTCCCCGTCCCGATTCCACTTCCTTTTTTCCCTTCGTTTTTTATTGTCTTCGTGCACCGTTCCGCGGTGTCATGCACCCAGAGTTCGGTTTATTATTACACACGGCGATTCCCTCGTCCCCCGTGGACGCGATGCCTGCCTCTACGTCCTCGCGGGGGTTATTAAGACTCGCGACAGAGAGCACCTCGAGAGCCCTGAACTTCAGAGGCTGGATGCTGACTGACTCAAGGTCGGCCTGAATCGGAACCGGCCAACCGGTTTTTCGGAGAAGATTCGGAGAAGTAACTTAAGGTTACGCCTCCGCCGGGCACGTCGAAACGGTTTAAATCTGGTTACCAGGCTGTTCATTGTGAATTAAATGGCCGATTCGGCCCCTACGGCCACGGCGAATTTATCTTCCGAACGAGAGAAGCGTCTACACGGCGTTTCTCGTTGTATTATTCGCACCTCGCGTTTAATAAGACGCAAAGGGGTCGTAACGAGACATTAATAAGACGTAAAGATGTCATTGTGCCGAACAAAAGGGCTCGAATTAACACGTCCACGGACAGATACACTAGAAAATGTTCAACCGCGACGAAATTTACTGGAAGCTCCGTAACCGAACATTTATTGTGTCATTTATTCGGTAACTTCGTCGAAGTCGTTTTCTTTGACGCTCAACTTTCGAAATTAATATCGTTAGTCCGTAAGCGAACAAACACTAATATATGGCTGACGTGGCGACCAACGTGCGCTATTCTTCGAATAGGAAACTACTCGAAAAGGAATTCGCATATTTACGAATCGATACTCCTAATTATTCGCGTGAAATGATTACGCAACGCGGGTGATATGAAAGAAATCGTTTAGATCCAGAGTATCTGGTATTCGTAGGGGGCGACAGAACCGGATACACGGGGTGTTAGAAAGTGTAGCGGAAATAGGGCGTCAGGGGACATTAATTAATTCCCATGTCTTCGGGTATTCGGTCAACACTTCGCCTCGTTCGCACGCACGCACGCCAATTCGGATTACGGAACGGGGATAGGCTCCAACCTTTCGGCGGAAAAGCTCGATTTCTCTCCCAGGGTGCGTCGATGGAATCACCAGAAGCGCCAAGTAGACGAAAATTAGATCTGCAATGATTACTCAACGATATGCGTCGGAATCGACGTTTTCTTTTTCTTATCTTTCGAATCTCGAGAACCTGTTATTTTCCTCGGTGGCACTAGGTAATTTGACCAACGACTGCATCGGTATTTCGTCTAACATTGAACGGCTCTGAGAACGGTTCGCGTGGCTACTTATCGCTGGAAGACATTAATGTTTTGAGGCAGCCCCGCGCGAACGACGAGGACGGGGAACTGGTCGTGCGAGCACCGGCGGGAAAAGGAAAGAGAATCGATAGATAGCGAGCGAAAAGTGGTTTGGAAGAAATGCTGAGTGGTCGGTTACACCGGTTACGTGGCGTCGGTGATAAAAATCTTTTTAAAGAGGCCCGTTGTTATGTAACTTTACTATCGCGAGCGGTTTCCGAGCTTGCAAGCCGAGACCGGATACTCGCGAACCGTAAAATATCACTGCGCGCGGCCAGCTAGCGGAAACTTTGTTGTTAGAGCATACAACGGGACGGACGGATCGTTTCTACGCGGATAAAACGTTGAAACTTGCGCTATTTCGAGACGTCGGCCTATTTGAGGTCCTATCGGTACCACGTATCGGTACGTTTGGTAACGATAAACGTGTACCAAACGTATCTTTCGTTTCAGAATACTGGCCGACTTCGATTTCCGTTTGGCGCTAATTGGACTGACAAGAGGACGCTTTGGTTACTCCGAAGGCGAAAGAAAGAGATACGTGTCCTGGCGCTTGATCGAGCGGGCCTTAGTTTCGGAGTATAATAAATTTGTGAAAATTGAAATTTATTGCATTTTTTTTTATTTTTTTTTCTTTTTTTTTTGATAATACTGACATCGTATGCAAATTTTCGAAGTAGAAATTATATTATCACGTTACGAACGTTACGGTAAATTTCATTTCCAGATACATTTAATTCAAGTAGTAATATTCGTAGCGGTATATTTTTCATATTTTTTTCTCTTTTTTTAATTTTGTAATTAAAAGATCACGTTGCGACGTTCGTTTACTCTTCCTCCTCTTTTACTAATTATTTTAAAAACCAGAAATCTAAAATACCGTTAATATTATTTCCAACGAAATTTTAAACTTGAACGATCGAAAATTCGAATACGTTACCTTTCTATCATTATTATTACTTTAAATATCGCTACTTGAATTAAAAGTCTCTTAAAATTAACTTTACAATAACGTTCGTAACGCGATAATATAATTTCTACTTCGAAGATTTACATACTATATCGTCGATAAAAAGAAAAAAAAAAAGGAAGAAAAAAATGAATATTGAATTTTCACAAATTTATTACGGCGAAACTAGAAGCCCTATTCAATCGAATGCCGGGGCACGTGCCTGTCTTTTTTCACCTGCGGAATAATCAACGAAATTGGCATCGAGATCCCAGCGCGAGATACCCGAGCTTCTCTCCTGTTGCCGACAAGAATCCGAGAGTCTAAGTAAACAGTTCGTGAGTTTCTGCAAAGTAACTATTTTACACGCTAATTTCAGTGTACTCTAGCGAAAGATTCCGCACAAGCTACGGTATACGTTGAATTATTCAGGCGTGACAGATCAATCGGCGACGAAGTCACAGACGTAAGCTATTTTTTCAGCTCGAATCAGCTGAACGTGGCACCGAATCGTACCGCGCTAAAATCGTAGCACCTCGAGTGCTGGATCGGCGATTTCTGTTTGTCGAGTCCCTAGAAAACACGGAGGCGCCGTTACGCCGAATTGTTACCGCGATAATTAATAAGCACGCATTAATAACGAGGACGATCCGAAGCGAGGAGAATCGTCACGTCGTCGAGGACAAATTATTATTTCAAAGGCGTGTCGCTCGACGCAACGAGAATGCAAACGACGAACAATGTCGAAAGGTGACGAGAAGATTAATACAAACTCTTCGGCTGCTGATCGACGAGTCACGGTATACCGGGATATAAATAAAATTACCAGCTTCCTTTCTTTTCTTTTCTTTTTTTTTAACGACTTCTTTTCGGTCCGAACTTTACCTCGAGGCGCTAACAATTATCGACTATTTTTCTTTTACACCATTTAGTAGTACGATGGTTAGATCACAAGAATCGAAGTTTTAATGTTAGAAATCCAATAATGCGAGGCCATGTCCGTCCGGAACGTTTTATCCAACGCTCCGTTCATCGATTACGTAGAGAATGACATTAAAATCTCGTAAAACATGTTACGAAAATACTGTCCGAGTAGGTTTGGGGTCTGATTGACCAACGGAGCGTCGGTACAAGCTAATGCGACAAAAGTCCTCGGATTTAGACGATTTAGATCGATTTCAGATTTAGATTTTCAAACCGTTGTATTCCTAATTATGAAATCTTATGAATACTTGTGAATTCTAGGCATCGAAAACTACTGAACGGTAACAACAAAAAAAAAAAAAAAGAAATAAAGAAAATGTCAATAAATGTGGGGTGACCCGAAGTAAAGTTCAACCTCTTCTTGTATACGTCATTTTAAATAATAGAACGGTTATCGTAGTGAAAGTGAATACTCGGGGATATACAATTTCGTTGGTAACGACATTCGCGCTGATCGAATTCCGTTTAATTCCATATTCGGCCAGTGACTCGTCGATACAACACCCTCGATAAGTATAACCCAATTGCTTACCGACGAAATTGACGTGGAAACGTAGATACGCTACTTCCTATTTGCTCGTTACGGGGACAGGCAAATTTGTGTCGAATTAAAACACGCGGCGATTCATTCGAACGGCGATGGTCTAAAAGCGACCCGTCTCGAATAATTTCTCTCGGTTTAGAGAAAATCACGGTTACGAGACTCGAGGTTCTCGTGTGCTACTCGACGAGTAGAAGTACTCCGACTCCTCGCGTAGAGCCAGACGCGTTACGATACGTCGAACTACATAGGCGGCCGATGGAAAAAGGCGCATCCGGACGCGACTGACATTGGTCGAGTATGTTGCCCCGTGAAAAATAATGGAAAAGGAGACAACGCAGCTTCTATCGTGACTCGTCGTATTTAATTGTGGTACCCCGTCTCTCGTGTGCACGCGTTCCGAAGAGGAGGTCACCGCGGCGAAGGTGAAACGTTCCTCTTTGTTGTTATTTATTCCTCTTTCGAGGAGTTGCACGCGGTGCAACCTTCAGGGCGGAGTCCAGATGGCCACGCTCTCGAGATTAGTCATGCCAGTCGTCTACCTGGAAGCCGTAGCTTCTGTTCGTCTTTCAACTAGCGTCCTGGAATCTTCGACAAAGGGAAACTTTCCTTCAAATAATTCAAGCTAAGACAGTTCGTTTTAATTTTGTTAAAAACGAGGCGAAGGTCGACGGGTTGAAAGGCGTTTTTTTTTTTTCCACCTCCCTGCGACGGGGTTGCACGGCACTTCGAGGTCAAGAGTCGGTGACTAAACAACGACCCATAATCTGGGCTCGCCGTGCCCCCTCGAACAGAGCTAAAAACGTGGAAGACGGGTTCTCGCGTTATAGAGTAAACGAGACCCGACCGACGAACAATGCGCAGCTTTTTCTCTTTTTCTCCTGGTTCTTTCTCGGCTGTTTCCTAGAAAGATAGTTAACCGACAGGTTCGCGGAATCGCGAGGATATCTTGTAATCTTTTACGAGCCACTCGCACGATATTTCCTTGCGACCATTCCTCACGAAATACGCGATTAAGGGGGTATCCTGAATTAAAAGGTCTAAAGAAAAGCGGTTTTACGTGAATTTTTTTAGGATGGAAAAATTACGGAGGATTAGGATGGAAATTAATTCCGTCGAACTTTTTCTGGACTGGATTCGAATATTTCTTGTTGAACGAATTTCTACGGACTACTTAAATACGTACGAGAATAGGATAAAAAGTTCGATAGAATTCATTATTTTGTTTCCACCCTGAAAAAATTCACGAAAAACCGTTTCTCTTTGAACCTCCTGATTCAGGATACCCCCTTAATCGTTCGAAAACCGCTGTCCGATGTATCTTCGATTTCTTTAAAAAGACATCCTTTAAAAATAATTCCATACTCGATTATCCAGATTCTTCGAAAATGCAGTAGTATTGATGCGCGTGTTGTGTAACATTATAATATTATACGTGTAATTCTTCGTCGAAATTTTGGAAATATTGCCGCCTTGATTCATCGAGGTGCCGTTCGAACGATCGATAATAATCGTTTAACGAAGGAGTTCGACTTGTCGATGTCGGATAAGCGTATCGCAACGGGTACGACAGTTCGACGTCGTTGTCGATCGTGACGTGCAGGTGTCGATGTATCGATACTCGATCGTACCGACCAATTCGAATGCGCGATGGATCCTAAAAGGACGCGCTACGACTTCGACCGTTTTATTCTTTTTAAAGCGCAAGAAATTTAGTGCCGCCTGGTCGATATTTATTCAAGTCTGCTCATTCTCCTTGCAATTAAAGCGATTCGATAAGGAAGTGGTATGGAGTAATCGTCGTAAAATATAGCCGTCATTCGTACAAGGAAATCGTTAAAATGCTGCGAGTAGATACTTGGACGAATTCGTTTCTTTCCATTATTTAAATATTTTTTCTTCCTTGCTTATAGGGATGCATCGCGAGAACACGTACTGAAAGTATAATGGACGATTCGAAACCGACCTTGGCTGACCAATGACATCTTTATCAAAGCAGTTAAATCGTTAATCGTCCATCGAACCAGACAACGATTCTGTGAGTTCTTCGAACGTCGCCTTAATAAATTCGCTTGACCCTTTTACCGAACTTCCACTTGCACGTGGTCAATTATAGTTCTCTGTGTATCGACTTCTACATACGTATACAGTCAGTGTAACAATTAGACTGCGGATTTTGATGCATTTATAAGAAATTTGAACGTCCGAGAGTCTACAAAATGCACGCAACATGCAAGAATATGAAAAAAGATCGAAAGTAAAGTTCGTGTTACGATATTTGCAGAATAAAATAAATTCTTATTTAGGTCCGATTGTTTTAGGCACGTTCGCGAAGATTTTATTTTGCACAAAGACCCGCAGTCCAGTGATAAGTATACGTACAGGAAACAATTTAAAATAAAACATCGTATTCCATTCCAGTAATAAATTTTAGGGGAAGAAATAATTAACCAGCATTCCCACATATTTTTACGGTAGAATTTGCGCGAATTAAAGTTTATTATTATCACCGTTAACCTCTTGTTTCTTTTCACGTTAATTTTATTTCAAATTGGCTGCTGCACGAATACTTCTTACACCGGCTGTGTATACCAACAACTAAACGCGCCAACTTCGAAAACGTTCCATGGCGAATACTTAATCACGGGCAAGTGGAAGTAAATATAAAAACAAATCGCAAAGAAACGTAACTCAAGCGCGGTTCCTTTGCGACCGAAAATATCACGCGTTGCAGAACAGTCACCTCCGGACCGTCGCGAGCACGATTTTGCAAAATAAATTCCGGACAAAAACGACCCCCGTCGATTCGCGAGAAAAAGATGTTCGCAGTTTCGCAGACCACCTCGTGGCGCATCCACGGCGATCCGTGCATCTCCTAATAAAACCGAGAGATGTTTGCAATTTCGTATCAGTGACTCACGTTGCAGATGTCAATGGCATGAAGCACGGGCTTGTGCTTGGACAATTATCCAAGAAACATCGAAAGCTTTATGTCGCCTCTTTCAGATTGTGCAGAAACGGAACGGAGAATCGGATAAACAAACATTCCGTGCCCCACGTCTTCGTCCTCTGACGGTTAATTCAAATCCGAAGCGAAACTTTGCTGAAACGAACCCTACTCTTACAGATTTCTTTGTACGTGGAGACGAACGTTTGTTAAAAAAAAAAAAAAAAGAAAGAAAAAAAAGGAAAAGAAAAAACCATTGAAAAAAAATTCTAAATTTGTTTCCAGGAACACTAGAAGCTCCCCGCTCGAGGCCACGTGACAATCGGAGCAACGTACCGAAATCCTTTTAACGCGCCGAAGAGATACGATTAAACTTACTCTGTGCTCGATCGCTCTCTGAAACGTGACCGCTGCGTCCACCCGCGGGAACTGGTCACATCACGAAACAAAGGCTCGCACTTGCGAAATTTTTAGGGATCGTCGCGTTAACGAGTCCCCGACGTACTTTTACTTTTGTTTGTCTTATTCCGGTTGGAGGCCGAGCGCCGACAGTCGACTATCGACGTGCACCTGGATGACACCTGGAGAACTCGTTCCGGCGATCCTCGAGGCGCCTTTTGTGTTCGTCTCTGGAGCGTAAACTTATGCGGTTCTTGTGTGCACACGCCACGGTGTAACACACGAAACTGCCGGCTTAAAGGAACTCTCTGTGCCGTAGAAAGAAGGTGGTGGAGGAGAAAAGGAAGGCGCACGAAGGCACAACAGAGAAGGAGAGGCCATTCCCTCCGTGTGACCGCGTGTTTGTCTGCACATGCAGAGGCGAGTGTGTTTGTCGTGTTTCGACGGGCAACCGTGCACTGAGCGTCGGTCTCTACGGGAGACCCGCTTCTTTTCTTCGTTTTTCTTTTTTCGGTGAATTTCAAAATCACGAGGAAATCACCGGCCGCGTTGTTCCCGCGTAGACGCATAGGGGGGTAGATACCGGTCGCGCGGGCGCCGTTTAGGTTCGTCGTTACGAAATCGTGGCGAAATTAGTAACGTTTGGAAAGAGGCGGTGCTCGCGGGTCGCGCGCTCGGAAGTAACCTATGGCGGGTGGCGATGGTTACCGAGGCAAATTTTTGGGGAACGTTTCGTAATCTTTAGCGCGTGTAAAGGGTTTCCTCCCTAGCAGAGGGAGGTGAGATTTTGTTCGGATCGTGGATAGCGAATCGATATAAAGTTTTATGCGAGAGTCGCTGGTTCGTACAGTTACACGTTTTAATATTCGGACACTGGTATTCGCGAAATTGAAGCTTTATATACTTACTTGAAATTTACTTGACGAATTTTCTTGTCTGTAATGGGTTAAAGCAAATATTCTAGTTTCCAAATATGTAAAATTAATTGTATTACATTATATTTATTATATTGTTTTTCGCGTAATAAACCGTAAACGAAATTAGATTCGATATTGGCGTAGAAAAAATATTCGGACACTTAATATTACATAATGTTTTTTCTTATTTCGGAGTACATAAGAATAAAATTATGATAATATTAATATTTCGTGGGATATCCCTTTTGGATATCTGTAGAAGGATGTAAGACATTCGGACAAGCGTACAATAAATATTCTTGGACTATTCTTGATTTGTGCTTCCGATTACTTTTTCGACGTTAATATTGGGTTTAATTTCGTTTACGATTTATCGTGTGAAAAACAATAAAAAGTAAAGTAATCAATTTGACATATTTGTAAACCAGAATATGTGCTTTAACTCATTACGGGCCAGAAAATTCGATAATCACATTTCAAGTAAGTATAGAAAGATGTAATTTCGGGAAAACCATAACGTCCGAATATTAAAACGAGCAACTGTGCGTGTCGGTAATTCAAAGAATCGTAAACGTCACGCGAGCTTGTCGCACTCGTTGCTTTTCTAATTGATTTAAATTACCTGGCACGTGAACTCCGTTTAAAACGCTGATCGATATCTAACGGCGAGGCGAAGAAAAAGGACGTAAACATCATATAGTACACAAAGGAAGCGTTTCACGAGGCAATCTGGATGAATGGAAAGGCGCGCGCGCGCGCGCGCATTTCCTTTCGTCGAATAAAACGTTTCTCCCTAACGACCTAAGTGCACTTCCTGCATAATTGACCGCACTCGACTTCGTTGCGCTTCCGCAAATTTACCGAACCTTCCAAGAATTATGGCACGTTTCTTTAAAGAAATCGGAACGAGTCGAGCGTATCGTAGCGAAAGATAAATATACAAAAAATTAAAAAAAAAAAAGAAAAGAAAGAAAAGAGACGAGGGTACGTAGGATCGTGTTCCTCGGGTATATCATTTAAATGTGCAACAACGATGGGATTGTTGCTCGATTGCTGTTACGTAAGATCAAATGCCGCGGTAATCGGCTGGAAACGTGCAACTTTAGATTAGGAAGCCAAAGTGTGCATCGCCCTTACGTACTGTAATTTACTTATAGCCCATTCTTCCGTGTCGGTTATAGCCACGAGTACATCCACGTCGTGCTACCTGCCTGACTATCGAAACGCGTCCGTACGCTGTTACGAACAAAAAATATCGTTTATTTTCTTATTTTTTTTACTTTACGAACTTCGTGAGATTCGTGTTAAATGATTTCGTGAAATCGTTACGATGAATTCGTGTGAACGGTAATCGAAATGATGCTGGCAAAACGCTGGCAAAAAGTTTCAGAAAACGATGGAAATTATTTTATCGATTATAGTATTCGAGATTTCTTTAATGAACGAATGTTGATACAATTTTACGATACAGGGCTTTTTAAACTTGTTTCATGACCCCATTCGTGATTGTGATTCTTTTTCGCAACCCCAAAGAAATATAAAATGAAGATATTCAAATGTTTCGCGATGATTGAATGATTAGGTAATATTTATATACGTATGTGTATGAAAAAATATAGATTTAGAATTGGTTTAAAAACGTACGAAAATATAATATTAAAAATTGCATTTATTATAGTTACAAAAATTATATACCCTATTTTTCATAAAAACTGCATTTTTTTGCAATAACATAAATAAAAGGGAATATTAAACATTTCACATTAAAGTCTCGCAAACCTATAGTTTAAGAAGCCCCGTCCTAATACGTCAAATGTTATTTTTACTTCAAAGAGAAAACTTCGAACGACTCGACGCGACTTCTTATCGGCGAAGTTTGTTTAGTGCCATTTAGTCCGTAAGGGTAGAGGTGACCAAGTTCAGGCTGAATCGTCACGCAGAGCTAATTTACACGTAATTTACCCTAATCGAGACTGGATCTCGGTGGCTGCCGAAATGAATCTTCATTACGTCACCGGCCGGCTTCTTCGACGATCATTTATTTATGAAAAGTAACCGACTCGCGGCACGACCCCTCGCGCTAAACCGGTATTAAGGCTGCATCGTCTGCACTCGGCTTAATGTCAGCCGAGCAAGTTGGCACGAAGTACGATAAATGCCACTTTCGCCCTGGAATAACCTATAGCTCTCGGGTATCCCCTACTTTGCAGTAATAATTGACAACATCAAATGAGTTCTCGAGTTCTCGAGTTTTAAGTGCATGGTATATGTATTCCCATTTTGCGCTACTAAAGTAATACATTTTCCTATTTTATTTTCCATTACTTACTTTTCATAGGCTTCTTCATTGCTTCATATCGGCTTTTCGATACTTCGAACCCAGGCACTCAGTGTGGTACGCGGCTACGCTAATCACTGCTCCGTTTGTCCGCCTCTACCTGACATCGAATGATAACGCAATTTTTAAGCGTTACTTCAAGTACGATTCGTTCATTTATTTAAAGTGCGTAACTTATTGTACAAAGTTATTGCGCTACTGCTTACTTATTTCAATCTTATTTCCATTCTTCTTGTCATCGTCTTACATGACCCCTGCATTGTTTCAATTCTGTTTGCAGTATAGTTGGAAGAATTGTGTACAAATATAGCCGTGTTATGAATTTTAGCGAAAATATGACTGCGTCGATGCGTTCCCCGTGTCTGGCCTTCTTTTCCGGATTCAAGGCTCGTTTTCTAATTATGGTACTGACTTGTATCGTAACATACGTTCGTTCACCCATTCATTTATTTGTTACTGATAGCTTATTCCCACTCTTCTTGTCATCGTCTTACACGACTCCTGCATTGTTTTGATACCGTTTGCGGTATCTCTTACTTCTCATCTATCGGGGCTTGGTGGTCCAGCTCGGGTACCTCGGGGTTCCTAAGCCCGTACTGTAGCTACAAACGCCGCTACAGCCCCCGAGGGCTACTTCAAGTACCTAAAAAATCCCTAGAATAATTATCGAAGCGAGTAAAAATCCAAGGAACCGTTCGACTACTAGCAAAGGTATTTTATTCTTCCATATCTACCTTGTTTCACTCGAACAGTGAAGCACCATAACCGCGATACAGTTGATACCGCAACAGGATAGCAATTTTTATTTCGCGAAGATAAGATTGCTTGGAGCGAGAAAGAACGATCGTATATCATTCGGAAGTATTTAAAGATTACAGAATCGTATTGTTTCCTCGGATCGTTACAAACAATTCATCGAAACGATTCCATTATCGTAGTTTTCATCGCGTTGCGAACGACGCATGGAAACCCCGATTCGATATCAGCCTAGGATAAATTGCTCAATTATCCCCGAGCAATTTAGATACATTAGAGGACGAGATACATTTCTAAGTAGCCAAGCAGGACGTTGTCGTTTACTTGTATCGCGAACTCTGGAAACAATTTCCTGCTTTCGCAGACAATTACCGGTGACTCGCGATTCCTGAAGGCTTCGCGCAAGCAAAAAGTACTTCCGAGGTAATCAGCTTTCCATCATTAATCTTGCGACAACTGCGGCACCGCAGGAATCCCATATAACGAGATGAAATAACTGAATATCCGCGTTTCCTTTTCGACTGGGTTGATCCTTCGTTACGATACAATTACGAGCGGCGATACTCGAGTTCGGTTGAAACCTCGTCGAGACCCGATCGTCGCCCGCGACAAATACGCGAATCGTGCGATTATCGCTACCTGATATCGAACAGGCGTTCGTTTGTAATACGTAGTAATTTCGCGTCGAGAATTTCGAAGACTTTTATTGAACATGGGAGTCCGAAGTAATTAATACGCTTCGTATATTAAAAGAAATAGACTTTATTTCACGCGACGGCAGGAAGGTTCCTTTCATGAAGAGATCTCATGCTCGACTGACTAAACTTCGACACACAGAAGGATATCAGGATCCTCTCGTATCTCCCGAGTGTTTAGGTTTCACGTCGCCACAGTTCGGCTCTTAAGGGCGGTGTCCTGAATTAGGAGGTCTAAAGAAAAGCGGTTTTTCGTGAATTTTTTTAGAATGGAAAAAAATAATTCTATCGAACTTTTTATCCGATTTTCATACATATTTGAATAGTCTGTACAAATTTGTTCAACAAGAAACATCCAAAATTGAGTCGACTGTGACGAACATTTCTAGAGCAGCTCGCAATTAAAACCTCCTATCGGCGGGAAAGATGCAGATCGTAATTTTGGTTTGACACCAAAAGAATTAAAAGAAATTTTCATTTTCACACATTCATCTTCTATGCGAACTAAGAAAAACCCGCAGAAATGGTGAAATGTGAAATTACTGCAAGTTTGAAAAAAAGAACGAGTTCTTTGGGTGAAAGAAATCACTTTAACTTGATAAAAAAGTTGTATAAAACTTTTTTGTATGACATTTCTTAGTTCACATAGAAGAAAAATGTATGAAAGTGAAAATTTCTTTTGGTTTTTTTGTGTCAAACTAAAATCACGACTTGCATCTTTCCCGCCGATAGGAGGTTTTGATTTTGAGCTGCTCTACAAATGTGCGTCACAGCCGTCTGAATTTGAATACTTCTTGTTGAACAAATTTCTACAGACTACTCAAATATGTGTGAAAATCGGATAAAAAGTTCGATAGAATTAATTCTTTGTTTCCATCGTAAAAAAATTCACGTTTTTTTAGACCTCCTAATTCAGGATACCCCGCTTAAAACAAAGTATCGACAGCGATACGTAGAAGCGAAACGCTTCGGAGAACGCCGCGCGCCGCGCCGATTCAATTTTGACAACGAACGATAAGTTCGTTCTTCGCGAAGCGTATCGATAATCCAACAACTTTCAAGAAAACGGGAATTTCGTGGGCTCGAGGTGGTTTCGGAAAAAGTTTAATCGTCACCGGTTGACTCACTCGTTCCCACGTAATTGGACAATTTCATCGCCGCGGTGGTCCCGTTCCACGGCACGCGAATGTAAAGAGCAGATCGATTATCATTCCACGCGTGTTCTATCTAGTACTACGATAAATACCGCTAGCGTAGTTTTGTGACCGTTAGACAGACGAGCGAGACATGACCACCGACGATCGATGCCGCCGCCAATTGTGCCCTCCTTTTCCGATTCGTCGCCCTCTCGACTCGACTATCAATTTCACTACGAAAATAGTAAAAAAAAAAAACCTTCCGATTTGGTGAATTATCGACAGAGCTATTTGAAGAAAACGACGTTCCTTCATTTTTTTGAAAAATTCGTAACTTACTTTTGGCTCAGTAGAGAAATCTGCAGAAATTCAGAAGGAAGTATCGGGTTGTCCAGAAAGTTCGTGGCAATTTTTAAAAAAAATTCAAAGGCACATTTAAATTTTGACGTACATTCGTTGAATTATATATGTACCATTTTGTTCTCACGACCATTTCACTTTTTAAGGGATGCAGCCACGTTAATTGTTTACAACCATTCCAATATAAACAGACGTGTACACCACCTATCAAAAATCGACACGGACTTTCAAGACGAACTAATATTTAGTAGATTGTGCTGTAGTATAAAAAAATTTCAGCCTAATCAGAAATGGTCGAGTCCAAAAATAGCCCCATATGTACACTCGCAAATCGATTCGAATGCATGAAACATTCATTCAAATTAGACAAATTTCTCCGATAAATATAGTAGTCGCGAATATTTATGGGACTCGCCGTACACTTATCCTTTTACCTGGACAAAAGTCACCGCAAGTGGTCGAAGGAAACTATAAACGGTCTCCGTAAAACGTTCACAACGTTTCAAATTTCACAAATTTGAAACGGGTCGAGGTGACTACTCCGCGAGTCTAGCGTGAACATTGATCGTTCGTTCGAATAAACTAACCCATTTTTCGTTCGCATATTCCGCGCGACCAACGAGAACGAATTTTTCAGACGGGCGTCTTTCTCGCTCGCAGCGCGCTGCATCAGCGAAACGAAGTCTTGGCCAGGAATAAACTTCGCCCGTGCAAAAATACTGCCAACGAGCGCGAACGGGTCCGCGTGGAGGGTTGCGGCGCGGAATTTTTCGAGAGCGCGCATTTTCTTCGGCGGGACGGCTCGCGACGGAAAACGAGCCGCGATAAAGTTTACAGCGCCGACTCCCGTGTATATTTATAGCTGGTCATTTCCACGGGGATCCTCCCATAATTCTCGGCCTGAACGATTCTGGACGTCGACGTATTCGTTTCGGCTTTTTCACCGACGGAGGAAACTTGTTCGCCGGGATTCGAGAGCGACCGTTTCTCCTCGAGGCTATCTATTCCAGAGATTTCCGAGAATATGTAGAATATGTCATTGTTTATAAAAAATAAGTTAATCAATTACAATTTTAGATAGTCTTTTTGGAAATTAATCGATGTACGAATACTTCGTACACCGTACATTGCGACAACGAGCAAAGCACCATAGCGTTCGAATGTTAACACCAGACACCGTATATTCTCGTACCGTAACGAATTCTCAGCTCTTCATATTTCATGATATCTCATGAAATGCTCGCCAAGGTCGCGAAATATGAATCTTTCAGTGATCGAATCCTCTTCAATAATGTAGCAACTTATGTCGTACCGTGTCTAGAGAAGTCCCCCTCCCGTCCTTCGACTAGCGGTTAACAACGTCTATTTTCATCCCGCAATTTGCATGGAAGTTCAAGTTGAAGCTGCTGGCCCATTGATCACCAGACGATCGTGCACCTCGAACACCATGTGTCAAGTTCACCGTGACGTAACGTCGACGTCTACATGGACGAATGACCGGTCGCGGAGGGGACGAACAGAAACCCGAGCAACAAACGCGTCTGAATGTACGTACAATGTTAGACACCGTTTCGATCGGCAACGCCGACTATAGGAAAAACCACCACCCACCCTCGAAACAACCACCCCTCGAGTGTCAGTAGCGTGCCGCCAGTTGTTGCTATTGCACGAGTGTCCGCCGACCGAGCCGAGTACAAGGTTGATCGCGTTACGCTCGTCGAAGCTCCGATAAGGATTTTTGTGCGATTCTTTCGGAGGGAGGGCACGCCGATAGCGAAGGAACCGGTCTATTCGCCGCCGAGAGTCGTTAGGCGATACCTGTGGACGCGGTCGAGTGATGGGACACTTTTGAACGATCCATGAAATCTCGAATGTAAGCGAACCGCTAATCGAGACGATTCTCGTTCTACGAAAATGAAAAGCTCTAAGCTCGATTCGGACTCTGGGAATGTTCGCCGCGTTTCCTCGGCACGCCGTGAATATTTCATTCTGGGAACCGAATGATACGAAATGTCAGGTTGTATCGACAGATCTTCGCGGTGCATACGATTACGAACTTGGCTTCGCCACATGTTTTTCGTTGAACTTTATGCGTTCTTAATGCCGCGTAAATATCGAGTGGCCGAGTTTTCGAGTTGCTCGATTTGTTAGTCCGGATATCGTCCCACTGATTCAAGGAATTTCGAGTGTAGATGAATTCCGTGGTACGAAAGTACGCGGATTAAGTTTCGCTACTTCCTGTTCGGTGGCGTTTATCCTTCAACTGTGGTCGCCTTGAAACAAATGGTATCATTTCCGGAGCGTTTCGTTCATCGAGTGTTAAAGTCGTTCTATACGCTCGTTAAACTTCGATGCGTTTGTCGCCGCGAAATAACCCGTCTAGGTATGTTTTTCTCGAACGAACCACGAAACCGCGGCACGCGCGAGTACGATTTTACCGTCGGCCTTATTGGCTTTCACTTTCAAAATCACGGTAAACTGGCGCGTTTACGTTAATTGTTGTAAAAAGGAAAGGTGCGAAATGAAAGGTGCAATATGAACTGACCGGAACGTAGTCGCGGAATAAACGAGTCCTGTGATCCGTATAAATCTCTCTGGTCCGTGTATGGAACACGTAAAGTGCACGCTTCGAAAGAAATGCTTTCAAACTTCGTTGATCGATCTATGTTAATGTGATAGGAAAAAAAAAATGTTCTCTTTTTATCAGTGGGAGCATTGAAGTGGAAATTTCTTCGTCGAATAAAGGTTTATGTTAGCTTTGGTTCGATTCATAATCGCGTTAATTTTTAATTTTTATAAACGAGGCAATTCAAGCCGTTTCCGCCCATTTTGGATCCGATCAGTTTTTAATTGGCTAAAATTCGTTCGTATCGTAGCAACCTACTGAATACCGTTTTGTGAATTTTTGCAGATTTTTGTACCGAACCAAAAAGCAAGATGTCCCTTTTTGAATGAACTTTACGAAAAAAAAAAAGAAATACCAAGACAAAATATTTGAATTCGTCTTCTATAAAATTTTCTTGATTTTTTTGGAAAAAAACTTTTCAAATTTCGACGCTTTCAATGTTATTCTTCTCTTACCCCCGCAAAACGTTGATTTTTTCCCGATTTTATGACGCGAGTACCGTCGCGGGTCCCTAATTTTTGTTTCCATTTTTTAATCGAAAGTACTATTTTTCATTTCTTCGCAATTATAAAGTTGCTCTCGTAATCAAATAATTTGAAATAAATAATATATCCGTGACGTTTAATATTTCTTATATTTTCAGTTCAATAGAGAAATCTGCAAAAAATCACAAGAAGGTATTTAACAAGATATTATAATATAAACAAATTTCAGCCAAACCAAAAATGTTCGAGATGACTTGGACCACCCTACGTGACGATTTATTTCTAAAGTTTCGTTGTACGTCGAGGGCTATTAACGCGGTTAACGAATACAAAATTTCTAGAATTCGTTATCGATTTACCTTCGTCCCTCAGTCGCGACGGAGTTATCGACGACGAGTTGCAATTTCTATGGAATCGCAATTAGTCAGCGGCTGAACTTTCGCTTCGATTATAGTAACGCGAAATTTCCATTCGCTAGGGACCTCCTACCGCAAGGAAAAGCGTGCAATTAACCGGCTTGTATTGTATAAATTTTCGTCGGATCCGCGCGTTCGCCAGAAACGTAAACGCTTTCACTATTGTGATCCGAGGAAAATGAACCATTTCGCCGTCAGTCTCGTCTCGCTGGGAGGCCCTTAATCGTTTCCGATGAAACGTGACGCGGCGAACGTTCCATGAGAATCACACGAATCGCACGTAATTCAATAGGGATTCGGTGAAAGCTCGATTATCGTTGTCCGATGCTTTAATATTTATTAGGGTTCTGCGGGATCCCAGTCGGGACGGGAATTCCTCCCGGGATCGGGATGGAATCCCGAGAATTTCAGAATCCCGAATACATCCGGGATTCCCGAGAATTTCAGAATCCCGAATACATCCGGGATTCCCGAGAATTTCAGATTCCCGAATACATCCGGGAATCCCGAGAATTTCAGAATCCCGAATACATCCGGGAATCCCGAGAATTTCAGAATCCCGAATACATCCGGGAATCTCGAGAATTTCAGAATCCCGAATACATCCGGGATTCCCGTGAATTTCCGGAATCCCGAATACATCCGGGATTCCCGTGAATTTCGAGATACCGTACATTCGTATTGCTGACATTTTCAAGAATAACGACACTTTCGGAAATCTCAGATGTTATTCTATATCCCGCACATTGTCGGGGATCCCGGATTTTTGCGGGATCTCGTGTATTCTCGGGAATCCCGAATCAACTCGGGATCCCGCGTAAACTCGAGAATCCCAAATATTCTCGGGAATCCCGGATATTTTATCCCGCGCACCCCTAACATTTATACGAACAAATTCTCGTTCGAAGGTTGACGAATGGTGCTTGTGAAAAATCCGTCGCCCACTCGAGGCGAGAGTCCCCAAAAAGGAAATGCGAAGAAGGTTAAAAGAAGATCGCGGGGCAACAGTCCCTCGGATCAGGCTGTGTCCAGGGGAAATAGTCCAGGAACGAGCCGTTCCAATCACAAGGTAGTCGCGAAGAGCAGTTTGCTGCAGTCCAGAGGAAGCGAGTAAGTATTCGTCGCGGTACAGTTACGTCTCCATAACTGCACTTTGTCTACGATAAATGCAAAGAAACCAGCCCCACCAGTGTATATGGTATACAGTGCATACCCCTTGAGGGGAATGTAGGGGGGGGGACGGTGAAGAAGTTCGATCGGTGAGTAGTGTAAACATGATCTGAAACTTTTGAATTATTTTGAAAATTTTTTTATTCTTTCACTATCGTAATTTCACCAGACATCTTTCCGATTAAAATGAGACGAAACACGACGTAATTCGCAACATATTTACTTGTAACGATGTATTATTTATTACGTATCGTAAAACGTTAACTAAAAAAAGATACATGGTAAATATCGTCCGAATTGCATCGCGTTTGGTTTCATTTGAATCAGAAGAATGTCAGGAATAACAACGGCGAAAGTTGTTACAAGAAAAAAGTGAAAAAATAAAAATGTTTCACCGTCGCATTAAATTGTCTCGTCGACATAGCCTGGCGTTAATAGCTCGCCAATTTGAGAAGATTCATCCAACGAGAGTCAGAGTGAAACTTACTGGAACGAGCCCAGCACTTCAGGGAACACCGAACCTAGTTAATCGAATTATATTACATTCAATTTCCTAACAATCTCTAATCGATTCTCCGTAATAGAATTCTGCCCCAATTTTATTCGAGCTAATCGAAATCATATTAGATTCAGGTAAAGCGCAAATTGCTCTCCGATATCGCGAAGATGAAATTCGTCATCTACCCCCAACAACCCTGTCCAATAACTCGCGTTGATATTGTCCGACGTAATATCGACATTCCCATCGTCGTTTTCAGTTAATGGAGATCGCGAACGGACGTTCCCGTCGAAATTATCGGGAAAGTAACGGAACGTACGAAACAATCAACGCAACCGGTGAAATATATTCGAGGGAACGTTCGTCTTCTTTCTCCTATGTACATCAACGTTTATACAAATGACGTCTTGCTATCGATTCATTTATAAGTACGACAAACATCGGGCATCCATTATCGTGTCGTTATCGTCTATCCGCGAGTCGCCAAGAACGGACTTTTTAACGACGATTCATGCGCGATAACGAAAGAACCACCGACTCGAGTAGTCGGAAACTTCTCATCGTTTCGATCCTACGAGATAATGGAAACTCGTCGACGCTATTGTACCGTAATCTTCGTTCAATATTTTCTTGTAAAACAATTCCAATCGTAATCGTCGAAATACCGAACTACCAAGTTACACAGTCGCGGGCTTTCCTTGGAAAATATAATAACGATCGTCTCTCGATCGTCCAGGACGTGGAAAAATCGTCCTGCGGGGAATCTGCCCGTGATCGAAATCCTCGTAAGTGGTTTTACCAGCCGTCGAGTGAAAATATTCCGAACGAGACACGGACAACAAACGAATGCAATCGTTCCGTGGAAATCGTTCCGCAGATCCAGGTCGCGGATAAGTTGGACGTAACGCGTCGGAAAAGACTTTAAGGGGTTAGTCGCAATCAGAAAAATGAAAACGGACACTTTCTTTTGTGTGTATGTGTGTGTGTGTGTGTGTGTGTTGTTAAGGCATTAAATAATAATTTTTAGTAATGAAATGTAAATATATTACAAAATACGTCTTAAAAAACTATAAAGGAATTTTTGTTTCAAAAAAAAAAAAGGTTAATTCATTTCGTCACAACTGGTTTATCCGAAAGCAAAACTAAAAGTAGATTTAGAAAATATATTAGACTAACGGGTCCCTGATCGAAGGATTTATTTTCTTATATACTTTTCTTTTTATCCTCTATTCAATCATTTAATTTTATAATGAAAATTGACCTTCAACTTCAAATGTACGTAATTTTGTTTTAAATTAATTTTCTCGAAAATCCTTCGATCAGGTACCCGTTTGTCTAATATATTCTCCAAATCTACCTTTATTTTTGTTTTCGAGTATACCAGTTTGAAGAGATCTTGCTCACCGCAAACAAAGCGGCCGTCCGCACCATCGCCTGTTACGACGAAACGAATCAATTTTTTTTTTTTGAAACAAAAATTTGTTCATAGTTCTTTGAGATATATTTTGTCATATATTTAAGTTCCATTAATAAAAGTTATTATTTAATACCTTAGAAAAAACACACACAAGAAAGTGTCCGTTTTCATTTTCCGGACTGCGACTAACCCCTTAACGCGCCGTTAGATTCCGTTTTCCGGGGCGGTGGGAAAGGGTGGTTGTGTAAACTCGCCCCTCGATGCTCGCGTGGGTGGTGTACGTAGAGGGCATTGATAAACGCACGCGTCGCGGTTGCGACACATTTCGATGCCGCGTATCGATTGCGGGACCTTGCCTGCTTGTCTCTGTTCTGTCGGTCAATATCGCAGCGATCGCCAACGTGCGCCTATGTAAAGAGATCTTAACGATCCGCACACGAGAAATACGTGCAGCCGACCGTGCGCGAACGATGTTTAGATTTTTCGTGTCGAACGTTGCCTGAAATTTTCGACGTTCGACGGAATCGATCGCGAGGGCTCGAATCGAGCTTTTCCATACTGCGCGTTTAAATTGATATTAGCGTAACGTGTGTCAGCGTTTTTCAAAGAATCGCACCATCGAGAATAGCAACGTCGGGTTTCGTCATGTTACGCCATTTACCGTATTACTCGGTCGAACGATCAATTCGTGTCAACTCGAGAGATATTGGGTTGTCCGGAAAGTTCATGGCGATTTTGAATAGGTGATGCAGGTCTGAATATGTCGAAATAGCTGAAAACAAATAACATATATACGTACATCCCTTAAAAGGTGGAAAGGTTGTGGAACGAAATGGTACCTATGCAATTCGATAAATATATATCACGATTCAAATGTGCCTTTGAAGTTTTTTTTTAAAATTGCCACGAACTCTCCGGACAACCTAATACCATCTCCAGAGTACGACATTTCGCTTCAATTTTCCTCGGTATTCGCGAAAACCAGTTGCTTTTGAACCGTTGCCAATTTCTGGAAGCCGTATCGCGAATATTGCCTTCGTTGTTGCCGCGCATGGCTCGACGTTCTAAAGCGCGAACCTTGCATTTTATCGTGCTTTTAGCGTAATTACAATTTCCGATAAGCTCCGTCGTCGTAGTCCCGAACGTTCCAAGTAAACGAAGAACGACGCGAGTCCGAGCAACAACCGCATTTACATGAAATTGATCGCTCGTGAACGGTGTGCGTGTAATTCAATTACGCCGCACGCTATGGTAAAATAATCGAACGCACAGTTGCTACCTCCGTGTCTGTGAAGGTGCAACAACCAGCGCCGAAGCGCCCTGTGCGTTAATTGAATAATCGATTGATAGTTAACGCATCGAATGCAGCGGCCGGTGGTCAGTGGCGTTTCTGCGATGAATACACTTGCCGACGTTCGAATAACGTTTAGAACGCTGCAAAATAATATCGAGTTGTAGCTCGATTATTCAATTAGAGCCAAACGAACAAAAAATTAAGAAAGCATGTAATTACTAATTCATGTAGTTAATTGGAAGATCTAAACGAACAAGTTGAGCAGTATAAGCTTCCTCCTTGAGCTTCCTTTTCTTTCTGCTCCTCTTCTTGCAGTTCGGAATCTAGCAATTCGTGTAAATAATGTTTACCACCACCGTTCACTTCTACCGATCTCTACCTTCGTTTCATGCAATGGATTCTTTTTGACCCTTTGACCGCGGAACGATTTTTGCTAGGCGGTGTGAATTTTCAACAAATATCAGCTTACAGGGAATAATAAGACGGAACTTTTTTATATTTACACTTTACTCGTGAGACGTACAGTTCCAAAAATAAAAATTAAAAACTTAAAAGACCTTTTTTCCCGATATCTCTTAGCGATCTGATCCCATTGCTGTTGTCTCTATGAAAAACAAAAGAAAAGTCGAACGATCGAATTTAAAAGAAAATTATCAGCTTACAGGGGACGATGAGAGAAAACTATTTCATATTTACGGTTTATTCGTACGACGTTTAGTTTCGCCGATAAAAATTGGAAACTTCTACCCTTCCGGAAACCCTTCTCTCGAAATTCAATTATCGCGACGAACTTTTCAATTTTTATTTTCGAAACTGACCGTCCTACGAACAAACTGTAAATATAAAAAAGTTTTGTCTCGTAGTCCCCTGTAAGCCGATATCTTTTTAAAAATTCATTCAACGAGTATATCCATTTCTCTGAGTTAATCGAAAGATGCAAATAAGCAATTCGAGCAGCATAAGCTTTCTACTTTTGGAATCTCGAGGAATATCTCTCTCTTGGAGCCTCGAAGATTCTCATTTAACGAGACACGGTAGCGGGTGGTAAATAAATGAAAAGTTTATCGGCCGATCGCTCTTGGATCATCGGTCCGGTAATCAAACTCTCGTGAATCATTAACGGAGGCCGCAACGATTTTTCAACGGCACGAACCCGGGATGGAAAAGAACGAGATCATAAAACGAGTCGGTCAATCACGCGATTTTCCCTCGACGGTCTCGCTTGGATCCGATTGATTGAACCTTCTCAATTATTGAGTCGCCGTGATAGGAGGTCAAATCACGATACAGGCGGACGATTGCTCCGGTCGGGGCGTTCGATCGTGAAATAGAAGAATGTTACGATAGTTTCGTTTCTGTTTCCAGAACTGGCAGCATCGAGAGGCTGGTGGACGGTGACAAGAGGGTGATCGCGACGAAACACTTGCTTCCAGAGAACAACATAAATGTCGTCGTCAGGTAACGGAATCATAGACCATTCTTATACAGTCTTATATAGATACTATCTTATAAGCCTTACATAGATAGAATTAGTCGCGTTCGTTATCACTCCGACGTTGCAGCTGTTGCGTTATTTTCCAGAGTTCGTCCACTTAACCGCAAGGAGGTCAAAGCTGGCGATGATATGGCCGTGCAGTTTCCTGGCGATGGCCAGATATACGTAAGCGACAACGTTTGGTGGTTCGGTAGCTTTAAACTCTCGCATCCAGTAGTGATGCGTTCTTGAAGAAAGTACTCGAATCTCAACATTTTCCAAGATTTTACCAGAACGAACGAAACGTAGCTAATAATTAAATATGAAAAGAGCTTTTGACGCGATGACTTGACAAAATTGCACAAACTGATACAGCGTAAAAAACGCGCTTTCGGTTCACCTTAATAAATAAATAGGAATCGTCGGAAGCACGAATATCGAATGTTTGCCATTAAAATCTCTGCGAATAAATTGTTATAGTGCGACGGATTTCCCAGCAGCGCCGACAAGAAGGGTAAACTGTTTTCGTACAATGTCGTTTTCGAGCCCACGGCCAGCCAGGAGGACATACTGCAATTTTCCGGCGTCAAGAAGCTCATCGAAATGGCGGTGGAGGGATTTAACTGCACCGCGTTCTGCTACGGGCAAACCGGAAGCGGGAAAACTCACACCCTCACGGGACCTCCGGAAATGGTGCGTCGAAAACAGTAAAGTGAACCCGGTGACCCTGCGGAACGTTTCCTTTCAATTTTTTAAACACTCTTAATCAGAAGTTTTAAGCTTCTTTTCCCGATACTTTTTCCCCTAAACGTATTCAAATAGTTCATTCGTAACAACCAGGGGGTACAACATATTATGTATTAAAGCGCCTGGTCGCGTTGAAGGTCGATATTATTATGCGTAGATAAGATAATGACATGTCGAGATAATGACGCGAGAACAAGACGTTCGTGGCTCGTACCTACGAAATATTTTCGTATGTTCGAAAGCGAGGGAAGCAAAACAAAAGTTTAGCACCGGTTCCCGACAAGTCGGAGACCGAGGGGGAAAAAATTGTTATGCCCGCAAGTTGAAAAATGGAGCAAATCGTGATTGTAGTTTACGTAACTCCTAGGGGCATCGATAGTGGTTTAAAAATTCGACAAAAATACGCATTTCGAAGTTTAATGCGCAGTTTAAGTATCAGGCGAAAAGAAAAGTTACCCTGGTAACCTTTTATTAAAAAACAAACAAAAATGGATTTCTATCTACATACATAAGTTAATATGTACATAATTAGTTTTTCGGTAAATTTCCAATTTCGGTAAAAATTGGGGATAACGAGCTTTTCCCGCTTGGTCTTCGGTTTCGATCCGCTCGCGCCATTGCAACTTTGTGCATCTGCATCTCGCATCTGCATCTTGCGTCTCTACGTCGCGTTGCGTTTGTTTGTATTCGTTTCTTGCTACTATATTTCGTGTATATTTATTTTTCTTTCGCGACAGTTAGATGGAATGAAACATTACTCAGAGGATAACGGTCTGGTCTTCCGGTCTTTCGTCTACCTATTCAAGCTCCTGCAGGAACGCCAACAGTGCAACTTTGTGCTGAGGGCCTCGTTCCTCGAGATCTACAACGAGAAGGTGATGGTCGAACGAATTATCTAGAATGTACGCTCCGGTGATGACCGACAGTCGAATAATAGAAACAACTGTGATCGTAACGATCGTTGGATCGTCGTTTTAGAGCGCGTTCTTTGACCGCAGGTAATAGATCTGTTGAATCCTGGCACATCGAGAAAACCTTTGATGGTCCGATGGAGCAAAAAGACGCGGGGTTTCTTCGTGGAGAATCTTTTCACCGTCGAGTGCGAGGAGCTTGATGACCTTCTAGCGGTTCTCGAAGAAGGTACCTCGTTATCGATCTTCGCCTTTGCACCTGGACAGATGGACTTTAACCCCTTTTAATCGACTCCCCTCCCTGCGCGCAACAACTCATTTTCACAGCGCCAGAGAAAGCCTGGCAATAATTTCAGTTCTAATTATAGAATTCAATTTATCGGTTCTTTTTCTTCGGTCTATGGTACTCGGAAGTATGTTCGAAGAAAGGAACTTTGAGAGTAGTCGAAACATTACGTTATCGCTATAATATACGTTACGTTATAGCACTATATCGTTACGATTAGCACATTCACGACGGCGCGGCGATGCACGCCGTCTGATAGACATGCGAGCGCGAGCCACCAGTGGTACACGCCGGCGTGGACGTGTTAAATACAAGAAAGCAGTGGATAGCTTCGTGTTAATGTCAGAGGATATCGACTGAAATTAATTTCTGTTTAGGGCTGAGAAACAGATCTGTCGGCGCGCACAACATGAACGAACAGTCCAGCAGGAGTCACAGCATCCTCACCGTTAGCATTACTTCTGAGCAACAAGTGAGTAAAGCCGATTGAAAATTGTTCGTCGCGCGAGCCAGGGAGATGTAGCTTACGGTACGATTTACGTCGACAGATGGACAACAATGTGTTCATTTCGAAACAAGGGAAAATCAATTTCGTCGATTTGGCGGGCAGCGAGATGACGAAGAAGACGCAGAGCGAGGGGAAAACCTTGGAGGAAGCGAATAATATCAACAAAAGCCTCATGGTTCTGGGTACGATCATCGTAAACCATTAAACCTTTATTTACTGGCGGGACTCACGAGTCCCTTCGATTTTCTCACGGTACGAAATCTATCGCGACTCTCGAGAGTCCACTTTTATGAAGTTCGTTTTTAATCGTTGGATGGGAGCACAAGCTTTTTTTTTTTCTTTTCGAGGCTCGTCAGAGACGACTCTATAAGATGACAGTGTCATCCTCTTTCGAACATTTTCCATAGAAGGAGACCCAGACAAACACATCGGGAAACTTGAGATTTATTCGAAGCCTAGGGTCTTGCCCATCACTGGATGACACAAGATCCGATATGGACGTCTTGATATTAACAAACTTTTTAGAAATTCGGTAAATAAAGGATTAAGAAGAAGACCTAAAACTTACCCATGCTCGATTTCAGTTTATATATTCCCTTGGCATTGTAAGGGGAGAGTGTACGGGAATCGTTTTTAAGAATTCTGCTAATATGGTTAAACTGCGACGGATCGGTTCCACGGAATCGAATTACGTTTAATGTTACGAGTCGGAAACTTTACAGCGTCAATTATGTAGAAGCTATCGTAAGGATCGATTGTCTCAGTCGTTCACTAGCGAATCGGTTGGGCACGAGCTTTTCCCACGACGTCAACGTCTTTGAGACGATCGATCAACGAACGAGATACCACGAATTACGTAGAAACGAACCTCTGAAATGTTATAAAATCGATCGAACTTCTCTCGCGAAGGAGATCGATTAACGCGCTTACGGAGTCGCTTTTTATTCCGCGAAGGCTACTGCATATCTTCTCTGAGCGATGGAAAACGCAAGGGCGGACATATTCCTTATCGGGACAGCAAACTGACGAAACTCTTGGCAGACAGTCTGGCAGGCAATGGCGTTACGTTAATGGTAAATCGAGCTACGATTAATATAACACTTTCTTTCTCGCGGCGAAGTAAACGGAGTTACCGTAACCACTTCGCGGAACTTTTAGATTGCGTGCGTTTCGCCGGCGCGATCGAACGCGAGCGAAACGTTGAACACATTGAGGTACGCCGCGAGAGTGAAGAAGATACGCACGAAGCCGATCGTGGTGATGGTGAGTGGAGAGAGATTTTTTTTTAAAAGACGATTAAACGAATCGAGGAGAATATAAAAAAAAGAGAATTAATAAATCTAATCGTCCAGGATCCACGAGAAGCTTTGATTCTCAGTTTGAAACGAGAAGTGGGAGCTCTACAGACCGAGAACGAGCATCTGAAGGCGGCCCTGAATTTCAGCGGCGACGATCAAGACATAATTCGCAGCGAATCCAAAGGTAACGTGGAATAGATAATAGATACGTCAGAAAATAATCTCTAGAATTATCTATTAACGATTCGACGATGAACACAGCCGAGAGCAAAGTGCCCTCGACGCCGCCGTTCGTGGACCTGGACAAGTTGTCCGAGATGGAGCAACCGGAATTGAGTCAACTGATCCGCTCCTATATCACGGAGAACGAGGCCCTTCGCCGTGAGAACGCGGAACTGTACGCCACCAGGGAGCAAGTGATACGGGACCAGGAACTCGTATGCAGAGAGAACGAGAGGTTGCTGAAGAAGCTCGAGGACGTTAACTCGTAAGCACGATACTCTCTGAGTTACACGACAGTCGATATTTCATTAATCCCGTAGGGTCTCTTACCGCAGAGTGTGCTGCCGGTCGCCGATCATACCCGCCAGGCCCACCTACTCGGCGGAGGTTCTAAACGAGAGCAACATAGAAAACGCTCCCGGCGCAACGAACGTTTGGACCAACCCTAACGTGGAACCGACTCCCCTCTCGAGCGTACGTAAAGATGTTTGAAATAGAATCGCGAAAAGACTATCGACGAATCCAATGGATAAACAGTTTTCATCGTAACTTCGATTGTACAGGATCTGATCAGGCGCGGACTGTACAGATCCGCGAGCAACATGCCTGAGAAAATTCAAAAGGAATTGGACAAACGGAGAATCGTTGGCAGCTACAATAACGTAGCCGAGGCTTACAAAGACAAGAGTCAGCACCGCCGACACAATTCATGGGACAATGGAAACGGCGTAACGAGAATGAGCCCGGATCAAACGATGTCACCGGTGCACGTTAATCAGTAAGTTACGCGCGATAAATCGATATTCCAGGCCGATAAAGCGAACAGTCTCCTGTATCGTTCGATGCGATAACGTTTCCCGGATATCTGCAACCGATTTGTAAAGAAACGATTCTTGGGTACACATTGTGGTCTAGAAGTCGGCTGGGTGTTGAACAGCGAGCTACGATAGATCTACCTGTACGACCTGAAATAATACCGAACGGTTAATCACTTGTAAACACTGTCGCTAAAGCCGTTACCGTCTGTCGTCCAAAGATTTTTATAATTACTCATTGTATCTCATTAACCACTTAGCTTCCAATGTCGTATCCGAGACGCGTCAGAGACGTTGTAGACATAAAATTTCATTGAGAAGATGTTCTTAAATGTCTGTTTATTTAGAAATGAAAATAAGAATGTTATTGATGCATCATTCACTTTGAGACAAGAAATCATTCTTGTTCGATAACCGATTAATCGTAATTATTTATCAAACATCTTGCAACGTAAAGTTAATTGTACGTTACACGTGTATACGAATCATAGGGCGTACGCGATTAGCACAACTCGAAACGCTCAGCCAAACCGTGTACGTCCCGACTTGCGACCGACCTTGTTATTGTTTACGGCACGCGCTATTGGATATTAAATCGTAAGCCAAAGGGTTAATCGTCGCAAAGTAAAGATACACTTGCAGCTAATTACGAAACAAAAATAGTCGACGCAATTTTGAGAATAGGTGAAATACCTAATTTCATGGTTCGCTTTCATCGAAATCGAATGATTAATCACCGTGGAACGGGCCACCAGCGAACTTCTGTCCGCAATGTGTTAAGATAGCTGACGCGGATGTCGCTATTCTATGAATTAATTGAAGAACCACGTGGTACTAGGTACAAGAAAACGGGTATGCGTCGCACCTCGACAGTCCCAGAGGAAAGGAAGCCCTCGGAAACCAACGATCTTCTGGGCGAACCGGTTCAACCGACCGATCACTCGTTCAACGAATCCCCAGACTCGATCCTCAGCGGTCCCATGGAGATTACGAACTCCGCTCCGGACACGGCGGAATCCGAGGCCCCTACGGCGCCTTTTCCGGGGTTGTCGCCATTTGGGACACCGGACACGGAGGACGCGGTCCTATCGAGGAGTCCGCCCAAGGAAAAGGAGGACGAGACAACGCAAAGAGCGTTCGGGAGTCCGGTTCCGATCGACGAAGACCACCCACTTTGAACACCCAACTTGACTCGCGTATGATAGCCCGTGATACGCTACCGGCGCGTTGCCTTAGGTCAGGTCCACCGTCGGTCGGTGAACAGTATGGTCATTGAATCATAGTTGGATCGAGCTAAACCCTCTATCGTATAGATCTTATTTTATCTTTGAAAAAAAGAAACTACTTCTCGGTTGTCTATATTCATGAATTAATTACCTAGTCAAACAACGAGCGACTGAAACTGCAGAGCTATTAGATACCGCGTATGAAAACGTCGTGCACAAATTTTGGAAAAATATCCTCGATTAATTTAACGGGAATTAAATGAATAGAGGATCGACGCGTTGACTGTCGTCACTCGGACATGGGTCACTTGTGAGAGAGGATTAAATAATTACGAAAATAATTATGAAAATGATAAATATGATTTGTTGGAAATATTTCAGTGGATTCGCTGTCGTCTTATTTATATCTGTGAGTGAAATGCTTTTACTTCGCCGATTAGGAATTTAATTGCGAGAATATCTTAAAGGAAATTTGTGTTGTTTTCTACCAAAAAAAAAAAAAAAAAAGAAAAGAACGAACGTATAAATGCGTTACGTTGGCAACCGCTTAACATTAAAAGTGATTATGCAGTCGATCGTTTAATTATATTATACGTGTGGCACATCCAGAATTCCGTAGCCTGATGGATTTAACGGATTTAGCGTGGCAGTCAACGTGTTGATTGGCCGCACAAGGCCGTTTCTCCCAGTGCGAGTCTTTTGAACCATGACTCCTGCTTTTATGTTATACTGGCTTGTCTGAGATAGAGAGCATGAACCTTTAGATTTGCATAATAGCCGAAGCGATGAAATCGGTTGTAAAACGGTAGGGTGACGTTAATCGATGACTTCAAGTTACCAATTGATTTTATCCTTTACCTTTTACCTTAGTTCGTTCTAGGTTGTTAAATTGTTATACGAAAACTCAAGATACTCTTTTGACTCGTTTAACCTCAACGTGAAAGATGGGAAAATGTTCCTTTTAATATAATTTCATAATATTATCACCCTGTACATACACCCTGTATCGTTAAACATTGAATTCCAGTTTTTGTTTACTAGCGGCCAGGTCTGTCGCAATTGTCTAGTACAAAAACAGAAACGGTTTAACTTCTTCGAAGTTAAACGTTAATCGTAACGTGTAATACGTGGATATAAACAGCACTGAAAACGGGAGACAGACAAGTATTATGTTTTCAAAGACCGGATGATAATATCGTGACTACGACACAACAAAGAAACGTAGTATGAGTAGTCGAAGAAACGTATCCATGTAGAGTATATAATTGTGTGTGAGATTAGGCGTGAATTCCAATGGTCATGGTCAAATTAACGAATTCTACCTCCGAGTAGTCTAACATAAGATTTTATTCGTACAGAATGCTTTGCAACGATGTGGACCAATTTATGTGGAATAAAGTATATATTTGATTGATTTATCGATCATCATTTTTGAGGCCTATCTTACTACATAATTACTCCGAAAGTCTTAAGTTCACTATGGAACGTCTTTAACGATAGTGTGGCTCGGTACAAAAGGAAGCATTCAAAACATAGAAGAAAGGACAGAACATTGTCTTTCGCCACACACCGATAAGAAAACTCTATAAAAAGACAATGTGACCCATTGTGCTCGTTATCGATACAACATGAACGATTCTGCAATTGCGTGCCAATAATTTGCCAGCGACGCGTGCATAATTCATTAGATAAGCATCTTGCCACGTCATATAAGCAAGAACAGGAAAATTGATAGATTAGCGCGATCGTGGTATTTTGACCATTGATATTTATTCTTTCCTACAGAGGGCGTCCGTACAGGGTAAAATATCTACTTATAGAACAATCGGAAGCGAATTCCTAATTCGTATTGGACCGCGTCATCTCAACCACGATCGGTACAGATGCGAAACAACCAATCGTTTTTACCTCTTCGTCAACCTCTTTGTCCGATTCGCTTGTTTCGTGACCCAATCGACGCGCGGAATTCAAATGCGAGATTCACAATGCGAGCCCTAATCAACGATATAACGGCGAAGAAACAAAAACTAAAGATAAAACAAAATTCGAGCGTGTAAATGTCCGTGTCGTGTCTCTGTTTCGGTCTGCTGTGACCCGAATATCGAAAGAAGAGGGTCGTTCGAGGGTTCGAAAGATCCGTGTTCCGTGTTCGCAGAAAGCATTCTCGCTGTTTTACCGACCGGCGGAAATCCACCGTCGCCACAGTATCGAGGAAGCATCGACGACACCTACGATCGCTGGTGGTGCGAGTGCGAGAGAGCAGCAACAGACCGGATGATAGAATGAGAATCATTCTTGGATGGATAGTGGTATCGCGGTAGAGTGAGGTTTCGGTCTAGAAAGGGTAGACTGGAAGCTGAGAAGAAGAGAGAGGTGCGGCGAGAAAGAGAGAGCGGGCGCGTGTGGCAAGGTCGGTGTGGCGTGCGGTGAAGTTTACGGACTTTATTAAAGTGCAGTCGGCCGGGTTGAAAAAAACAATCGACGGACATAATACGGCGCCCCGTGAAGTCCGATGTCTAGTGCTGAGGTGGTGGAGAGCTCCGTTGACCCCCCAGCCAAGAAGCGACGCGTTGCTGCCACCACGGGAGGAGCCGACGACTCGACGACGATCGCAGACATGGCGAAAAATGGCTCGACGTCCCGGGCTCCCGCCGAAATCGACGAAGGTCTATACTCCAGGCAGCTTTACGTCCTCGGCCATGACGCTATGCGTCGCATGGCATCCTCAGATGTCCTGATATCCGGCCTCGGTGGTCTCGGCGTCGAAATCGCCAAGAACGTCATCCTCGGCGGCGTCAAGTCCGTTACCTTACACGATGACGCGCTGTGCCAGATCGCGGACCTCGGTTCGCAGTTCTATCTGAAAGAGACAGACATAGGTAAGCGCCTTCGAAAACCGCGGAATCGCGGATACACGTGAGCGCTCTTAATGGGCACGGGCTTCTTCTCGAATTGACGTCAGGATTTCAATGGCCACGATCGATTAGGATACTTCGGTGATATAATCGATCGTCGCGCCGATTAATGTCTGGAAAGATATTGTTTTCGAATTTACTGTCGATCGGAAAGTTTTCCATCGTCATTCTTAAACGCTCGGAGCAATTAAGTCAGATAATTTTGAAATAGACAATGTAGGACCCTTTAAGTTTCGAACTTAACCATAATTTTGATATCCGATAGTACAGAAAGAATTGTACTTGTATTCCAAGTTTACAGAGTCGTGCCTTCAAGTGTTTAGGTTTAAGCGGTCTACGAGACTAGAAATCGCATTACAATCACAATTGATGGCAATGATCATAAGTCTTTGATAATATTTAAGCACCGTGTAAGTAAATATAAGGAAACTGAATGTTTTTTATTTTCTTTCCAGGTAAAAATCGAGCTGCTGCCTGTTGCCAGCGCTTGTCCGAATTGAATAATTATGTTCCCACCCGTCACCATTCTGGACCTTTAACCGATTCATACATTAAAAAGTTTAAGGTCGTCATTCTGACGGAAACTCCATTGAAGGAGCAATTGCGCATCTCTGAAATTACCCACGCAAATGATATAGCACTTATTATAGCAGATACCAGAGGCTTATTCTCTCAAGTATTCTGCGATTTTGGGGAATCGTTCACAGTAGTCGATACTAACGGCGAACCACCGGTAAGCGCGATGGTTGCTAGCATCTCTCAAGATGCCGAGGGCGTCGTTACATGTTTGGATGACACGCGTCATGGCATGGAGGATGGTGACTATGTCACGTTTTCTGAAGTGCAAGGAATGACAGAGTTGAATGGTTGCGAACCAATCAAGATAAAAGTTCTCGGCCCGTACACTTTCAGCATCGGCGATACATCTAAATATTCCGAATACATACGCGGTGGCGTCGTAACGCAAGTAAAAATGCCAAAGATCCTACGTTTTTCTTCTTTGGCAGAGGCTTTAAAGAAGCCCGAGTTCCAAATTACAGATTTTGGAAAGTTTGATTATCCGGAACAGATGCATTTGGCTTTCATGGTGTTGCACCGTTACGCGGAAACAAAAGGCAGATTACCTAAGCCATGGAATCAAGAGGACGCAGATGAATTTTTAGCTCTAGCTAAAGCAGTAAAAGAAGAGATAGGCAGTGAAACTGAAATCAATACAGAACTGTTTGATATATTTGCAAAGATATCTTCTGGTAATTTAAATCCAATGAATGCTACCATTGGAGGAATTGTAGCTCAGGAAGCTATGAAAGCTTGTTCTGGAAAATTCCATCCTATATATCAGTGGTTGTACTTTGATGCTATCGAGTGTTTACCTGCAGATCGCTCTGAACTTACAGAAGAAGATTGTTGTCCCACTGGATCGCGTTATGATTCACAAATCGCCGTTTTCGGCCGTAAATTCCAGTCAAAGATTGGAAATCTAAAATACTTTGTCGTAGGAGCAGGAGCCATTGGTTGTGAATTGCTCAAGAACTTCGCAATGTTAGGTGTTGGTGCTCAGAATGGTAGCGTCACGATCACTGACATGGATTTGATAGAAAAATCTAACTTGAACAGACAATTCTTATTCCGGCCATCTGATGTTCAACAATCAAAATCATCAACAGCGGCTAGAGTTATAAAAGGCATGAATCCAGAGATGAAAGTAATTGCTCACGAAAACAGAGTTTGTCCCGAAACAGAAAAGATATATAACGATGACTTCTTCGAGGTCTTGGACGGAGTCGCAAATGCTTTAGATAACGTTAATGCTCGTATTTATATGGATCGTCGTTGTGTGTATTATAGAAAACCTCTCTTGGAATCTGGTACTTTAGGTACAAAAGGCAATACTCAAGTTGTTGTTCCATTCTTAACCGAATCTTACAGCTCGTCTCAGGATCCGCCAGAGAAAAGTATACCGATTTGCACGTTGAAAAACTTCCCCAATGCCATAGAACATACTCTACAATGGGCCAGAGATAACTTCGAAGGTTTATTCCGTCAGGCCGCGGAGAATGCCGCTCAATATATATCTGATCCACAGTTCGTAGACAGAACGCTAAAACTACCCGGAGTTCAGCCTTTGGAAGTGTTAGAATCCGTTAAAATAGCACTGGTCGACGAGAGACCAAAGGGCTTCGCAGATTGCGTCGCTTGGGCTCGTTGTCATTGGCAGGAGCAGTATAGCAATCAGATTAGACAACTTCTATTCAACTTCCCACCTGACCAAGTAACATCCAGTGGTCAACCATTCTGGTCTGGACCTAAACGATGCCCCGATCCGCTCACGTTCGACGTTAACGATCCATTGCATTTAGATTACATCGTAGCTGCTGCTAACTTGAAAGCAAAAGTCTACGGTATTCCCATAAACAGAAACCGGGAGGAAATTGCTAGGATCGTGAGTACCGTAAAAGTACCAGAATTCACGCCAAAGTCTGGAGTGAAAATCGCCGAGACAGACTCAATGGTTCAAGTATTAAATGGAAGCGGGAACATCGACCACGAGAGACTCACTCAGTTACAAGAAGAATTGCCGAAGATCGACGAACTCAATGGTCTAGTGATTTATCCGCAAGAATTCGAAAAGGACGACGATTCTAATTTCCATATAGACTTCATCGTGGCTGCTTCAAATCTCCGTGCTACTAACTACAAAATTCCACCTGCTGATAGACATAAGAGCAAACTCATCGCTGGTAAAATCATACCAGCAATCGCTACTACCACCTCAGTGGTGGCTGGTTTAGTATGTCTTGAATTGATCAAGCTAACTCGTGGCGTCAGAGATTTGTCCATCTACAAGAACGGTTTCATTAATCTGGCTCTACCGTTCTTCGGGTTCTCCGAACCTATCGCTGCGCCGAAATTGAAATATTACGACACAGAGTGGACTCTGTGGGACCGGTTTGAAGTTAAGGGAGAATTGACGCTCAAAGAATTCTTGGATTACTTTAAAGAACATCACAATCTGGAGGTCACTATGTTGTCTCAAGGTGTCTGCATGCTTCACTCGTTCTTCATGGCAAAACCTAAATGCCAGGAACGTATGGGTCTCCTAATGACAGAGGTGGTGAAGAAGGTGTCGAAGAAGAAGCTGGAACCCCATGTACGCGCGCTGGTATTCGAACTCTGCTGTAATGATTCTGATGGTAACGATGTAGAAGTACCGTATGTTCGCTACACCTTGCCCTGAAGCTCGATGGAATCACCGGATAATGAGAGATGTCTACTTAACTGACTTAGCCGTAGTAATTTCTACAAATTTCTATTTTACAATACGGTACAGGAGAATATTAATCTTTGTCTATGTAAGGCTCTCAAAGTAAAGATTCATTTTTATCGCCAATGCTTTGTAGCATTTATAGGAAGCGAGCACGACGGGATCCACTGAGTTTATCTTACTATGATCTCCCTTTTACTAAAAGTCAACTTCGAGGCTGCTATATAACCATTTCTTTTTTATCCTACTCCCCCTATGATCCTTTAATTCGTTTGATACACGTTGCTAAATATATTTCGTCTGCCTTCCGATCAGCAGTGTTTCTCGAAAACAACAAGAACTAAATAATTCGAACTGTCGATAAAAAGATAAGCGGATACAAATTTGTACAAGAGAATATCTGCGCTATACTGTTTTCGAAATGTTAACAAAAAAAAAAGAAGAAGAAGAATAAAATAACGAAGCTGCGAAAGAATTTTAAACCGTGTTGGATCATAAGGGAATTGTCATGGTAAGAATTTTCTTAGGGCTCACTCTTCACGATTTTATGTATAGAATCGAATGTAAATTACTGGATGATAACTCAATGATCCTTAGACGAATAACGCTAGCACAGTTAAAATAGACCATAGATAAACGTGAGAATAATGAGCGCAAATATATCTTGCCTCCGTCGAATTTTCGTTTTTTTTTTCTATTTACACTTTGTATTATCAGATGTGCGTAAAGCAAAACAAAAAAAATATATATAATTTACGAATTTTTGTTCACCCTATTTTTGCCTCTCGCTATCAGAGTCGATATTTTAAGACTTTATATAACCGATACGTTATCAACAATCATAATTTGTCCGCTTTATTTTTCGTACACTGAATGAACTATTGGCTAAGGCTGGTTGTTGTTACAAAGGATGCTGCATTTAAATTTGTAACACGATTTGAAAGAAGCTTAAATAAAAAAAAGAGTTGCACACTTTAGACCAAGGAATACAAAAACAAAAAAAAAAGGAAGATATTTTGTTAATTTTAGAATAATGCGGATATTTATTGTATTATTTTATCAATAGATAATAAATAGATGTGTTTGGATTTCAAGAGACATGAGAAATATAGTAACGAAAAATATGATGCGTTGTTTTCTATGTACGTATACCCTGCCATTCATTTAATTTAAAACGAAATAGAACGTTCTCGAGTTATTCTAAAAGCTATGAACTCGATAAGCATGCGCAAGTTACAAATTTACTAAATATTTCAACTCGTTTATTGTACGTAGTAACAAATTGCCGTGTATGTTTAAATTTCAATATGTCCACCATTACGGTGGAAAATATGTGCGGGAAAAATTGTTCCCCAGGGACGCGTACAGGTTAGAAACGGCGCGAAAATGGCACAACGTAGCATAACGTGAGTAAAGCAATTGAAAATTGTAATTAAATTATTGTTGAATTCGTCATATTAGATTCTGAACTATACACATGCTGTGACACCTTTTTCATTTCTTTTTGTTATTAATCGCAGGTCATTTTTCGCAAGGACTTCCGTAAAGAAAGATAGCGATGATACGAGTAATTCAAGGTATGTTATTTAATTCTTTGTTATTTCATCAGATTTTGCAATTATGTTCAGACTTGTGGTCTGCGCGCGAGTGATTGTATTCAACAACTATTGGCATTCGGTATTTGTACGTAAAGTGTCTCGAATAAACAATGCTTGGTGCTCGATTGTAAACAATATTTTTAATTGGACAATTGCTAACAGCAAAGTTATCGACGACGGAGAACCAGAAAGCTTCGGTAGTGCTAAACGAAAAAGAGAAGACGATGGGGACAATAATAATGAATCTTCCAGGTAAGTAAGTGGAATTGAATAGCAGTCTTAAACTACTATGAGTAATAATATGAGGTATGCTGTTTTAGTATTTTGAAAATTAAATGTCCATATATTTTTGATGTTATGCATTTCTTTATGATAACATTGTTGCAGTTCTCCACCTGCAAAGAAACCAGAAAAGAAATCCTCAAAGGAAAAGACAACACAAAAGACTCCTCCATCGGCAAAAAAGGCAAATGGTAAAATGGGTATACAAATGATTGTTCTAGTACTGTAATACATTGTAGATTTTTATTCTTGTAAAAATGTTTAAGGGAAAACACCTAAAATTGTGTTGTCGCCTGGATTAACTAAGCAAAATGAAAAAAGAAAGACAAAATCCCCGAATAGTGTTTCTAAGAAAAAGAAGAAGACTGACAAAATACAGGATGTTGTTGAGAAAGGGACATCAGAAAAAGAAGCAAACATTGAGGATGAAATAGAGGATGATCCAGGGGTGGAAGATACAAAGCAGTCAAACTCCCCTAAATCTGAATCATCAAAATTTTCTGATGAGTCCAATAATAAAATAAATTCAAAAAAAGTTAATAAGAAGGTTGTGAAAAAAAGATTACGGATAACAGCGCCTGTCAATGACTCCAGTGATGAAGATGGTCATTTACCAGTAAAAGTATGTTCATTCATTGTACAATTGTATAATATAATGGTAATTTAATATTTTAATACATCAATCAACAGATACCAGACAATCCAGAAAACTTAGATATTAGTGAAAAAAAAGATAGTCCTAAAAAATCAGTCATCAATGGGGAAAAAAATAGTTCAAGTAAAGAAAAAAAGGAATTTGACGAGAAAGTTCAGGACACTTCTGAATGTAGTCAAGAAACTATTGATAAAAAACAAGAAGACAATGAAGAAAAAGCTGTTAAAAAAATAAATAATTTTTTTGGTAAGCTCTTCATCTCCATATTTTTGTAAAATAAAACTCTATCAATGAAATTTATGTTTTCTAGCACCAAAACAAAAGGAAACTACAAAAGATAACAAAGCAGATAAGAAGAACCCTGGAAGTCATTCATACAATCCAAGTACTTCCAAGTATCATCCGATAAATGACGCATTTTGGAAACAGGGTGAAAAGTATGTTTTGTATCTTTTTTATACAATCTGTCTACTGTACCGATATATTATTTCGTGATTTCTGTATAGAGTACCATATATCGCGCTGACGCGTACATTGGAGCTAATCGAAGAAACCAGCGCTCGATTGAAAATAATAGAAATTTTATCCAATTACCTTCGCTCAGTCATAGTTTTAAGTCCAAATGATTTACTCCCAAGCATATATTTATGTTTAAATCAGTTAGCACCCGCTTACGAAGGTAAGTATTTGTCAAAATTTATTCGTCCAAACTAGATATGCATACGAGATGTTGTTGCAGGAATTGAGTTGGGTGTGGCGGACACGAACCTTATGAAAGCTATAGCACAATGTACTGGCAGAACATTAGCTCAAATAAAAGCCGACGTACAACAAGTTGGAGATTTGGGCATTGTGGCTGAAGGAAGTCGTTCCAATCAAAGAACGATGTTTCAACCACCACCGCTAACAGTATCAACCGTATACACTAAATTAAAGGAGATAGCGCAAATGACTGGTTCCGCGGTATAACATTAATGTCAATATAAATAAGTATATCGTGATTACATAGATGGTACATGTGACATTTATTTACAGTCTTTAGCCAAGAAACTGGATAAAATTCAAACACTTTTCATAGCATGCCGTTTTACGGAAGCCAGATATTTAATTAGATCTTTAGCTGGTAAGCTTCGAATCGGTCTAGCGGAGCAATCTGTGTTACAAGTAAGTACACCCATGCTATGTTTGGTTACAATTACCTAACAAACGACACATTACAGGCTTTAGCTTTAGCGTGTACAATGACTCCACCAGAACAGGGCTCTTCGTCAGAAATGTTAGATGCAAGCAAAACAATGTCGAGTGACTCCTTTAAGCAGAAGTACGACGAAACTGCGCTTATTCTTAAAACAACGTATTGGTAAGGTATTTTTTTTGTATAGTTACCTAAATTAACTTTTTGACACATTCACAGTGAGACATTTCTTTTTTCTAGCCAGTGTCCAAATTACGATAAGATAATTCCCGTTTTGTTGAAAGAGGGGATCAAAGAGTTACCAAGCAAATGTAAAATTACACCTGGTATACCCATGAAACCTATGTTGGCACATCCCACTAAAGGTGTACAGGAAGTATTAACGCGTTTCGAAGGATTGAAGTTTACTTGCGAGTGGAAGTATGATGGAGAAAGAGCACAGGTTCATTTTTTTCGGTCATTACATTAAGTGTCATCGAAAATAAATCGTAGTGTAATAATATTTAAATATTTTGTAGATTCATTTTGCTGAAAATGGCGACATTAGTATTTATAGTAGGAATCAGGAGAACAATACTAGCAAATATCCCGATATTATAAGGCGAGTTAAAAATACAAGAGGGGAAAATGTTCAAAGTTGTATCCTCGACTGCGAAGCGGTTGCTTGGGATAATGAGAAAAAACAAATACTTCCGTTTCAAATACTCAGTACGAGAAAGCGCAAGGTAGTACGACTTTTACAAAAAGTTCGTAGTGTCAAATTAATTCGGTCGTTTGAAATACCATTTTTAATTACAGGATGCAAATGAAGCAGATATAAAGGTCCAAGTGTGTGTATTTATGTTTGATTTACTATATTTAAATGGCGAATCGTTAGTACAAGAGCCGTTCATAAAACGTCGCGAGCTATTGAAAGAAAACTTTAAAGAAGCGGAAGGAGAATGGAAATTTGCAACTAGTTTAGATACTTCGATCATGGAGGAGGTGCAAGATTTCTTAGATGAATCAGTTAAAGGTTAGGTTGTTTGTTTTTGCCGGTTTAGATGTAAACAAGTTCTAGAAAAGTCATAGTAATGGTTAAACAGGTAATTGCGAGGGTCTTATGGTGAAAACGTTAGAACGAGATGCAACGTACGAAATTGCTAAGCGATCGCGAAATTGGTTAAAGCTGAAGAAAGATTACTTGGATGGTGTGGGTGATACATTAGACCTAGTTGTTATAGGAGGATACATAGGGAAAGGAAAACGAACAGGTACTTACGGAGGATTTCTCTTGGCTTGTTATGATCAAGAAAACGAAGAATATCAGAGCATCTGTAAGGTGAATATCGCAAACTTTATAATAAATTCAATGTTCTTTGAAATATGATATTGGTGTTAATATCATGTTATTTTTTATTTTATTTTTTAATTAGATTGGTACTGGATTCAGCGAAGAGGATCTTCAAAAACATACTGAATTCTTTAAAGAACATATAATACCGCAAACCAAGTCATACTATCGTTATGACACATCCCACGAACCTGATCACTGGTTCGAACCTGTCCAAGTTTGGGAGGTTAAATGTGCGGACTTGTCCCTGTCACCTGTTCATAGAGCAGCTAGTGGTATTATCGACCCTGAAAAGGGTATATCTTTGCGATTCCCACGATTCATTCGTATTCGCGACGATAAAACTAATGAAGAGGCCACGTCTGCGCAACAAGTAGCGTCTATGTACAGCAGTCAAGAGCAGATAAAAAATCAAACCACAGGAGCAAAAAATACGACAGAGGAAGACTTTTATTAGACGTAACTCTAAATAGAACATATTTTTTTACACATAAAATATAAAAGACATCTGATGATATGTTCACAGTGAAATGTTAGAATTTGATAAGTCTTATAAATGTATGTACGTATTAATATTAAATTTTTGTATGAATGAATGTTCACCTTCTAAGAAATTTGTATTAAAGAATGATATTACTTTACTTTGTATTAAAGAATGATGTATACTTTATTGTCTGTTTATTGTTCTTACTAGACTATTAGTCCTTAGTGTAAGTGACGCTCATACTTCACATTGATAATTGCGTGTAATTGGCTATTGCGTTTGAACGTAGCGGATTTTAATTACGTTTTCTTTTATCACGTAGTTTATTTTTCCGTTAGTTGCAATTATAGAAACTAAGTTTACTACAAGCTTGAGCGTTTCCACACCGATGGCGCCACTATCGAAAGGGTCGATAATTGTTGCTATATTAAATAACTATTCATAAAAATGATAAATTTAACATATTGACTAATATATTGTACTGTTATAAAGCAAGAAATCGTATTAATTGTGTATTTATGACAAAAATAAACATTACTGTTTGAAACATATTTGTGGCGCCATCTTATAGATATAATGGGAACTATTTTCACTACAAACTTGGGCGTTTTGCCACCGATGGCGCCACCGGTACTCGGTAAAAAAAAAATATTAAAAAACATGATAAATTGGCATATTCGCACACCCGCTAATTATTGTATTACTTCATACACTGGTTATTTAATTTTATTTCAAGTTAATTGTAATGAAAAAGGACGGGGTGGTACAATTTTCAATTCTGTATACTACGATTAAAAAATATTTGTCTATTGCGTTTGTCGTGGACTGTTTTATTTGCAGCTTAATCGTACAGTATTCAAATGATGTCAGAGGCGTTTAATAATTCCGATTCCTTATCTTCTTCCATGGGATTCAATTTACTGGCAGAACCAGGAGAATTTAATTTCGTCTGTTCGGGTGTTAATCGAATCGTTGTGCCATGTCGGCTGTAGTCTTCGATTTCTCCGATCGGTCTTTCAATCTCTTCCTCCATGTCCCTTCCACATTTGTTCTATATTTTAATGTAACAAACTTCGATCAACGAACGCTGTTTTGTCGCAATTAATTCAAATCGACGCTTACTTTACCTGGATCACCTTGACGAACTCTTCCCGAAATTCTGTACTACAGGAAAAATATATAACAACGTATACGGCATAATTACAAAGCTCTGCGGCAGCTGCGTACGCTCGAAATAAATGGTAACCAACATCCCTGGTCTCGCAATTGTGATACAATAATGGAACAAGGATCGATGGTATCATCGTCACCATAAAGCACACAGCCATAACCGACATCAGCGTAGCTAGGTGCTGTTCTTCTCTGGAAAATGATTTAAGCGCGATAAGAAGAGTGATTACCCAAGTACATGCAACGGCTATTCGCGTACAACAGGGTTGAGCGTTATTCGGGTAATTATTTCGTCACCTATTATTCGGAGAAAACTTTCCCTCGTTATTCGCACATTTCAAGGGCACCGAGTCTTTCTTTCACGAAACACTATATTTTCGTTTCGGTAACCCAAGAGTCGTAGAAGAGCAAAATATACTTTACACGTATACAGAGTCTGTGATTCGGCTAAGGAGGGTGCTCGAAATTTACACCTTCGGTTTATCAACTGAATCTTTGACCCTGACAAATCTTTAACACGTTGAACGCCGCGTCACCCACATACGGGCGACGGAGCTTTTCGCTAAGGAACTTCAACAAATGATTTCAAGGGCTGAGCGTCGATGAAAACCGATCTGGATAGAATTCGTAAATTTCACTATTTCGACGAAAATACAAAAATGAGTAATACGACAAACGTTAGATTCTACAGTTTCTAATTGTCTCGAGAGGAAATTTTAGTTCTGTAAACATTTCCACGTGAATACACGGCAGTCAACGTATCAATACGAATTCCTTAACTTAGCTATAATTCCAAGATTAAATACAAGTTGGAAACCAAGTAAAATACAAAGAAAAAAAAAAAGTAGAGTAACGCGTAAATGGATCGAACAAGCGACGGTTTAAAATTTCACACCACTCGAGCACTTCCCGAGGGCAACTCGCTATATTTACTTCCGAGGAGTGTACGCTACCTGTACCCTCTGTTGCAACGGGTGAGCAAAGACGCCTCGGGAACGTTCGCTGTACGATATTTCTCCGAGACCAATTGAAATTCCTTTTTCTTTGCGTTCAAGTGGAGAAACCTTCTGACAACGACTGTGTTCAACAGCAGAAGGATCATCGTCGGACAGAGGCGCGTCACGATCTCCATGATCCAGATGTAACCGTGCCAGAGCCCGTTTCCCGTAACAGAAGTATTCTCGCGCAACACGAAGAGAACACCTGTGCTACCTTGCTGCTCGTGTACCATTCTCATTCCAGTCAGCGGGGCGGTTACCTGCGCAACGATCGTAATCGGAATTACCAACGACGATTAATTAAATATTACAATAAAATAAATAAGACGTTAATTCGATTAAATTGCGTACCGCGAAACCGAGAATGAACGAGCACAGAATGGAAGAGCGAACGTTTTTGCGCGCGTTCCTGCCGCGGATACGAGCTGGGAAAAAGATGAAGATGTATCGATCCACGATTAAGCAGGCCATTATCAAAACGCTCGCAGTGGAGAAGGTATTAACAGCGACTAGTTCCAAATGGGCGTGATAGAATACAGATGGATAGTTGTTCTTCATCCCGTGGCCCAGTCTGACAACTGAAACGAGACACTTTTCGTTAACGACGAACCGTTTCAACAAATTTCAACTTTTTCTAGGCTCTGCGATATCATTCGCGCGTTCTAAATCAACCCTTCGCACTCGAGGCCTTCTTTTCTGGTATCCTTTAGCAACTCGAGATGTTTCTTAGCATTCTATCGGCACGAATCCTAAGCTATCGAGATTTTAGAACAAGATCACCTTTACCTCACCGACGATCATTTTATTGATACGTCGAGCTCCGTAGAAATTCAATCTAAAGAAACATTAGGTATTGTAGATTTGCTGCGTGAAACCTAATGGTGACTAAGTTAATTACAATTTTACATAGTTTTTTTTTTTGGAAATTGATCGATGTACGAATACTTTCTAAACCTACTGTGCGTGTTTAGGACGACGAATGCTACAAGGATCACCTAGTGGATATTACAGAACAAAATTCGTGTCGGACAGTGTAGCTTGCGTGGAACCCCAGCGGAAGGTAGCTACTTCCCAGGATTACGTATCTAATTCAAGACGAGTAACTGTTTAATTAATTCGATTCGAATTATTCGTATCTGTTCGTAAATGTATGTTCCAGGACGTACGTATCGGTATCCAAGACACCAGGACCCCGATGTGAGCCAGTGCGAGTCCTCTGAGATACAAATACGCTATTCCACGGAACGCTGGCGTCGACAGCACCGCGAGCACCAAGATGTTGCCGAATATACCGCTGGCGACGACTGTCGGGACCACTATTCTGTAAATAATTCTCAGCGAAGGCGTAGCCACCTGGAGAACGTTTTCGTTCCCGTCGACGACGCCGTTCCACGTAGAGTTTCCGTTCACGCAGGACAAAAGCGTTCTGAGAACAATGTTTAATCCGCTACAGTTTACGCGAAACGAGTTTATTACGCTGGCCGGATCGAATCTTCCCAACGCGAGTATTAAAAATATTTCCTGGGACAAAGAATGATGTACCATGGACAAACAAGCGACACGTTTACACTGCTTTATTTTTTTATCTTTATCTGCATAACTTGTACGTCTTTTTTATTTATAAATTACAAACAGTTTCTATACCCGTAAACGAGCCCGGGTCGAAAACATCCTCCGTTTAGCCGATGAATAAAACATGTAGCTTGTTTGGCCGCGTCGTTTTTACTTAAAATTCCAGGAACTTTATGCGTCCAGTCGTTTCTCTCTCTCTCTCTCTCTCTCTCTCTCTCTCTCTCTCTCTCTCTCTCTCTCTCTCTCATTTTTATTTTTAAACAAAGAAAAACGTACCCTTTCAGAATTCCCGTCAACATAGCGAATACCGAAACTATGCGTTACAGAAAATTGCAACGCGTTTTAAAAACCACCGTCCAAGATGCACCACGTTCGAAGACTTCGCCGTTGTCATTAAATATCTTTATCACGCGCGTTCTATCGCGATCATTTGTAGTCACTTGCGCTGAAAGCGTCGCGTCAAGGCGTACAACAAGTTCTGCGAGATCCAACACCCCCCGATGAACTCACCACCGAGTTACCTCGCGTAAAAGCCGATATGGCGCATGCTCTGCAGACGGTTCACTTATTGTTACACCCCGAAGTATTTACTTGGACATTATAATTATATTCCGGTGTCCTTCGTTCGCCTAACGCGGTTAAAGATTCGATAAAACCGCGTCCCGTGGGAAACTAATATCGCGAACTGGATCCATGTCCGACGAAACGTTCGCTCTTCCATCGAGATCCACCGCGGGATCGACGACGCGAAACGATCGAGATGAACGTTTGAAAGATCGTCGCGTATCGATAAAACGACCACGTATGCCAAAGAACGATTCAAAGTGGTTGCTTCGTGGATCTATTTAACGTGGATCTATTTTTATGGATCCAAGAACCATAATTTTAGTAAAACTTCACTTGCTTGTTCTTTGATTAAGGGGGGAGTCTGGTCCAGCTAACGTATTTTTCTAATGCGTATAATTTCCAGGTGTAATTAATTTTTGTTATCGAAACTTTTTTTTACGTATAAAGGGACATTCAAAGAAGAAAATTTGACGGTGTAGATTTAATTTGAATGCATACATATGTGGATATAGTAGTCGCAAGGAAAGGATTCGGTCAAAACGGTGGGATATGTGGAGCCCTGGGAGTACATACGATAGGTGAAATCAGAAAATTTGTTTCTATAGTAGATACGTAAGATGCGTATGAACCTCAGTTTGCGAAAAAAAAAATTGTGAATTGCAAAAATTGCGGCAAAAAACATGAAAATGAACGATACATGTAGACCGTTATTTTGCAATAACTTTATGCTACAATAATAATTCATTAAGAGTCGAGGTTCGTGAGCGTATAAACTTAATTACCTTCAATTTAAGCGTTGAATCAAGTGAATCGAATAAAAATTGACTATCTCGAAGCAATTACCTTAAATCGATTTTTAAACCTCTGCTTTCTCCGTGCTATTTTCTGAAAAGGACAGCCGACTAATACGATGGACTATAGATTGCCAAATATCAAGAATCGAGTGGGGTCGACCGGTATAAATTCAACGTGAAATCGCTGGTCGCCTCTTAATTTTGAAACAAATCGTGCCGACCGATTCTAATGAACGGGACGAGTCGGTGACATCATGAAACCGAGAGTGATAGGACACATATTCTGGTGACGAACGAGTTCTGGTATCCGTGATACACGAGATCAAGGATTCGTTTCTAATTATCTTTATCTCTGTTCAGGATAGTGCAATTCGTCGACGTCTGCATAGGTGCGCCGAGGATCTTGGCCACGGTTGGTTCCTGTCCTTGTCGATCTGTCTCCGAATGCCTTGATAAATCCGAGCTCCGTTACAACGACAGCCAGGTGTCGATATTGCCTTGTGAAAACGAAGATTTCGTGAGATGTTGCCCCACGTTTCCAACAGCAATCGAATTTGCAGAGACGAGTGAGAATGTGCAAGATCAGAGGAACAAACTCGAGGACGAAGCAGATTTCAATGAAATATTGAGCGCATCCGATTCGATGCAGGTTGAAGAAACTCTCGAGGGATCCTCGACGAGTAAATTGGAACCTGATGAATCATCCACAGATGTACCCACACTAAGCTCGAACCCTCGATCTTACGAAGATCACAGTGAGCTGAGTGTGAATGCTACGAAAAAGGAAGACGTTAATAGTGCTCTTACTATTGGAAACTACAAAGGTGTGTCGGAATATATAGAAAATTCTACGAGTTTTGCGTACGAAAATCCGAAGCTGCCATTGCAGCAACACGTTGCACGACAGCAGCAACCTCAGAAGACAGCATCGACCTCAGAATCGGGACCATCGTATGTTAGAATATCTAACATGACTCCAACTCTTCGTTATCGCCCTCAAGTACAAAGTGCGAGACGCGAAGAATCCACGACAATGAGAAATGATCGATTCGTAAGACCGGAAGTGGGTCGGTTTGCAGAAGACATCCAAGAGCCATCGTACATGAGTCTGATCAGTCAAGTAACGAGGTTCCACAGTCATAGGACGTCTCCGAGGAAACCAGTTCCGTTCGAAGGTGTATACTGGAGGCAGCAAAACAAGAAAATTATGGCGAAAGACTTCGACGATACATACTCGTAGACACGGCCTTGTATACACGGATTTACGAATCGAAGTGATGCAAAGATAACGGGAAAAGATGCCCTCGTGTGACGTCACAAGATAATATTTTTACAACATTCAAACCTATTTCATTTTGTAACCAATAATTATAAATAAATAACTTTGCTCTTGACATCTGTGTATTGTTTTTACTATCTTTGAAACTAAAACAAGTTATAAGAAAATAATATAATTTATATTTAATATATCAAAATTACTATTTCCAAAATACGTTACGATGAGCATTATTTAAAATTATTAGAGTTGAAGTTAACAATTAATAAAGCAAAATATGTACACTAAAGTCTGTATACTAAAGACTCAACGACAAAGTTCCGTCGTTACTTTGCCCTCATGTGACGTCACATAGATTTTATCTTTGCTTCAAAGCATTTGTCTGAAGCCGTGTCTATAAGTTTACATATGTATGTTGTTGAAGGTGGAAGATATCAAGCCATTGGTTCCTGGGAGAGCGATCTCGAGCAGAGGTCGGCATCCTAAGGCGAGCTACAAGTTTCCATCGGCGACCAAAAGCGCGTCTGAAAAAATAAACGATCTTACCGAGCGGAAAACATCATTAGCGCCAGCTCTCACGCTCGATAAGGTATCTATTCGAGCGACCAACGAAAATGCAAGCTCGGTGAGCAAGCTCAATGCGTCACAGCGTGACGACGCGTCGGCGTCGTTCAGAAAATCGTACCCGGAAGATATCGGGGATGTTAAACACGTCGCTCGAAGTCATGCTTCAGACTTCGACGGGATAACCAAAGAGTCCGACAATTCTTCGAATTCTTCATCCGTGAACAACGCCTGGTCAACGGAGCCAGCTCAAGGCGATTCAAAAGGCCACCCAGAATCTTGGCCGCGAGAGATCTACGAAACGAGAACTGGTTAAATAAATTGCTGAATTCGAGGGAGCGAGCGAGAAGTTTTGCTTGATAAATCAAACGACACCTGAAGGAATCAGATGTCTGTCGTTATCGACAGAGACGATTCTAGTCTGAGGAGCTCGAGATAGTAATACTATTATAATAGTATATATTATACTATATGTTACTATCTGTAGATAGACTGAAAAGTAATGTCGTTTCTTTTACACTAAATTCAAATAAATTTTTGATAAATTTCTATTTTTAAGCAATTATGTAATCGCTCTCGTTATCAACAGCCACCTAGTGTGCAAATGTTCAATGACCGATCAAAATCAACGAGGTGTTGAGTGATAAACAAGGATTTAAAATTGCACAAACGACATTACTTTCCAGTCTACCTAATAAAATACAATGTATATATATATATATATATATAATAAATATTTTATACATAAATTAAATATAAATGCTGAAATCGAAGAGATCGCATCTTCTTGAAATGATGTATGTGTAACCACGTACACAAATTCGCTCTTAGCACTATGTATATGATGCAGAAATTCGCTTCCATTTTATCCTTCACCTTTAGATACGATATACCATTAATATTCGCCGTGTAGACGGGAAAAAAAATAAACACCTCGACGAAAAAGTATTTACATTCTATTAATAGTTTGAATAAAAGACGGCGAATTACTGGCCCCATGGCAAAGTTGAGCAATGTTGTTGGTAGTTTTAGAAATGTTGATAAATGAGTTACAATCTGAGACAGTGTGCTTGCGATAATGTACTGTTATTATATAATTCTCGTTATGAAAGACCTCGAATTGTTAGTTTTAGAATCCTTTCTCTCACTTTCGTTAGCGATAGTATTTTAAGTTGGCATGTTGGCAGTACTGGGCAATCAGTACCATCGATATATCGACAGAATTCAAAAATTAACGAACCAAGCTCGATCGAGCCGGATCGAACAGAGAACCTGTTGCCTTGATATTAAATATCATTTACAATATTAATAAAATGGCTGAGTTTAAAACACCGACGACAAACAGGTACAGAAGCAGAGTCCAGGATAACGCGGAACTGCAAACGCCTATTAAAATACCGGCGTCACCATTTCTCGAACAGATAGGTTACGGATGTGGTAAAGAGACGCAGATATTTCAATTTGTTAACGATCTACGTTAATATTATTTTAATACGCGAATTTGTTTCTAGGTGTTTCTGTGTTTAGTTTGGAACGATCACCGAAGGTTGGTTTTGCTCGATCGCCATGGGCAATAAAGAAAAGGAATTACAAAATTCAGGAACACGAAAAGTACAATGAACGCATTCGACTCGAAGCAGAAATACTTCGTAAACTAAATCATCCGAACATTATCGGTTTTCGTGGACTCACCGAAGTTGCGAACGGTGAACCATGCTTAGCAATGGAGAAATTGGACACTTCTTTAGGTATACGAAAATAATGCACAGGGAAACAAAACTTCTTGTCGTCTTTATCTTTCAAATTATTGACAGAAAGAATATAATTTTTCTAGGTGACATGATCGAACAGAGACTTGATGCTGGCGAAGACTCGTTTCCTGCCAAAGACATTTTAAAAATTGCTAACGAAATTGTAAAAGGATTGGAATATTTACATCATACCGCTCATATTTTACATGGCGATGTAAAAAGCCATAATGTGTTGCTTTCCAAAGATTACAAAACTGTTAAACTTTGTGATTTTGGAGTGTCTGTTCCGCTTAAGGAATCTTTAGAAATTGACACGTCAAAAGGAAATTTTACGTATGTAGGGACTGAGTGTTGGAGTGCACCTGAAATAATAAATGGTTGGTTCCTTTTTTGGATTCATACATACCAATAGCTGTAACAGGCAATAATTATAAATTGTATTTTCTAGAGGATGGTCCAGTTACAAATAAGGCAGATATTTGGGCGTACGGTCTTGTGATTTGGGAAATGATTGCTTTGTCTACACCGCATCTAGGAGATCTAGAAAGTGAGCATTCTTCATTTGATGAATCAATGACAGACTTAGAAACAACAAAGGATGATGAACACAGTCTCAATATGGATGATAGCATTGTATTCCTTAAGGAAATGATCAGTTCTAAGTATGGTAAGTATTACATATCTAAAGATACCTTTAAAAATCAATATATCAAATAAAATACATTAATAATTACAGGTACTCGTCCTCCATTACCAGCCATTAACCTAGGGAAAGAATATGAAAAAGTACTCGAGTTATATTTTGCATGCACTACTTCAGATCACAATCTTAGGCCAAGTGCTAAAGGTATTTGTAAATATTTCGAAAATTATATCTGTAAAAAGTCTAAATGATCCTATTCTATTTTACATTTTTTTTACAAAAAAGATTAAGGATACTGTATGTCATTGTTAATAAAATAAATTTTTCACTTTTATAAAAATTTCTATTTCGTTTTTCATAAAAATATAATTACCGTTAAAAGGTGACTATCATTACCAGTAAAAGAACAATAATTATTATACCAATTATAATAACACACTTATATTTTCTCTGGAAAAATAGGTTTGTATTAGTAGAGTTACCAAAGGCGAAGATTCTATTACCGATCTTTATTATAAATACCTTTCTGTATTTGTCACTTTTTTCTTTTGCTTTTTTAAGATCATTGCGACCGCCATCAATATTACTCGCAGTTCTTTTAGCAAAATATTCTACACTTTTTATTTGTTCTCCCTGTTAAAAAAAACAGATAGTTCAAATGTTTGTATATTTAACACTTACTTATCATAGTTTAATAGTTGCTTATGCTTACTTGTATATCGATATAAATTGCAATTTCAATAAGCATGTGCAAAATTTCCCTTATAGATTTTTCGAGCTTTATTAATTCATTGTGTCTAGTTTCTGTATCCGCTAACCGTTGTCTTGCATTTCTACTTTCTTCTAAATACTGTTTATGAAAAATTTTACATTTGCATTTCACAAACAAAACAATAATTTAGAGATATACATATATAATCTGGACACTTACATTTTGAGTAAATACCGAAACATCTTCAAAATCAATTAGCTCTTCTAAATCAAGTTGTTTTTCGTTTGGAATATACGTGACTAAAAAAAGCGACTAAAGAGATAAGTACGCTTATCTAAAAATGATTTTAAATTTTTCGTGAAAACGTACCTATTTTTTTTTTCCTTTCTAAATCTGAATGGCATTTGTCATAATATTTCAACATAGAACTGCTATAGTCTTCTATAAGGTCGGAAAACGATTTTAGCATGGTCTCGTATTGTAAGGCTTTGATTCGAATATGTATTGGCCTATCTGTTTCATTGAATAGGTTTGAATCATCAACGATAGCAACTTCCTTTTCCATTTCTACAAAGATGTATATAAATATTTAAATAATTTTAATTTAAAAAAAAAATTCATATAATACCAAGTTTATTTTTCTCTTAATGTTGAATTGTCAATAATCTTTTTAATTTCATGTGACCTGATTAATTTTTATAAATGGTTTTGCCCGCGTAAAATATAAGCAATGTTCAAAGTATTTCTTGTACTTAATACGATCGTATTATGCAAATAATTTTGATTAATTTGTAAGGGTATTTATTACTATGTATGATATATAAATTATTCATATAGTTTGCGACAACATATACAAAAATGTACAATGTCTGAAAATAAGTGCAAAGTTTACGTTGCACTTTACAACGTAGCTAATTGGTCGGACAGTTTCCCGCTTTCGAATGGACGCCACAGTCCCTTGTCGAACGTTTCATATTTTGAGCGAGATGTTCTTCTGTAAACGTTCAATAAAGTTTTCTGATGGTGCACACCACAATGGAATTACAAATTTCTTATCGATACGCACTCAGAAAATGATAACCTGAGGCTGTAACTCTTTTTATCGCATGATAAGTTAAGGTTATGTTTACATTTGCAAGATATTTGAAGAAATGTGATTATAATTGTAGTTTTGTTTTAAAATGATTTAAACCAAATACAGTTGTTACCATGGAGTCCTTGAAAATATTTGACGATTTTAAATTCAGTGATTTAAGTGAAGATTGGATTCAATCCGTTTGGGATACAGAATTTATGATCTACAAGGAACCACCTGATGAGTACCTCATGTTTTTGGAGAGCGAAGACATGAGACTGCTTTTACATGAATCATATATTGCTGTAAAAACCTGGCTGGCAGAAGACACAAACCAAAATAACTCTGAACATTGCTCCGATATATCTTGGAGTACATTGATAATTTTGGATGTAAAGGTGCGTGCTCTATTAACTATATTGGGTTACGTAATAAAGAGCGGTCAGGAGAAAGATGCTGAAAGAGACTCAAGGCAATCATGTCTATATGCAACTAATTTATATTTCATACTCTTGGCTGTTCCTGGTAGCAGCGCATTTAATGTATTTCATCCAAACTTGTATCAAAGAGCTATTGAAACACTGAAAGTAAACTCTGAGCTACTACAACCACAGATCAAAAAAAGGAACAAAACAATGAATTTAGATGACTTTACTATTAAGGATGAGTCGGTACACGACATTACCCTTTCACCCAATGAAAGAGAAGCTTTGATCAAAAATTTAGATATAACCATTTGTAGTCTTACCATCATGATAAAATCATTTTGGTTTAAGGATTATGTGCAATCATTGGATGTTACTATTAATGGATTGCTTGAAGTCACAAAAGTAGAAACTGATTGTGTAGATTTTCAGTACAGTAATAGGCAAAGAGGTTCTATAGAAGTTTCATTGATAAAAAATGCTTATTTAGCTTTGCAAGAATTATGTGATAGTAAGCATGGAGCTATTAAAGTTACTATAACAATCATAGCAAAGTATGTTTTACCTCGTCTATTATGCAGTCATATGGACACACAAATAAAATCTATTGTAATTTTACGTGAATCTACTATAAATTTTTTGAAAATTTTATTGGAAGTACACGAGAAAGAAGCTAAAATAGCTATTATAACACTAATACAGAATTTGATGCTGCATTGTCCAGATAGACTTGAAGCCCGTCAAAAGCAAGCTAGTATATTGATAAAAGTCTTTGGAATTTGTAAACAAAACATTTTACTAGAAGGCTTTAAAAATGTAATACTATTATCACATCATAGTAAAATACCTCTCAGAATATTTGCTCAAGAAATAATTGGAAAATTATTGATTGAAAACTTTTTAATGGATTGTAGCATGATAGACAGTCTAAAGTTTCAAGCAAAAAAAGTATTTCTTGCAATTGTATTAAGTAGATGTATGGACTGTTCAAATATGGTGAGAGGAAAAGCCATGGCAATAATTGCAGAGTTCACAGAATTTAATAATGAAGTAGACAAATTAATATTTCAAACTATGTTCAAAGATTCTGATCCAAATAAAACATTTCCATCATTTGATGATATCAAGGATGCCCTGTGCAAAGATATTGACTTATTACCTGGTTCAAATGTTTTAATAAGTATGCTAACAGAACGAATAGAGGATGAAAGAGCAATGATACGACGAAGTACCTTGCACATTTTGAAAAATTTGATTTTAATGTTTCCACCTCTAATGAATGAAATGATACCTGTAATTAGTCGTCGATGTAGAGATACAACATTAACCGTACGCCGATTTGCTGTGCAAGTTTTATCTCAAATTTTGCAACAGTTCCCGGATAATTCTCTACTTTTGGATGAGTGGGTACAAACTGTTGTTCCACAAATATTTGATATAGAAATCAAAGTACAAGAAAAGGTACTGGAATATTTACAAGAGTTACTGCTAAACAGAATAGTAGATTTTTCTATGTGTAGTGACACTGCAGGAAGTACTTTGCCATGGAAAATTCTGAATACATTAACTAACATGAAAATGCGAAGGCATTTATCGAAAGCTTGTAACCTATGGGTTAAAACTGGTATTATTACTAATTCTGTAGTAAAAAATATACAGTCTCATATCGGAACGAAAAATAACATAGGAGCTTGGATCTTTTTAGCTGCTCTGGCAGAAAATATGAAATTGCCAAACATGAATAAATATATATCGAATTACAGAGAAATTTTGGAAGAGAATGACTTTTATACAAGCTTAGTTCTGCAAGTTTTAAGATATTCGTGGAAGTCCTTGGATAATGAAGTTTTGGAGTGTCTTCATGTATATATTTATAAATGTATACAGGAATTTAAAATCAACTTTGGTTTGATTAGTGTTTCCTTGGACATTATACACAATATAATACAGCATTTAAATCCTAATAAGGATAGTAATTCACTGGAGTCAAATATGCTAAATCTGATCAAGATTTCCGAGAAAGAAATTACTAAAGGTTTTAAAAATGAAAGCCTGGCTATAGAAGCAGCACCTAACTATCTGAAAGCTATATTCACGTTAGGCCATACTACACTTTTGTGTACTTGTAAAATTTCACCATTAATATTACGCATTTTACAAGGGATGCTTCTAGAATGGAATGTCTTGCCAGAAGCAATAAAGGAAATACAAGAGTTACGAGCATCGGCAGTTATTATTCTTGGTCAGCAAGCTGTAAGAGATCGCGAAGTTGCGATAGAAGTAGTTCCGATATTTGGTAGATTAATGAGACAGGAAACCAATCTGAATTCAGCTGTCGAAATTGCTGTGAAGATAAACGCTGCAAAGGCTTTAGCCGATATTTGTATTAGATTCACTGCAATAGTTGAACCCTATTTGTCAGATATGTGTGTTAGTATGAAGGATTCGAGTCCACAAGTACGAGAAGTTATTATGGTGATATTTATTCAGCTGCTTCTCGAAGATTATGTAAAAGTTAAGGGCCCATTTTTTTTTCACATGTTGACAATGTTATCAGATTCGGACAACGTGATACGTGAATTAACCATTTTCTTAATAGAAGAAAGACTTTTAACAAAGAACAAAACATTGATATCACAACAGTTTTTACAAAGTATGTATCATTACAACAATTATGAATCTCAGCACAAAATTTGTCATCACAAAATGCGTGAGAAGGAAAGAAAAGCATTAACACTTCCTGGGAAAAAAAATGAAGATAAACGACGAACAATTTATGACTTTATGTTAGATCACTTGGATCCTCCAGGAAAGATAAAGTTACTTGTAAAAATAACTAGTCAAATATTCGGTGGAATTTGTCTTGATTTGGTTGATGTTAGGAAAGAGGAGGGAGCATGTGTTTTAAAGGATGCATTATATGTAATTAGTAATGATCGTTTGCAACCGTCATCATTTCACAAACATGGCGACGATGATCAACAAGAATCTGAAGAACCTACAGTTCAAGCAGTTACACCAGCTACTAATGCAATAACTATTATTGTTGAAGGAATGAAGAAACATGGTTTAGAAGTTTTATTGCCTATATTAATAAAACTGATAAAGAAGTTATCAGTTCTAAGATCTCCATTGGAAAATGATGTAAAAAAACTTTTGGTTAAAACATATTCAAAGTATAGCAAAGATCAATTGATTAATATACTAAATGAATACCCTGAATTGGAAAAAGAAGTGGAACAGTTCAAGAAGTATGTAAAAATACTGTTTAATATATTATCAATTACTTATTAATTATATATTTCAGGCAAGTGGGAGATATTAGTTTTGAGAATGAGGACTCTAGTGAAGAAGGAAGTTTGCCGTGTGAAACAAATAATCAGAGTAAATCTACCCGGAATTCAGAGTCAAGAATGTCTGAGTTACATCCTACAATTCAGCTAGAACGTATTTCAATTTCTCGTATTTCAAAAAGTACATCGTTAAATCCTAACCTACCACTTTCACCAACTAGTTCTATAGATAGTTGGCATCCTATATCTTCGACGCCAATTTTACAACCACCTTCACCTTCGCAACCTGGTCCAAGCACAAGTACAACGTTGTCTAATTGCTCTGATTTTAATGCTAACACTGACTATATTTTAAAAAGTAGAAGACCTTCCATTTTATTTCAATATACAAGGAAATCAAACAGTTCTAAACATAAAACGCTAGAATTTATGGCCCAAGTTCAAGATGACAGTGAGTCTGATTAGGATAGGTAAGAGAAAATATTTTTATTTCTTTATTTTTATTTATGGTGCAATTTATAGAAATACAAAGGAAAATTTACGTACCTCCTAATTTGCGGTGAAGTCGAGACAACGTTTGTGAAATTGTAGATGCGCGGGTTTCCAATTCCTTCTTTTTATCTGAAACGTGAAAATTATTTTCAAATAATAGGCAAAACATTTGATACTTTGCTCTTACCCTTATTTATCTGCACTAAAGGATCTTTGTGTAAATCTTTCGCAATATAAATATTCTCGGCAATAAGTTGAATTAACCCACGAACTTCTTCAACCTGTATTAACATTATTTATATGTCTACTGCCAATTTTAAAGTCTGTGATATTTAAACGGTGACTTAACTGTGTGCATATGTATAGGAATACATACTTCATCAAATACTTGCTGCAGTTTTTTATTTCGAGATATGTTGATGTGTATATCTTGTATTAATCCCTTGCCGAACTTATTGTTATTCATTTGAGCCTAAAGAGAAGTAGAAATAAATATTACACATTGAAAATAGTATTCAAGGAATGTAAAAAGTATATTAGCTTTTCGAAATGAAGCTACTTGTGGTTCAACGTTTGCTATGGTAGTTCCTATAGATTATAATATTAACGTGAATGGCATTTCCACATGTAATTTTATTCAATTTAACATTTCATTATAAGCAATAATTTTCATCCTTGATTTTCGCGAGTAATGAAATACTAACGGCGTGTAACTCCGCTATTCGATCGCGAACCATCGTGAATATCGCTTGAGGATCAATGTGTAACTGATAATTCCGTAAATTCAATACACGAAGTATGCGTCCAGTTATCTATCTTATCAGTACAACAAAGATATTTGATAAAATTCGTCGTGATGTTAGCATTTTAACTGATAATTGACTCTATTTAGTCTGCGAATATTAGTTCAACTTTTGTGCTTATCCTCTGGACTGAACTATCTAACGCACTTCTCAACTAAAGTGTATTACCTTAACTGGAAGATGTTTTGCATCTGAAATGAAATAGGAAACAGGCACTTAGCAGATGGGGCACAAGGACGACTTTAACACGAGTTATGCACCTTTGCTTCGTTTTTTTAGCCTTTCTTTCTGTCATTGCGGTAATAACTTTTTTTCGATACACATAATCGGTTTCCTTTTTTTTTTTTTTCATAGGCGATAGAAATGTTAGACCTGTGTACGTAGATCTTTATATAAGTTCTTTCTGTATGAAACTATTAATATTTAAATGCGGTGCTTATTTATGTAAATAAATTCAACGTAACGGATTCATCCATTAGTTATTAACATTGTTGTTAGACTTAAAGAGAAAAAATTTATTAAAATAATATTTAATGTATAGTAAATAAGCTATTTTGTATAGAATGAAGAAAATGCTTTTAATTAACACATTATACTTGATTGTAATTTTTATATTAAAGTGTACAGCTGAAATTCGGATACAGTTCTACCAATATTTGACCTATTCTGTGATATCATGCAAAGCGAGAACGTTCGATATTTATGTATAAAACATGAAATTAATGTATATTTCATAGAATTGTAACTTACAGAGTGAATAAACTAGTACCCGCTTTTTAGAGTACTTGTTACTTCAACAATGTTTCGTATATAAATAAAGATTAACACTTTGGGAAAACAGTAAATGTATTTATTACATTGTAAAGTAACACCAAACAAATAATTACAAAATATCTCATAATGTTATATCCAAATGAAACGTCTTAATATCGTTTTGTAGCAAAATTTTAGAACTTAATTTTTACTTTCTATTAATTCCTTAAAATTTATCTGTGCGCGCTGCGTTATCTTCATACTATACGAATCAACAGGAAGAAATAGATATTGTACTACAAAATTATTGAATTTTGTATTCTCCAAGGCAAATCAATCAGTCTTATACAATTCTCAATTAGAACAAAACGATTGCATTATTCAAAAGTATATATTATATCCGTCAACGCCGAAGATCTTTATGTAACGATGAGTACATTGCTAACAAAATATATAGTTCTATTGTGAAAACAATTCTGTGGGATCCATAACACGTTACGTTGACATGTGCTTTTAAAGTTCATATAAAATATTTACAACAACAGAATGCGTTAAAATATATTTTACACTATATGATTTCTAATCGTATATACACCAGATAGATAGCTAATAGTTTTACGACAGAGTTTCCGACCACAGTCTTGGATAACGCGGCAAAGATCTTAGAACGCTACGGAATACAATAAGATTGCACTTACTTGATCACACTATTTTTAACGTGTCTAATATTGTACATCCAACGTGTAACGTGTATATATATATATATATTATATTCTCTTTAGAAATACTGATTTCTCCCACACTGGTCTATAGTTTTTTCTCTGTTATTTTTGTATATTAACTTCTACTTTACTGGGCGGATAAGAAACGTAGACTTTGCTAAGATGTTCGTGCTCTAACTTTATCCTTTAGATAATTAGCAACTTGTGTCTGCGAATGTCTAACAGCCAATTGAAGAGGCGTAACACCCTCTTGATTCACAAGCAGAGGGTCCGCACCTGCCCCTACCAGTTGCCTTGCAACAGTCATTTGCCCTGTTAAGGCTGCTGCGTGCAGAGCGCTTTCGCCGTTCTGGAACATATTAGGTGATTTCTTAACATCTGACGTGACGTCGTTTTTTATTTCGTCAAATGTTACGTTACATTAACCTTGCGGATTTTACTGTATACAATAAATTTGATGGCTGTATAATTAATAAAATAGACATACTTTGTATTACATGCTTTTATTAGGTTGTCCCAAAAGTTTCTTTCGTGAGTTGCATTCAATTATTTTCTGTGGCAGTGTTTATATAAATAGACAATCTAATTTCTTAGACATTGATGCTGTAACGGTAATAAAGCGAAATGAATCGTACACAATTCAGTAATGTAACATAAAACATAAAATATTGTGTATATATTAATTATTAATAAAACGAAAGAAACTTTCAGGACAATTTAATAGATTGACTTCCCTTCGTACTACTTAAGATACTTGTACTTACTGGAAGAATACCAAGCGACGGACGATACTTGAGCAGCTCACCAACGACAGCCGTGTGACCTTTATGGGCAGCTTTAAAAAGCGGTGTCGCGCCATCCTACAAAAGAAGATACAACATTAATTAGTACTCTTCTCATTTAGGACACCGACCAATCGTTCTCTCGGTCGTCTCGATAACGGAATCCAGATTCCTGCCAGTTCCTCGATCATTCGCAAGACTTACGTGTCTGGTGGCATCGACCTTCGCACCAGCTTTCAAAAGCCTCCTCACGACGTGATCGTGTCCCATTTGTGCTCCTATCCATAAAGGCGTGGCGCCGTCGGTTCGCGCTGCGTCCGTCTTTGCGCCGTGCTCCAGGAGGACCTCCAAGATGCGCACGTGCCCATTCTGAGCCGCTATGAACAACGCTGTGGCACCATCCTGTGAAACCAACGTTGCTTTCATCAATTTTGGTGGAAAAGGAACCATTCCTCATTATAATTCGAGTACAATTTTGCCAAAGCGATCGAGAAGACCGACGACCCGAGCAAGTTTTACCTTCATGTGAGCGTTCGGGTTGGCTCCTCTCTCGATTAAACCTTCCACCACGTCCAGGTGACCGCACTGGCACGCGACGAAAAGTGGGGTACCGCCATCCTGCAATCGCACCAGAAACCGTCGAGTTTCCTTTTCACGGTTCGCAAAGCGGTTTTTGGTTTCTGTAGAAACTTACTATGCTGCAGGAGTCCACCACGGAACCGTGCTCCAATAGCAGGCCGGCGATGTCCATGTAACCACCCTGGGCGGCAAAGAAAAGCGCCGTGGTGCCGGTCTGAAAATGAAAAACGATAAAACGCTGAGGTTTTTACTGGAACGCTAAAACATTGCTTAAAGCGAGGACACGCTTTAAAACTTTATGACCTGGAAAGAACGCAGAGCGTAGTAGCGTGACATAAAGCGGGAGACTGGTCCTGCTTTATCGCGTCTTTGAGCAAAGGCAGTAAAATTTGAATGGGAAGCGAGAAGAGGAACCGTTGACTGACCAACATTCTGTTATTCGAGTTCACTGGCGACTAGGACCTACTGAAATTTATTTCTAGAAACCGCGTATTCATTACGCATCGTACATTATGAAATAAGAGTAGAGGATCGACTCTGTCCAGTTATTTGAAAGGTGCGGAGAGTACTTTGTCCAGTCACGTGGGAGTGCCTGTATATTTTATTGTTCCAAAATAACTCCGTGTTCGGGTCCGTTGCTTGATTTTCAGCTGAACGCGAGATCGATACCTGCGCTCTTATTTCTAGGATGGAAGGGTTGGATGCTGATACGGGGATCAGGAATGTTCCTCGGCTGCGAAATATTTGAAAGGCACCGGTGAAAAAGGAGACGACAGTTTCCAAAGAAAGTACATCGAGCGGTAATTATCGCGGAACGGAGAGAAAGGTGTTGGCTGAAAACGGATGCCGTGAAAGAGACAATAAAACACTGTAGGAGCGACCGAGTGCTTTGGATGAGAATAAGGTTGTTGAGAAATAAGGGTTTCAGGGACCGGTGGGTGCATCGGGGTGGCTGACTGGCGCCAGCGAGGGTGAGTGATCTTAAGGGAGGTCACTGTGTCACGGAACTGGAGCTCAAAACGAGACTTAACAGAAAACAGCGATCAGAATCCAACGCCAACAGCGTGTCGTCTTCCAAAATGAACTGGAAATATATATACATTTCCAGGAAATGTTCCGATAACCTTAATTGCTTTCTTATAGCATTAGGTAGACCGGAAAGTAATGTCGTTTCTTTTACATTAAATTCAAACAAACTTTTAAATAAATTTCTATTTTTAATCAATTATGTAATCGCCCTCGTTATTAGCAGCCTTTTGCCATCGGGTGTGCGAAATTTCCAATGCCAGATTGATAAAAATTAACGAGCTGATGAGTGATAAACAAGTATTTAACATTGCAAAAACGGTATTACTTTTCAGTTCACCTAATATTTCACATACAGTAGTACGCCATTTCTGCACTCCTCGTTATAAATGATCCGAACTTCGGACTACCTTAATCTCAGATCACCTAAGCGGACTTTGTAAATCGTCTTCTACGTCGTTTGGAATGTTCGATGAGTTTAGAAACTCCGAAATGATCGAAAACTTCCATCGGGGTGTTACCTCAAATGTCAGACACGCATGGCCATCGGATAATTAGCACATTCGGCATTTAAATGTCACGTTCTTTACGAGTTCCGCATGCACGCGAGTCTGGGTCTGAACGGATCATGAATTTCAAATTTTATTACCGCGTCGCACACCTTTCGAATATGCCCCGCGTTATTGCAATTGTGTCGCCGGGACAGTTTCTATCGTGACGGTAATATCTGCGGGTAAATCGACAGCGAGAGCGACAGTCTGTCGCCTTGTCGTGACATGGCGTTTTCTATAATGGGACAGAGGTGTCTCATGGCCTATGGAGAACAGGCACCTTGTCGTGCGCACGGTGTGCAAAACCGACGTGTTATCAAAAGGATGCGCACCGCTGGTCTAGTCGGTTTAATTTGTTAAGACAGTCGCTCGGAAGGTGGAATATCCGGTTCCCGAGTTTCTTCGGCTCCGCCCAGAAATATAAATTCCCAATGAATTCTTGAAATATATAAACGTAATTAAGCTTCCACGTACGACCAGCAATTCATCGGCAAAGGAGAGAAAGTACCAGTACGTGTCACGAATATCCCCGAAGGGAACAGCTCGTCCAGGGCGATGCATACTGGACCTGTTCGCCGTGCAGGTATACAAGGCACTTTCACTGAGCTGTTCTCGCCACGAAGCATCGGCGATCATGGCCAAAAACCGTCTCCTCTAAAGATACAATTCTTTATCGTTGATTTCATCGTTATTAGATACAGAATTTGTAATTATTCGAAGAAGAATCTAGGAGAATCTGCACATCGCACGAGGGTGCACCTGTAGTAGCGCGACCAAGTTTTTACGACGCGATACACCGGTCTACATTCCTTCCCTTTGTCGGACGTCGTTCGCTTTTGGCCATGCAGAGATTGCCAATGCAATCAATCCTCTGCCGAGCTACGCGTTCCACGGAGTACCGATGTTTCTCGAACCGTGTCGAGCCGGGAGACATAATACCTATCCATTACAAACCACAGAAATTCTATAACGGCGATCAACCTGTCCATCTAGCTACGGCAAAATCGCGTCGCGGTCAAGTATTTTTTCCCTGTCGGTCTTCTACGTAGACGCGATCAACCGTGCTGCAGACCGGGAGATCAGTTTTCGAGGAAGAACTAGCGTTTCTTAATACAACTATCGCGCTTAGAATCGTAACACGCTGATATTTAAAAGGAATCAAAGTAATATTACGCACACGCGATATAGCATTCTTCACGCATCGGTTAATTTACGAGTACACTATATATACCGTGTACTATACTCTGTACGAACGCGTGTACCAATTAATCCGCGTCATTCAATAGAGAGGATGCTCCGATGGATGGCGGGCATCGGCGATTTATAATGAACTCGTTACTTCCTGCCGCAATCTGTGGCGTTTTTCAGCTCAGCGCTACTTTTAACAATATAACTCGACGCATACTGTAACCGTTGATTTGAAATTCCGATGAACGTGCTAGCATTTTTAGAAATCCCCGATGGTACGTAAAATTGTACCTCGTAAAATTTGTGAAACTCGATACATCCACGGAATACTAGGTAACGACGTGAAAAGACCGTTTTACCCAATCGAAAGTCAGTTCTCGAACGAGGCCAAACACGAAGGATCAGTGTGTCACGAGCTCCCACGCACGATTTTTGAGCCGATAGCGGCGGCAATTTGCAGAGGCGCGTTTAGACGAATCGTACGGTTTCGCAAGCGATCCCCTGCAACTCCGCGTGAGTTGTTGCACGCCGATGGTTGCATATTACGGTAGACGTCGTCGTTAAAACGCCGTGGAAACACGCGAACCGCTTCAGCAACCTTGAAACGCGCTCGCGAACAGTTCGTTTCGTACATCGGAGCGGAGGGGCTGTTTACGAGGCAAAATATTGGTCGGATCTATCCAGGCCGCGGTTTTTAGAAACTGTAAAACGAGACGAGCATAGCTAATTGCTAGTACAATTTCTGTGCGATTTCACTTTAGACCGAGTCGGACCGAGATTCATTGCGTTTAACAAAACAAAATCTGGAATTGAAAGCAAACGGTAATCATAGCGAAAGTAAGTTCCAAATAGTTAGTTAAAGCAAGTATCGTTCGATCGCAAATTTTTAATCTTTCAATCTTTAAACGTTTAACTAGTCAAAGAATCTCGAGAGGTTTAAGAGCTGTAAGAAGAAGATTGGCGGCTAATTGCGGCTCTTCCTCGTGCATTTCTTATGTCTCTTACTTTTAATCGGTCAACTCTCTCCAAACTCGTTCAGGCGATTCAGACTCGCGTTAGGAATTCGTTAAGATCGCCAGACAAAGCGCTGGAAATTAGACTGCGGCGTGTTTCGTCATCAGGGGCGTCACGGACGGCTTGTAAAAATAATTCTGGAACTCCGCGGTCGCGTCGATTGTGCAATAGGTCGTCGTCGCTCGTCGAGCGGTTTCGACGCTGGTTCGCATAATTCGTTCTCTTGTCGTCGTCGTTTCGATTCAATCTTGAAAACCGGGAAGGCTGTCCTCCACCTTGGAATTTAAACACCTAACAGGAAACTAACGAGTAACATCCGCCAAGTACTGCAAAGAAACTCGAATTAGATTTATATTAAACCATGCTTCCTTATAATCGAGTCCTTTTTACGACGCAACACGATGGTTTAATTAACGAATCGCGTCTTTTCCGTAATTTAAGGCTAACCGGATGTTCCATCTCCTAAAGTCGCGACGAGCGCAACGTGTCTTCGGATTTGCATACAATACCGTAATTCTCGATGGCGCGGGACACCAAGAAGACGTGGGCTCGGCGATAAATCCTTGCCAGAGCCACTTAAAAAGGACCACTCGACGGCTTCCTGGTGCTCCGTGCAGCGAGCAAGCTTTTTGTGTCTCGCTGACTCTCGCCGGGCCCATTGTGGCCGGACGAAAGTGTCTCGTACGTTTCTATTTTCGAAAAAGTCAGACCAGGAAGATGACTCGTCGCTTTTTCTCGGGGCTCGTTATCCGACCGCCGATGTTGCTGTATACTTCACGATATCGCGGGGATAAACGCGGAAACGTTATCAACCACTTGTTCTCAGAATATACATGCCCGTGTGACTTTAATCGCGTCAATGAGTAATGCGACAAATTCCACGTATCGCTATTTCCTACCTATAACTAACATTCCGATAGTTGCTATTACAAGGCTCTGAAACTTGACAAATCAACTAATGGAACTTTCGGTCGCCAGGAAGACTCTTTCAGCTGAGTGGGTAACGGGGCTGCGAGAACGCGCGCGTGCTAAGCGAGATTCATTCATTCTGAGAGTTCATTCATGGCCAAGCTACACGCGGTCAGGACTTACCAGCCTTCTGGCATTAGGATCCGCCCCTTGTTGCAGCAATTCGGTGACTGCCTCAATGTGGCCTCCGGCGGCGGCCAATATTAAAGGAGTCGTCCCATCCTGAAAAGAAGAAGAAGAGTCAATGACCTGGCGAAGCTGACGCAAATCGATTTTAACTCAGCGCTGGCTATAATGCACCTTTGCAATAATAACTCATATTCCTATCTCATTTTTCATTGTCTACCTCTCTATCTCTATCTCTCAAATCTCTCAATTCTGACTCAACTAGCAAGACTTTAATCGATCACGTTGTGATAGTGTCTCGATACGGCTATCACAATGGGAATTGTGCAGCGCATTGCTTTTTAATTGATTTAAACGGTCCGAGTTTCGCAATGAGCATCTCTGAGCCGGTAATTAAGCGTCGTAAATCTGTTGTATGATTCTCTCCGTGCCGTCCGCTTTCCGAATCTCTCTTACAATGTCCGAGTTTCTTCCCCGCGTTTCAAATGTTGTCGAATCGCCGCGCCCGTGATTCGCCGTGGTAACGAGCCAATTGTTGCGAAGATTCTTCAATTCAATTAATTACACAACAAGGTCTTCAACGACCTCCTACACCTAGGAGGGTAACAAGAATTGATTTTATCCCTTTCGTTTCTGCAACATTTATCGTCAACGTTTTGTAAAAATGTTAATAGTTTTCGCTATTGTCCTAGTTATTCTACATTATATAAAGCAGCCTTCATAGAGGTTTATTGAGTCTGGCGTTAGTACTAGTTAACTGAAGCATCAGGGACAATTTCGTTGACGAAAAATCGACTAAAATTCGCAAGACAGAGGGTCGATCGGTGTTATCGATTGCGAATTACTCAAGAGACGTCTCTCGAGAGTCCTCGGTACGAAAATAGCTGTGAGATCGGAAAGCTTGATCGAATTCCAAATTCTCTCGAACGCGTCGGATCGCGAGTCCGTCGTCGTCGCCAAAGTGGAGCACCGCGTATCCGCGTGTGATCTAATAAACCACTTTCGCGACAAGAAGCGTCGCTGCACGACCGACTCGCTCCTTTTAACGTCGTTTGCATAATGAGCCGACCGAGACTGGCGCCGCGTGAATCGTTCTTGTAACCAAGGGCCCACATGGGACACCCGCAGCGACACGTGGGTGAACCACGGATAGTTTTCCATCCAGACATGCGTTACTCGTTAGGTAGAAATTGGAATCTAAATTATAAAATGAAATGTTTCACAATAAATAACAAATCAAAATTGGTATCAATCAGAGTATAATGGATATGAAGAGAGCATTAACTACTGGTCCTTACGTATATTCCCTACTATTCATTTCTTAACATTTCTTTCCGTTTGAATGACGAATAAATTCCTTTTGTATACGTTCTTGAATTGTATTGATTCTATTAGGTACCGGCAAAAGTTCGTCCGGTTTATTCGTTAATTGTAACTATAAGTTACTGTGTAGTTATTATGTAGTCTCCGATAGTTTAAATAATATTTAATCTTAGCAGAGAGTTTCAAGAATATTTGTCTGGCAGTCAACGTGTCAACGGAAGAGAACAAATACTCCCGGCTGAGCATTTGCAATATCCACTTATCGATCGAATTTTAACTTGTGACGAAAAGTGGGTGGAATATGATAATGTACGACGATCACACCACTGGGTTCAGAAGGGGTCATGTGCAACAGGAACCATACCAAAATCGAGTCTCCATTCAAACAAGGTGCTGATCACTGTTTGGTGGACTACACGAGGTATCGTTCACGTTGATTTGCTTCCACGTGGCAGACTATTACTTCGGATACTTATTGCAAAGAAATTGACGAAGTCATTGATGAAATTGACGATAAATGGTGATTATTTTGTTGAATAAATCTATGATTTAATACAGATTTGAGTATTTGTATTTTCCTCTGAAAATCCGCACGAACTTTTTCCGGTACCTAATATTATTCGAGTAACATTCGTCCTGTCTTTGCTTATCCTTGTTCTACCTTGTCCTTGCAGTCGACGTGGACGCGTCCAGAGTCCAACAGAATTCGAAGACGCTTCGCGTCGCCGCGCGCCGCTGCCAGGTGCAATTCCACGTCCCAAGGAGACTCTTTCTAAAAAGAGAACAGGGCAAAGATATTAGTGCTGAAAAAAGATGTACAAATTTCGCGAGACTGTTGTGTTATAATCTTGTAACGTATTTCTCCGTTCCCTATCTACCTACAAATACTCGATAAAATCGGCGAGTACACATGCGGCCCTCTGTAAGTTATTTAATCGCTCGTAGATCGTTTTCCGAAATGTTCGCAGACCCACGTTTATGTTTCAGTCTTCGATACCTGCCCGTGAATAAAACACGAACGTTGGTTCCGTTCTCTGCATCTGTTTGTACTTCTTCGGTCTCGCTGCTAGGCCTCACTATTTCTGTGTGTACTTCAACAACTCGCGAAAAACGCGTACACGACCCCGTCAGTCGAGTGTATCGATTAAGCAATCATCATCGAGGAAGGTGGATGAACTGAACTCGTTCGACCGTAACTGAAATCGGTTATTTCTTTTTTTTTTTTCGCGAAACTACGCGCGGTTTCACAATTTCTCCGCTTCTCACGCGATCTGTACTTTTGAATACTCGTAGAACGCATCAGACGCCTTTCGAATAGCAAAGCTGGAAGCATTTATCGACGGAACTAATTGAAACTATTAGGTTGTCCCAAAAGTTTCTATCGTGAGTTGCATTCAATTATTTTCTGTGGCAGTGTTTATATAAATAGACAATCTAATTTCATAGATATTCGTGTTGTAACAGTAATGGAGCAAAATGAATCGTGGACAATTCAGTAATGTAATATAAAACATAAAATATCGCGGATGTATTACTTATTAATAAAGCGAAAGAAACTTTTCGGACGACCTGATACTTAGCCACCGCGCAACGGCCACGCTAATCCCGAAACGCGTGAAACAGCGATTGGAATGCGTATCGATAAAGTCGGAGAATCGAGCCCGAAGTTATTTCGAGAATTAATAAATTATACACCCTCTATTTTTATGCTACAATGTTGAGGCATTCGTAGTATCGAATGTGCCACCTGAATAAATACAACGATAACCTGCGTGTCCTGAGATACAAAAAATAGGTGTAAATCAACGGCTTTCGTCTCTTTTTTTTAGTACCTAACGGACTTTTGCAACAGCGAACGATCTTCGAATGATCGTGCTGTGTAAATATTTTTTACTCCTTACATAAATCGTACGTCGAGCGTCATAGCGTAACGTTCCGCTGTTTCATTCTGGTAATACGTGTTTGTAGGTCGATGCGTGACAAATACGACGATCGGTGCATTGTATACAAAAAAAAATGTCGTTCGATCACGGTTGATCGTTTATGGCTTCGCATCAACGCATTACGAACCGAACATTTTATAGCTAACTGTACCCAATGACCAGGTGCCTTCGTAACCCAGATGATCTTTAATTAATTATTAAAGACGTTCTGAAAATAATTCACTTTCTATTTTGGCTTGGTGTCGTTAGACAAGTCGAAAAATACCGAAAATTCGAAGAAGGAACACGAAGTTAGGAAGATACCTACCCTTGCACAGATTCATATTTTCTTTGGGGGTTGTTTCAATTAACAATGTAAATCTTATCGTATAAATCTCAAGGTGAGTTACAACGTGACTCTCACATCGTACGATCAACAGGATAAGAAGCATGACATCAGTCTTCCGTTGAGTTTTTTCTGATCTCACCCAGTTCTACGTTTTCTATGCACACATCGAGTGACACGTGATTACCCGATTACGATCAACGCAATTCTCTGTCGATTAGTTTTCACGTACGCACACGTTGGCCCTAACGAAAACAGATGAACAACTATTCCGACGACAAGACCGTTATTTTTTAAATTGTGCCCTTTTAAAAATGAACGAGTAAATAAATAAATACTTCAAGCGCGATATCTATACAAGACGTAATTAAAATGAAATCCAATTTCTAGAAAATGCATAATTCAAGCGGGAAACAAGTAATATGCATTGACATGATTAAAGTAGTACTTCAAGGGTTGCGATAAGGCGGGTATTTTCGTTTACATTCAATCGTATTCAGAAGAGCGATTTGCAATATTTTATTCCTAACGCGTCAACGTAAAAAATGATATATATGACCGAGAATATTCAAATTTAAATAATGTTTAATTCAAAACGTGTCAACATAGAAAATGGCATGTACCATTCCAATGATTAGATTGCAATTGAAAAAGAGCTTACCTTCATAGACATGTTAGATGTCACGTATAGCGCACCTTGCACGATCAACGTTTCGTTCTTCTAAGGAAAATACGGTTACACTTAATGTCAATGTTGCAATTGCATTGCAGTGCATCCAGCATGCTTACGTTTGCGTGTCGCGTGTCAATTGCAAAGTGTTTATTACGAGCAACGCGTGTCCCGACATTTGAACACAATTTCGTATCACAGACTGTTCGAAAAGCGCGTGAACACTAACACGTTCCCTCGTGTTTACGAAACGCGAAGGCACAACAGAGAGGCATCATCATTTATCGGATGACTTCGAGTCACCGAATGCCCAACGAAACTGTGCGAGCCTGGTATAGACGTGGAGTGTTTTCCTCGACGTCCGTTTGGTGGTGCCACCTGCCACGTATACTTCTTTTATTCCATTATTGATAAACTGAACCTTTAATACTTAATCTCGATTAAAATTAGATTCTTCTACAGATTTAGAATCTCTTGGAAAAGTATATCGAAAATGTAGGACAACATACTTTCGTACGAAATGTTCTTCGTTAAATAATTGATTTTAAAACACGTAGAACTCGCGCCTATACTTGAGTAAGAAACTCGTGGGATTCGATTACAGCCAGGACCGGCGTGACATTTTGCGGGGCCGGGTTCAAAAATTTTGCGAGGCCTGAATTCACATTCAAATCCTACACCGAGGAATTATTTATTTACAAATATATTTTTTATAAGATGAATATTAAATAATAATACTTTGATGATTTTTGTCACTCCTTTCAATTTAATTATAGCTACTAAAAAAATGTCTTGCATCCCAGCAAAAATTGCTTCCATTTGTTAATGGTATCATCAGTCTGTAAAAAGTTAATCAAAATCGGTGCCTCTAAAATTTAGTAATTTTCGTACACCGCGGGGCCTTTTAAAACGCGGGGCCTTTTAAAACGCGGGGCCGGAACCTGCCTTGCGCCGGCCCTGATTACAGGAATGTTCTTATCGTAATTACAAGCAAAGCGCAAGGAGCTAATTTAACATTTTGTTCTATTAATTTACCTAAAATGAAACCCACGAAATTTCAAGGACTCAATATTCTAACTGGAAGAACAATTCGATAGAATATTTCCTTGCTTGAATGTTACGTAGTTTGCGAACTTGCGAGAATGAGCAGTTGTCGTAGCCCTCTGGTAGTGTATCCCGGAAGTATCGTGTAGATGTTTTAGGGATTTTTTAGAATTTATCTACAAGGTTGGTAGCTTTATCCACTGTGCGACATATCCGCACTGTTGTGGAAAAACGTTCCTTACCTTACGGAGCCATTTTACGGCATACACCTAACAATAAAAAGTGAGAAAATACGTTAATTTAACAAGTAATATCGTGATATTTTAGTAAAAACTTATGTAAATTTTACGTTTTAATTTTTATTGCAGATATAACAATGGAAAACGACAATGGAGTACTTGTCGACTTGTATATCCCAAGAAAATGGTAAGCAGTGCACGTGGGTTACATGCGTGTCATAAAACGGAACAACAGTTTGATTTTTTTAACAGAAAATTTGCAAACACTTATGTCGATCTTTTTCTAAATATAAATGAAAGTGTCTTTGAAATCACAATAACGAGGATGAACCTGTAAAAATACCGAACATATTATCAAATTTATAAGCAAATATGAGACGGTGAGTTAACATCATATGTAATAGATAACATACATTTTTTTTTTATAGCTCGTCGAGTAATCGCATCATCCATGCAAAGGATCATGCATCTATTCAACTGAGCCTTGCTGATGTTGATCCTGAAACTGGACGTATGACTGACTCCCAAAAGATGTATGCAATTTGTGGAGCTATTCGACGTATGGTAAGTTATATGTTACTACCAGTACTTTGTATTAGAATAATCATTATTTATCTTCTTTCAGGGTGAATCTGATGATTGTTTAGTACGCCTTGCAAAAAATGATGGCATTTTACCTAAAAATTTTTAATGTAAGGTAATTCTACTCTTTCAATAAAATTATAAAAAAGCTAAACAATGCGTATTACAATACTTATTTATTATCTTTGACATTAGATTGGTAGTGAAAGAGCTTCGTTGTATATACCATTTATTATATATTTTGTACATATAGTTTCATATATGAAATAATGACTCTTTATATACATATATTATACAGGAAGTAAAACTTTTGAATATTTTATACTTTGTCTTCGTAGAACAATACTATTTCGTAATGATTCCAAAATTATACTTATATGTTATATAAAAATAAAAATTATTTTTAAAAATATAGTTGCTTATACTAAGAAATTATAATTTTAATTATTATTGTTCAACTAAACTGTTTGATAAATGTGTTGAAATGTGCATCTAATTTTGACCTTGGCATTATACACATATTTTGTAACACCTTGAACTCTATGGACGTACAAGCTGTAAAATATTTTAAGGAATTGTCAAGTATTGTTTACAATTGATGATAGTATAAATAGAATCTCGATTTATTATAATATCGTTTAAAAATCCTGCTTGGTTGTACATGAATTTTATTACCATAACTGCTGACAGCTAAAGCAATTTATATAACATGTCATTAATTTTAACGAATTTTAAATACTTTCATTATTTTTTTATGAAAGTTATACTGCTTAAATTTACTCAAATATACGAGACAAACATGCCTATTAACTGAAAGAATATAATTTTGTGCATATGTCATGTTATAGTTAGGAAATTATATTATATTATAAATATTTGACAATTTAGTTTTAAAAAATATTTTCGTCATATATATTAGTGTCAACTGTTGGAAACTTGTTTTTCTCGCACGAATAATCTTAAACGTTAATGGAACTGCATTTGAAGTATTCACCCTGAGTATATGCTATTGTATCATTCATTTTTTCCAATTTTAATGAATACATGACTGCAGTAGTAGGCCAATGAATTTACATATAGTCTAAGATTATTGGTATTTTTGGAAAAACATGTACCTCATAATCACAATAGGTTCTATCAACATAATAAATCGGCATATATACGCTATCGATATAGAAACGCTTACTAAAGGGGAATATTGTAAGCTTATAGAATTGGACGTTTTCAATACAGAATGTCATTCTAGTATAAATGGGAGATATAAGAGTGATATTTTGTGAAATTTACAGATTACTTGAATTTTTGTATCGGAAAATTGAGTACCATTTTTTCGATTTATTTTAATTATTATTTCATTATAAAAAGTATTTCACGTTACCAACCTATAGTTCAAACTAAGGTCTGTTCATCCGATTAGTAATGAATGTAAAAATTTTCTTAGGAAATGAAATCGCTGGTCAATTATCCAAGGCAATCTATCACTTTATAAATTTTATGTATATCTTACACTATTTTTATACACAGTTGAGTCCGCGTATCATACATTTAACACGGGAGTGTCCGATAAGGAATGAACACGATTAAATCGACGATTTTTCAAGGTTGCAATCGCTTCGGTAAGGTTTGCTCTCTTACTAAAAAAATCTACAATCGCTTGACCTGTTAAGGCAGATGCCAGGAACTGTTCCACGCTTATTGACCAATCAGGATCAGTGGATGAAGCTACGCTTGACGGGTTTCCATTTCGATCGGGCGACTAAAAATAACCATTTGTATTGTATTTCAAAATTAGCCGATTTATATAAATAATACATACTCGTTCAACAACTGAAGATGTTTGCTGAGCTGCGGTAGCGGCTAAAAGCAGGCTATCCTCAGATTCATCGCGGTCAACGTAAAATTTTTTACCGACGTCGCCTAATTGAAGTAAAAGAGTTCCTATATTTAGGAAAATGAATTTATTTTACTTGAGGACATGTCATTGATGCTGCTTTCGAACGTATAATTTACCTATTGAAGCTATACAATGGTAAGTTTCTTGCTCTTCCGGCTGTGCAGGGAACATGTCATAAAGAGTTTTCCATAGCGATATGAAGTGTCTTTGGGACATTTTTGGTACAGTCTTAAGATCCAGCGGACTGTCTTTAGATGCTATCATAGAACGCAAACTGCCCATGCTTTGAATTTCCCATGATTGATCGCCTTGCTGACTGTTTAAACTTGTCGATCGAGACAAAGTACCTACGGTAGGTTCCTCTGCAACGCTAATTGGCATTTCTAAGGAAGCAACGCTTTGTTCCATACTGTCAAAGAAATCTGTAGCTTCTGCTGCTACTTCTGCTCCATCTGTCATTAATCATAATGTTCCATACTTTAAAGCATTCTTCTTCTTCTTCCGTTATAATACTCTCAAGTATCGAGCAGCACTTACCAGAATGTACTGGCGATTCAAAATCAACAGGTGTAAGTAATGGCGGTAGGTGTAAAGTATACAGAAGTTTCAATCTCTGTGTTAAGTCGGCGGTTGCTGTCATTCCAAGAGCTTGCACTAATTCCCGAAAGTTTAGCAAACCATCACGATTACGATCCATTAACTGGTAGTATAACAGTACTTATGAATATTATCCGTATTTGCTTCATTTTATTCGATATAGTTAGGATACACGCGGATGTTAATTCTAATTGTTTTGTAAAATTTGATTGACTTACACGAAATAGTCGGGCAGAAAGAGATTCCGCTTGACTACATTTGCCCCATGGAGATAAACCACCGAATAATATTCTAAATAATTCGAAGTCTACTTTATACGCCTCATATGGCGGCTGTGTCGGATCATAGCGATCAGGTTCAGATCTCCGTTGACTCATTAATTCCTCCCTCACTAAACTCAGCAAATCCTGAATAATGATATTAGATTTTAGAGATTTATAAGTTCATATACGTATACATTCAAGATTATGTTACCAATACCTGTAATTCTTCAATTGTCATGTATTTGTCTACGATTACACTTCTAATTACGTTCTTTTCAATACCATCTTCAAGACTCTGAACTACTCTAAGTCTGTGCTTTAAACGAAGCCTTTCTATTCCGCCAATGGTCAACGTGCCGTACCGTGAATATGCTTCGTATATTAAAGTTTGAACGGAAATACTCTAAAATGAACATATATATCTACTTGTAAATTTACATTCATCTATATACATGAAATTCGCGATAAAAGTATTCTTACTCTGTTAGGAGTAGCACTGTCAACTGGCCTAGGGAGTACAGGTCCTTCATCATTGAATACACCTCCGAGGTAATCTGTTAACAACTGCATTGCTTCGCCATCGTCGCGACAATTTAGCAATTTATCTTGATTCCATTCCAGTACTGTTAATGCTATCTGACACAGGAAGAAAGACCTGTTTACTTCAAATTTCTTCTGTATGTACTTTATTCTGTATTCATTAGAAAGGATATCAATAAAATTCGATACTTCCACTAGCGAAAAGTAATTAAGGAACAGAAAGTACTTGTGTATATGGATGAAAATATTGTACCTGGAAAATTACTTTTGCTCCATCGTAGAAAAAGCAATCCATTATGTTCACCGCGCTACTAGTTGGCATAACGCTTAAAAATATTGTTAAGAACCATGAAAGTGATATAACTTTAATAAGACCAAGTTCCTGTAATCTAGCATGCAAGGTTGGTAAGTATTCAGCAGCTAGCTCTTCTAAAAGACCTTGATCAACGAGAGCACCCACTACTCTTCTGTCGTAATAATCGGGTAGTAACGATTCGCAGACATTACATAACTGCCAGAAGGCAGATTCTTCTGAGCAATAGATTAATAGAACCGAAGCTACTATATTCATGGCCTGACAATAACCTGTCCCATGAAAGTTAACCTTAAATTTTATCATTTTATTATTAAAATAAATATGCGTAATAAGTTTGTTTACCAATTTGTGGATTTTTCCAAGCGTACGCGGAAAGGACTCTTCGTAACGCGCTGATACCGGTATCGGATTGAAATGCCGGATGTTCTGGTAGTGATCTATGTAAATCTCTTTCTATTTCTTCATTTGCTTGACAAGATTTACCCAATGCTTGGTCAACTAATGTTTTATAAAGACCAGGATTCATTACCATTTCGTTTAAAGCACCTACAATCAAACAGGACGTATGTTTACTATGTACATAATATTTGTATCTATCCTAATTTCTGTTATATTTATAACATTACCAGAAAATGTAAGCCAAACTTCTCCCCTGAGTGTCTGTGGTATACCCTGTATTATAAGCTTTGCTGTCTCTGTTGTTCTGTACATTGTGATACCTCTTCCATATTCTGCAAAGTGTAATTCCCATTGCTTCTCTTTGGCCTCTTGTTTTAACGCTGCTTCGTTACTTAACGGAGCTTTAAATAAAGTCATTAACGGCGGCTGAGATTTCCAGTGATTAACAGATTTAGTTTCATTGCTACTGTCACTTTGAAGCAATGAGTTGTGGGTATACACGCTATCTGTACTCCTATTAAAAAACAAAGTGTATTAGTTCCAATATGATGATATTATAAAACACTAAAAATAATACGATAAATATGATAACTTACAAAATTGATAGTTTAGATTTTCCTAATAGTTCAGATATCTTTTGAACTACAAAATCTCTGTCGTGCATCTGAGCAAATAAAAACGACGATCGCGCTGTTGTTACTAAGATGGATTTGTCTATTCCTGTACTGGATTGATTTTCAGCAGGTTCTATGAGTTTTACTTCCCTCAAAGGTATAACTAAACTTACCAATCCATTTACCTGAATTATCATAGATACTAGTGAATAATTATACTCTATGTAGATATTTGTGTAAATATGTATATGTTTGTTAAGATAATTACTCTGCTTGCGAAACAAAGGTAATTTTGAGACAAAAATATTTTTCCCCACACATATTTTTTATTGTACGGTGTCCATAGAGTGACATCAATGCTACCATCCAACTTTTCACTTCCTGGTAATCTGAATTGTAATCTGTAAGCTTCAGAGTGTGCTCGTGCATCAAGATCTCTTTTTAAGAAAGATGGTTTTTTAGGTACATTTTTACTAAAAATGTAATTGTTGTTGTAGTTAACACAAATTTTCATCAGAAATATTAAAGGATTATCTACCTTAATTTATTTAAGAGTTCTCTATCCTCATTAAATCCACTTTTCTCATCTATAAGCCTATCAAATTAATAATGAAAGAATATTAATTTTGAATGAATTTTTATTTTACTGTAATTTGTTTTAAAATTCCAACAATGCTACCTTTTCATAGCAATATTTGTAAGTTGTTCCATCAATGAATATGTCTCAGATTTATGAAGAAACATTGAAAAATAATGCTGCAAATAAGATTACAAATTTTAATTATCATTAATACGATACCACAAACACTGGGTATTACATAATAAACGTTATATCCACCTCTTTATTATCTCTTGTTACAACATGTATACTGTCAGGAAATAAAATAGAATTGGTTTTACTCAATTCCGTAATATCTGCCCATCTAACCATTAATTTTGTTTCTTTGGCCAGAATATAAGCATAAAAACACATATGGTGTACTGATAAGTACAACCATCCTTGCCTAGGTAAACGAGATTTCCAATAACTGGAAAAATATGATATTACCAGATTTTTTTAGTTTGATAAAAATATTACACCCTAAGCATGATTATAAATACCTGCAAGAATAATAATTGACTAATTTATCCTCTTTTGGTATGTTAAAAAGTTGATGAAATTTGAAAGATACAGTTTTAAATGATTCTGGATCTTCTTCTGCAAATAATGTAATGCTTGTTTAATAGTATGAAAATTCAATTTCTAAATTAATCATGCAATAAACAATTTACCATCTGCAAATTGACAATCTGGAATACTGTTTGCAATAATTGATTGTATCTTGCAACAAACAAATTCGGTTATTTCTTCTTCTGTGTCAAATGATGTTAAAGTATCCATCAGATTGGAGTGAAGCCATTCCCAATCTTTCAAGATTTCTTCATGTGTTAAGGAACATGCAATTTCTGCATATGTTTGAAAACAAAATTGTTTGGTTGACACTGTATTCTACTATATATTTTATGCAAATAACAGCTTGTAATTTTAGAAATTTTCAAACAATGTATTTCTCACCCCAATAAACTTCTGACGATGGTGTTTGGTGAAGTATTCTAAAAGGTGGGGGTTTAGTGTCAAAAACACTATCCATAGTTCCCACCAATATAGAACTAAGACTCCTTGTTTTTCCATGCCCTTTACGGCGTTGTAAAACAAAGTATACAGTTGCTTGTTCTGTTACCCTATGTAATTAATAATAATCTAGTATGTTATTTTTTTTTAGTGCAAGATGCTTTTTAATAGAATTTTTATACATCACACTTAAGAGATGAGAACACATACTTTACAAACAATTACTACTACTTTATTTGATTTTAAACTTTAATAATAAACAAACTATAAAAAATATAAGTAAAAAAAAAACGGAGTAGAAAAAAACATTACTCGTATATTTTACATTACGAAATGTTAGTTTAAATAATGAGTAATACAATAAAGAGGGTATTCATTTTATTGAGATATTAAGCGTATTTTTCATTTTCTGTTCGCGGTGTGTGTACGTCAACATTAAAGGGGCATGAATTAATCTTGCAGATAATTTGTCAGTGATTTCAATAGCGCAAATGTCTTATCTCCTATATGTGCGCATCACAGTTCGTATTCTTGTATTGCATTTGTTATAACATAAATGCAATATCGACATAAGATTTAAAAAAAAAAAGTATGGAAATTTTCAAATATAGAATTTAATTTCGATCAGTGTTCTGTCATAACGTGAGCACATAACATCGCTAGACAAGTAGAGAATTCATATCAGGAGAACGGATTTTCTACTACAATCAAACATACATGAATTGGCAAAGTTTTGATAACATCGAAGCACGCAAGCCTTTTAAAAAGTGCTATCAGCTGTCTTTGACATACGATGTAAACAGTAATTCTGATAGAACATCGGGTATCATACGCAAGTATTAATTTACCAGAAAGCATTTGCCAGTAGAACCTCTTGTGGCTTCACCCACATATTGATCAACGTTGTTCCAGCACATATGGCACCAACGATACAAATTCAAACAGGCTTTATCCAAGGCAGTCGCAAAATTCGCTGATTCTCCAGCAGAAAAAAAATACTTGCCAAAGATAAACACCAACACGAACTTCACTACAAATAGTTTGTCGTCGGTATGTGTTGCAATACGTGATCCTGACAATTTCGCCATACGTTCAAATGAAAATGTTACTATAGTTTGCTTACTGTCTAGAAATGTTTTTTTACGACCTTCGACTCCGATTATCACTGAAGATATAATTCTATTGGGAGAGGCCACAGAATAGATTAGTAAAAGGGGGAGCTTACAAACTTTTTGTTCCTAAGCATAGCAAATGCTTCCTGATAGCAGCCAACGTCTGAACGATACTAATATTATTTTTTATGTTAGTGGCGCCATCGGTGGCAAAACATCCAAGTTTGTAGTGAAAATAGTTTTCGCTATTTCTATAAGATATACTTCATACATTGGTTATTTAATTTTATTTCAAGTTAATTGTAAGGAGGACGGGGTAGCACAATTTTCAATTCTGTACATTAGGATTAAAAAATATTTGACTATTGCATTTATTGTGGACTGTTACCTTTTAATCAACAATTCTTTATTTTTCATAAATGCAAATTTCTGGATAAGCAGCCACCAATTGTCAATAAACTTACTATTATACAGTTTTTACTTTTAGGTGGAAGTAATAAATAGACAAACTTGTTTCGTATTTTGCTTTTTCGTTCCTTATGAGTATAATTGGAGAACTTGCAAGAATTAACCATTGGTCAACCAAAGTTCTTAGCCATCTAACTGCAAGTCGCAAAAGCTTGAAAATTCATGCGAATTGATGAATCTCATGTAATAGTTGCGGCACTGTAGGTTTGCGCAAGTGACTATAGTTTGAGTCTGCCTTGTCGTTGCATTTTCCGTTCGTTGTCGAGAAAAATGGCGTCTCTCGTGGGTGTCCGACTTTTGATGAGGAATACCGGTACCCTTAAAAATTCGATCAGTCGATTTTGTTTGCGAGGTGTTGTTACACAACTTCAATTAAATGAGAGATCGTTTCACTGTGAAAGACAAAGTGCTATTGCATTTCTAACACAGGTAAACACTGGTCGCTCTTAATACTGTGGTTCTTGCGAACCTCATTCGAATAGTTTATACGACGTGTTTTAAATGCACGTATTATGTAACTAAAATCGTTACTGTTTTGGCAGAATACAGAATAATACAATATATGACGTTAATTCGGTCAGCGTGATCAATGTAATTGTCGCGGTTTTTAATACTTATACGCAGCTGATACGAATTTTATTCTTACGACGCTCATACCCAGAACTTCGTTTCGTTGACATTGTTGATTATACTTTGAGATACACTTGTCACATGTTTGTATTAAACAGCAGTAACCAAATATTTCTGTCCTTATCATATGGAATCTTTTCTAATTCTGTTAAAAAAATTTCTTGGATCATGGATTGAGGTTACATCAAATGTATACACATACATACATATCTATTTTATGTAATGACAATAATATGAGAATGGTTTAATACACACAGGTAAACAGTGCAAATATTCGTGCATATTCTACAGATGATAAAGCTAAGAAGGTCGAAGAACGTGTATTAAAAGTGATTGCAGCCTATGATAAAATATCTGCTGACAAGGTTATAAACTTACATATGTTTTATAAAGTATTGTTTTACAGGGAATAAAGGACACTCGAGTCAAGCAGGTGCGCCACTACAGCCATAAGCCACCACAAACCCTTGACTTTATTCGCCAGCGAGTACTTTTAGTACTCAATCTCTATGATAAAATTGATCCTAAGAAGGTATCTATTTACCACAAGATGATACATTATTGAAGATACTTGTGAAGATGTTTTTGCAAATATTGAAACACTTCAGCAGTGACACCTGTATAAAGGATGCACTATATGAAGTTGCAATGAATAATTAGAACCAATTATTTGATGTTGAACTCATCATTTTGATTATTACTACTTTTGCTAAAATATCTTGATAGATAACTTCTCAGAAAGATAGTGATCAATTAACACCTTGCTTGAATCGTAGTGTCTTAAAATTAAACTGATTGTAAATCCCTAATTTAAAAAAAAGATCAAAAGTTAAAATTAATTAATTTCATTTCTCAATTACTTAACAGCTGTTTAAATACCTCTGTATGTATATTAAGAACTAATGATCTTGAATTCTGTACAGTTGAAACTGGAGTCTCATTTCATGACTGATTTGGGCTTGGATTCCTTGGATCATGTAGAAGTTATAATGGCAATAGAAGACGAATTCGGTTTTGAAATACCAGATATGGATGCAGAGAAACTGTTACGACCTGCAGACATAGTGCGTTACGTCGCGGACAAAGAAGATATTTATGAATAAATAAATACCTCTGTCATTTCTGACAATGCATTAGTCAACAATTTTCATTTTTAAAACATTGTACAAACAAAAGAAAAACGATCGAACTTTATAACTCCTTCGCAAGCAACCATTTACTACTGATTTTCCTGTATATAGACATTGTTATTAAAATAAAGCGAATTATTAGAGTAACATTTTATTTTACGCATATCTAACCTGCATCTGTTTATAAAATTATAAGTAGAAATATTACTGTATAATACATATTTAATTCGAGAGTATTGTATTTACATGAAAAGCAAAATCCAATAATAATAATTAGTGGTATGGTGTCGCTAGTCTCTAGACTCTAGACTGACATTACGACACACCAGCTTTTTTTATATGATAGGATCGAACGCGCACGCTGATCAAGTGCAACAACTGGCAAAATGAAGATGGCGGACGGACCTACGATCCTCAGAAGAAATAGGCCCGGAACAAAAGCAAAGGTTAATAATGATGTCGTTTCTGTTAACAATTTGTTACCTCTACATTTTACGCTCCATTATTTCCCATACATTCAGTTGTTTGCAACGTACTTGCAGAAATATTTAAATGCGTCATACATCCAATGAAAATCAATGAACGGTCCACGAAACACGATTGTTTACACCCTAATAATGCTTATTATTCCGTTCATCCTACTCTCTGTATACGTCAATACACAGATTGCTTTTAATCATTAACATGATTTAGGTTATTTTACGCGTCACAAATATATTATGTTTCATATTATGCGTTAATGATAAAGATACGAATTTCGACAGATAATAATGAAGTATCATTATTGTTTCTTAATATTGGCGCAATTGTAATAATATAAGAACCGTGACAATATATCTCTTATGTTATTTCGTTTAGGACTTCTGCAGATGGTCCGATGAACCATTCGAAGAAATGGACAGTACGCTGGCTGTACAACAATATATCCAACAGATGATTAGAAGAGAGCCATCTAATGTTGACTTGATACTTAAAATGCCAGATTCACAAGACGAAGCTGTATGGAAATATGAACATCTCAGACAATTTTGTATGGAGCTTAATGGTTTAACAGTGAGGCTGCAAGAAGAATGTCATCCAGAAACTTGTACGCAAATGACAGCTACTGAGCAATGGATATTTTTATGTGCTGCACACAAAACACCCAAAGAGTGTCCAGCTATTGATTATACCAGACATACACTTGATGGTGCAGCTTGCTTGCTTAACAGCAATAAGTACTTTCCCAGCAGGTATATCTTTAATAAATAATTACTGGAAATTATGGAAAGGATAACATGATATTTAATATGTGTGTTATAATTGTTGTTCCAGGGTTAGTATTAAGGAATCGTCAGTTGCTAAACTTGGATCTGTTAGTCGCAGAGTTTATAGAATCTTTTCTCATGCATACTACCATCACAGAACAATATTTGATGAATTCGAGAATGAGACATTTTTATGTCGCAGGTAACATACATAGTTATGGAATTATAAATACAAATATTTTAAAGAGTTTATAAGTCCTTATTTTGATTAATGCGAGTGGCCTTCTTTGTTACAGGTTTACCGCGTTTGTAACAAAATATAGCTTGATGTCTAAGGAGAGTTTAATAGTACCGATAATGGAAGAAGAGGAAACAACAGAAAGTGAAGCCTAGGACTTGAATATTTATGTATATTGCCCAAAGTCGATTTGTCAGATTTAGAGAGATCATTGGCATTGCTGAAATACCTCTTGTAGTTCCGAATGCGACAAGAGTATTGAAAATGGGTCAGTAATTACTTCATCTAAAAGGCATTGTGAATTTCCAAATTTATCACTAGAATTTCTTGTTCTTTATCATATTAAAAATAAAAGTCATTTTAATACGAATTGTACAAAGCAAATTTTCATGCTTAATGATCATATTTACAGAGTCTGTTTATCATTCAAATGTTTAAGATTTCAAATGTATAACATAATCGAAAACATGAGCAAACTGTTACGTAATCTTTTTATACACAGTTACACTTTCCATTCTGTATTAGCAACTACACGTCGCTATAATATTAATTAACTCTTTTATGCGTTTACATTCTGAATGTAATAAAACAGTTTCAAATTGTTTTGGAAACTGAACTTTAATGTATATCACCTATATAAGTATCGAATACGTAACAAGAAATTCAAGTTTCACTTTTCTTCTATTATTATATACTTTATGCTTTTGTTTTTATGTTGTATATTTCTGTAAAAATACTTGAGTTTATTTAAATTAATAATTATAGATAAATTCAGACAAACTTTGCTTGAATGAATTCATTTCCGATTCTCACTCTCATGTTGAATAAACGAAGAAGTACCTTATTTTGAATAAATAAGTTATAATTAAATTAATAACTAAATTTGTTGCAAGATATTTTCATTGACTGATTTTTAATACATTAATATAAATATAACCTCAAATTTTGTTTGAATAGTATAATTCACAATGAGGGAATAGATTTATCTATTAAAATATAAAGAATGCATTGGTATAATGTAATCATAATCGCAGTAGAATAACCATATTAAATAAACTGTTATATGGTATATTAATGGCAGTGATGGTAATAAATGTAGTAGTATGCTTAGCTATATCATATTTATTTCCCACGGTAACGAACCTGAAACATTCGTCTTCTTTTTACTTGTTGGTACAAGTTTAAAGAAGTTACATTTTTATTGCCCAAAGGGTTAGATGTAAGAAATGATTACAGTCCTGCTGCGTTATCGGGACATTCGCATTTTGAAAAAAAAAAAAAAAACATTGCCGAGAAAAGCAATACCAATGCAGGACGATTATCCACATCACTGCCAAATACACAAGCTCTAAATAAGTAGTCTTCATCAGCGGTTAATGTAAAATTAAAGGAATCAAATGTACTGTCGACAGTCTTTTGTTTCGAGCAAAGACATTTTTGTAAGCTTGTAAGACTTTGATACAATGTTACTAAAGAACGATCAGAAAAATTGTAAAATAATCTGTCTCCCAGTTTCGCCAATGATGAACAACAGCGTAATCTAAGACTTTCAAACGATTTAACTTATTGTTCGCGAAAACACAGTAGCGGTGCGACGGTCTTTTTTTTTTTTTATTTTACGTTGCAAGTAAACTACCGCCGAAGGCACAGCAATTTTCGTACTATGTATATAATTTATAGTCGTTGTAGTTCGAGCAAGTTGTAATACGACATTTTCAACCTCAGGTTTTTTATATCATATTTATCCTTCCTTCATATACTGAAAAGGATTTTAAAGTTAGGGGTTGAAAACGTTCCGATAGTTTGCTTAGACTATAACGATTACGAGTTATAATTACTATCAAGCGAGTCGTCGATCTAACATAGAATTTCGTATTATTTAATATAAATAAGTTCGAGATGTTTGTGCACACCTGTCGTAATATTGTATATATGGTTTGTAAATAAGAAGTCGAAAATGGTGCGTTCATCAAAGGAGAGACCGAGACGACACGAATATATCGTTATACGATTACTTCTGTAACGAATGTGTATGTACCGACAAAAAATAAACTTTCTACTTGATACGGATACCAGTTTCATTTCTCTACGTGGTTGAATGCTAGAGTAATCGAGAACCTTTGTAAACGCGACAGAACTTTGAGAGGAGATGGTTTTATTTACTTCATTTTTGTAAACGCCGTTCGATATTCTTCCTCTCGTTATCGATCATTGTTTCCCCGTTTTTTTACTTTTACTTGGCGGCATTCCCGTTTGCTGCTCTTTCTTCGGCCTTTTCTGACCGGTCCTCAATCCCATCGCTGCGAATTCCTCAGCGTCGATACAGGTCACATTGCCTCCGCCAGCCTCCTGTTTCCTACCCTTCTTCTTATTTTTCATTTCTTCGCCATTCACGAATTCTCCGCGATCGTCGGGTGCCTGATAACTACATTTCGGACTCGTGTAATCGTCGCTTATAATTTTCAGATCAGTAATTTGTAATCTTCAATCTTTCAGAGCAAATCTAATTGTTCTTATAATTATTTACTGATTATTCAGTAATCGATATCAGAGAGATAAGAAGTTGGATCTTACCTAGGTACGGTCGTATCTTTTACTTCTTTCGTTAGTAAAATGTGTATTTCTGCTACGTGACGAGTCTCCGTCTTCGTCTCGAGTTTATCCTCCGCTTTGGACTTCTCCGACCTGAAAATCACACCTAGACTAAAGATCTCTCCTGGATTAAGTCAGAAGATTCAATTGCGATACAATTTATAAGACCCACTGAACGTAACGTAAGTTCGTGATTTGATGGAGTCCTTCTTGCTTCTTTTTAAACAATTCCGCGCAGGAAATGGCCTTTCCGATCCCTTGGCCCGCCGATGTCCAAACGACGCACCCATAATTGGGAAACTCTTTCAGCGCGTGCCCTAGAACGTTCCTAATCTTCGTGCCGCTTTTCACCTGAAAAACTGTCATTTAGTATCAATTTCAAGCGCACACTCCGTCCTCAGCAACGTTTCGCGTACGTACGCGCATCAGAAGAAACTTGTCTGGCAAGTTCGGTATCGGTACACCTGAGTCGTTTGGCTCTTCCTCCAAGTTCTTCGTCCATTTTTTCTTCTTCGAGTTCGATCTGCCCATCTGCATCAACGAAAACAGTAGAGTAAATTAGAAAGTTTCTTCAAGGAAGAATAGCAGAAATGGTTCCAGGTTTGAGTGGGCGAGGGAGAAAGAGAGGGTAAGTTTCTCTACCAGTGGGTCACGAGTTCGCAAGCATCACCAGAACCATTCATGGAACTTGGATCGACCTTGTACAGTCTTGGACAGAAGGTTCTGCCAGGTTCCTTCGTGGTGATCCGCTCGAGTTCCTGAACTTGATCTTATCCTTAGTTCTTATTTAGTTAGCTTTTGTTGTTAGTTCTTCTAAATTTTTCTAACATAAAAAATAGTTTTATGTTACTGATTTGTTATATTACTCGCATAGAGTACTTGGTATTTCACGTATATATCTATCACGGAGTTACAAAGTGGAAAACTTTTCAAGAGCGTTCAAAAATGAATTATTACTACTTGCACGCAATGTATTAAAAATCTGTGAATAGCGAGTTCTCTAATCTCCATTACGAGATCGTTCGAGGAAGTCCTGACCAACACTTGGACTCACGGTTCCCTATCAATCCAATCTCGATGATCGTCAATTAATATCGGTGACGATGGAAGTGGGACGTCCCTCGAAAGTTGGCGTCCGATATAATTTCTGGAATTCCGAGGCGAAGCTCGGAAAAAGCACCTGACGGTCGAGAAGGGATGGTTCCCCGTTGCGGTGAGCCGCATCGATATTTTCCAATCAGCATTCGATTGCACGGTAGAAACCCCCGCTCCCGGTGGCTTCTTCCGAAGGGGCGTAAGGGGGTTGCAGTGTAGGCGTATATGGTGGTGGTATGCGGCATAGCCGGCATAGCGCCGCGACGCCAAGACGCCATATTGCATTATTAAGCACCCCTGCCAGTCCCTCGCCCCTGCATTCCAGCATTATGAACGTTTTTATCCCTAAAGGGCGTCGTTTCACCTTACGGTACGAACGGCTCCACGAATAGCCTCGCCACTGGCTACTTTCGAGTTCGTTGCACCATTTCGAGAACTTGCGAAAATTACGGGTAGCGTGGAACGACCAGAAGGGGCACATCGAGGGGTTGAAGACGATAGGTCGCTCGAACGTTGTGGGTACAAGGAGAACAAACCAATTTTTAGTACTTTATGGACTCTATTCGGAGTGGAACAACGTTTTTCGAATTCGAGTTCCTCGTGGACCAACGAACAGCTTGTTGCTTGTTCCCAGTTTCAGTACTGCGCGCATTTCCTCTCTTCCAGCGTCTCTGTAGCAGCTTCGAGACTGTCATATTAAGACCCTGGCCACAGCCAACGAAGGCAGGTATTATGTTCAGGACCTACAATCAGTTGACGCATAATGGATGACATTTGGTAGTAGCACTCGTAAAGGTGTCGCTTTATATACCACTCATGTTTCCATAAGTTCCACTTACTATACACGTGGCACTAAACTTCGTTAGGCAGACGGCGAGATCCCCGCCACGGTCGATTTCATTTAAACATTTAACCGTAAACTTCCTCGGAGCTAACCCTAGTTCTGCACCTAGGCAGAAATCATTATTTGGCCTATATCGTCGTTCGAGAGGTACGCGCCTAGTCAGTGGTCACAGATAGTCGTGGCATCTACGTCGTCGAGCTGCCACGGGTCTCCGACAGGGATTCGAGAGCCCTTGTTGGACGATAAAAAAGCGACAAGTCGAACGACTGCTCGATCGTGGATCGTCGAAAGCGTCGGTGAACGAGTTTCGAGTGTCGCGTTCTTGCGGTTCGGTACCAAGAATCTAATTTCGAGTCGACGACGCGGTCGGTATCGTTAATGTGCCGTGGTTTCAGTAAAAACGGTAAAAGGTCAAGGGTTCCACCATCATCGCCAACGGGCGCCGAGTAGCTGGGACATTCTGCGTCTGACATCTTCTTAACGATGCCTACGCGCACCTCGCCCGCCGTAATAAACCATTGCTGGCTGCTGGAAGCACGGCTTCCAATTTATTCGAGTGGCCAACTCTTTCGCCCCGAAGATGCTCGACTCGGTCGCGAATGAACGACGACGGAGGGGAACCTGCGATCGAGAAGTTTTCCGGGTCGAAGGAGAACGGAACCCTATTCCAGCCAGCCGTGCGAACGATTCTACGCATATTTCCGTGTCGATCAGCCCGCGGAATGAGATTTCCCGTCGCGGGAAGTTCAACCCTCCTTTGATCCCACCCCTGGCCACGAATTCGCGGAATCCTTCCGGTGACTCAGCCTTTGGGGGATGCCCCTAACTCGAGCTCGCTGGGTTCTCTTCATTTTCCGATCGGAAACGGCAAATGTCCCAATTATCGAAGCATTCTTTGACAATCGAGTGTTATCGCATGATTGCGTTGCGATATAAGAACGTGGATACTTGTACAAGGTATCTGTCGCTTTCTTCGCAAAGTCCTTCGTGTTGAAACTTTTTGCTGGAACATTTTGGTCTTCGTCAAGCTCTTCATCCCATCCTTTCGCGATTCCAGACTCAAATCTCAGGAGCAAAATTCTCTGAATTACTCGCAACCCTTAAACAAAGACGCAACTGTCTTTCCTGGATTTCGTTCTTTCGAAAGTTACAGGAAAGGCCCGGAATACTTGAGAGACGAAGGATAAACCAAGATCCACGTTCGACTAAACGTCGTTTAACAAAGTCCAGCAACTTATTAGAAGAACTTCTCAGGGAATATAATACATACTCCCGCGATACGTTTTCCGTCATCGCGTCTCTGCTCGGTAAAAGTTCACGCAAGAATATCAAGTCGACGTATGATGAAGTGCCGCGAGTCGCTTTCCAGAACTTCGTCCAAGTTGCACCGCGGTAGCGAAATTTCGTCGTTCGGGGATACCTGTGAACGTCGTTCTCCATGCTGTTCTCTTGGAAACAGGTGACGCTTATGATCAAACTTGGGAGCAATTTGACGACGGATATCGCGGCAATCGTGGCCGATCGAAAACTGAACGCTGATCTCCAGGAAAGACGTAGGGAGCGAAATAAATTAACTATCGCGTTAAAAGTCCCCTTGGCCCTTTCGGATTCTGATGTAAAATTTCCATTGTTTGGGTCGACCTAAAAACTGATACACAGCGACCAATGTATCGGTACCAATATATAATAGTGGGTGGTTATATTTTATAAAATTGGTTTCAACTTTCGTGAAACAAAAAAGAAAGAGGACGTCCTTTGATCGATCCACGAAGGACACGTAGTTTAACACGAAGGATAATAAATGGTCAACGCGCGTGGTCGTCTCTCATGGCCGTGACGGTTGTCGGAGCCCTTCGAGGAACGTCAGAAATGAGCTCGAAATGGCAGAGCCAGACGATGACTTCCCACGTGTCTATTTCAAGCATCCCCTTGACGGAAATTGTCCTGGATCGTGCATAGATTCGTCCATCTCTGTCGTTCGTCCTTTCTACGGGGTTCCGCGAGGAAGATCCCCGCGGAAGGACGCGCGTTTGCGCACGAGTCGAAGACTTCTCGCTGCCTGGATCCTCGGTATATCCTCGGTGGTAAGCGTAACTCGGGATTGTTCGGTCGTGGCTCATCCAACGTGGACCGATCGGAAGTCCATCCTCGTCGCCGTGACTAGCAACAGGTAGGACGACACTCCTGCGCGGGGACCACGAAATTCCCTCGAAAGATTACCGAATATAGTGCGAGAAACCGTACCCAAATGGGGTTCCAACCCCGAGGATCGACACGGTACAGAATCTAAAAAAGAATAGTGACATGGTAACGTGTGTATATTTCACTCCCGAATGTTTGAAAAAGTTTGGTGCAGGCCTGAATATTAATTAACGTTCTAAACGAGTGTCCATTCGCTTTTCTTACAATCGAGAAATTCAGTCGAATGAAATTTTGAAAGTTGAGAAAACTCGGCAGAATCAAACGTCTCGGGCTGAGAAATTCGACAAACCGTGGAAAGGTACGCGCGAGGAGACCAATGATACTCGCACCTGCGTTAAAATTCTTCAACGAGATAGTGCAGTGAACCACCAGTTGCTCGAAGAAGCCTTCAGTGCCAATAAAAGTGAAGAAGTATCGCATCGGTGTCGATACGTACTAGGGAGCTGGCTATTTCGATCACCTAGTGATTGATACCATCGTGAAACCTTACGCGGTAATTCGGTAAATTCGAAATTCGTGGTTCCTGCTTCGAGTTCGATTCGACGCTGGTGTTAGCCCCACTGAACCGAGTTCGATTCGGGCAGAAGGTTTCGGATCAGGAGTCGAGACTGAAACGGATCACCATGGACATCCAAGAGTTCCGTGTGCGCGGCAAGGAGATGGTGGAGTACATTTGCGAGTTCATGAGCAATATCCACAACCGAAGGGTAACTCCAGATGTCGGTCCCGGATATTTGAGGCCCCTGCTACCTCCGGAACCGCCGCAGCAGCCCGAAGCCTGGGAGGACATCATGAAGGACGTCGAGTCGAAGATCATGCCCGGAGTAAGTGAAGAGAACGGTCGTTTGAAAAACGAGGGTCACGCGAAAAGAGAAATTGGATATCGATGGGAGCATTTCTTGCAGATCACCCACTGGCAACATCCAAGGTTCCACGCGTACTTTCCCGCTGGAAATTCTTTCCCATCTATTCTTGGCGATATGCTATCGGACGCCATAGGTTGCATTGGATTTTCATGGGTGAGTCGCAAGCTTTTCGACGACGGTAATTTTCCCCGATCTTTGAGCCGAACTTTCTCCAAGTTTCGTACTGTATGCCAGTCTGTCAAATGTAACAGATCGATGGTTGTTTGTCCGATCAACCGTGGTCCTCGACGTCTTGTTTGTTTTAGGCGGCCAGTCCAGCCTGCACGGAGCTCGAGACGATAGTCTGCGAGTGGTTCGGTAATTATCATTCGAATTGATCGCAAATGTCGACGAACGATTCATCGAAATATTCACAGGATCGTTCGAATTTCAGGCAAAGCTATCGGTCTGCCGACGGACTTCCTCTACTTTAATCCTGGGAGCAAGGGAGGCGGCGTGATACAGGTAAAACTTGATAAAAAATATCTCATAAAACAGGAACGATTTCAGGACATTGAGAGCTACCGTAATTAAACGCTGAAGAAATCATATTCGCCCTGACTCGTGTATATTAATTCTTTGCACTTGAGAGGTGACTCTCAGTTACCATTAGGTTTCGCGCAGCAAATCTACGATACCTAATGTTTCTTTAAGTTTCATTTCTTTAGAGCTCGAAGCGTCGATAAAATGATTTTCGGTGAGGTAAAGGTGACCTTGTTCTAAAATCTCGATAGCTCAGAATTCATGGCAATAGGATGCTAAGAAACATCTCGAGTTGCTGGAAGATACCAGATAAAAGACCTCGAGTGCAAAGGGTTAAACTTAACATTTCCGCTATCGTACAGTACCGCTTCTTCTATTTTCCGAAGAGCGCCTGCGTCAAGGCAGAAGTGTTGGAGGTCTAATAAAAATTTATTTCTCGCCGCGTTGGTTACCGCCGTTATTACTACACCTGCTAAATTAGATATTAATATTCATGGCAACATCTCGCGGTCGGTCATATTTTTCAAAGAAAAAACAGCTATCGTCTCGCGGACAGTATTTAATATTCAAGGAGGATATTTAAAAAATGTTCTTTGCGACGAATGGAACTTCAGGGCTCAGCCTCGGAGTGCATCTTGGTTTGCATGCTGGCAGCGAGGGCGCAAGCTATCGCCAGGCTCAAGGAGTCGCCTGCTCATGCACACTTGGACGAAACTGCTCTTCTCGGGAAGCTGATGGCTTATTGCAGCCGAGAGAGTCACAGCTGCGTCGAGAAAGACGCCATGATCTGTTTCGTGAAACTGAGGATCTTGGAGCCCGACGAGAAGAGCGTAATGCGTGGCGAAACTCTGCGTCAGGTATTAAAATTGCACGAGTTAAAAAAAGAAACTGATCGAAAGTACGATTTACGTTTAAGGTACAAAAATACAATTGGATATTTTTGTAAGAGTCTTACTGGTCCACGGAAATACCTTAATCGATATTTTTAATTGAACGATGCTCGTCATACATGCATACTTGAAAACATGCATACTTGTACACGCTCGATTCTCATGTTAGGCGATCGAGGCCGATACCGCCGAGGGATACATCCCATTCTTCGTGTCCACCACGCTCGGGACGACCGCTTGCTGTTCCTTCGACAACCTCAAGGAGATAGGACCGGTCTGCAAGAAATATCCAGGCGTAAGACGACCAACGCTTGGACTCGGTTGTTCCTCCGAATTTCTTCGAATTAGGAATTCTTCTCGTAGGTATGGTTGCACGTGGACGCTGCGTACGCGGGCAACGCTTTCATCTGCCCGGAACTGAAGTACCTGATGGCTGGAATCGAGTACGCGGACTCTTTCAATACGAATACCAATAAATTCCTCCTGACGAACTTCGACTGTTCCTGCCTTTGGGTTCGGGACAGGTTCAAGCTGACCAGCGCGCTCGTCGTCGATCCGCTTTACCTTCAACACACCCACGCGGACACGGCCATTGATTACAGGTGACGGTTGGAGTGTCCTTTCGGTCGAATTTCATATGTCTCTTCGATTGAACAACGTCTGCTCTTAACGCTCGACCCTGCCATTCGAGACAGGTGATCGTGAACCTTTCACGAGCGTTGTTCAGATCTCATAAAAATATTCTTTTCTGGCGATAAGTAAGAAAGTAAACGATAATTAGTACAAAAATAATGGTTCGAAGGATGACCTCTTGAATTCGCTTCTGCTCACAGCTTGATAAGAACGATTCAAAATTTGAATTCGCCTCGCAGTCGGTGGGTGAATATTTTTTGTTACGCGTTCGCAGACATTGGAGCATACCACTGAGTCGACGATTTCGCTCCCTGAAACTGTGGTTCGTCATGAGAAATTACGGGATATCCGGTTTGCAGGCGTACATTCGCAACCACATCGAGTTGGCGAAAAGATTCGAGGCGCTCGTCAAGAAAGACTCGAGATTCGAAGTTTGCAACGAAGTCGTGGTGAGCTAACTCGTAATCCGTCCAATCTGGTGTCATTAGTATCGCGACGAGTGTCGGCGTAACAGCGTGACGTTTTTATTTATTTGAAAAATGATACGTTTTAGCTGGGATTGGTGTGTTTTCGCGCCAAAGGCTCCGATAAGCTTAATCAAAAGCTTCTGAGCACCATCAACGATTCAGGGAAGCTTCACATGGTGCCAGCGAGAGTGAATCAACGCTTCACGATTCGTTTCGCGCTTGCCGCGCCGAATGCCACTGGCGATGACGTCGGCGAGTAATCTCATCGTTCTTTCGTGACGATTTTTGCGTGTCTCGATTCATAATTTCCTTCTTTCACGTTGCAGACATAGCGTGGAGCATCATAACGGACTATCTGGCCGAGTTGCTGGAGTCCAAGGTGACCCGTCCTTTCGTTTCGGATTCTAAGGATCGAATACTTAGAGTCTTGCTACTAAATACACATAAATTTGTTTATTAACACTTTCGCCGCGGACGACGAACATGAAAATATCGCTGCGTCCAACTGAAAATATATGGTTGTTTCTATTATTTTTCAGCTTTCATCTTTTTTGTTTGGCAATCATATTACATATAAAATAAGTTACCTCAAATATACGTTTTTCAAAATAATCATATATTAGAACATTTGTAAGAAATGTTTCATTAAAAAAAATATCATAATTGCTGCTCCCAGAGAACGGCTACCTATTTTCGTCCGCAGCGAAAGTGTTAAATAAGAAAATCGACGACGAAATATTTTCAGACGAATTTCTTTTTATTTCTTGCCGAGTACAATTGTACTTACATTGTCGATTTCAATAAAATTAGCATATTTAGTTCACAAGTCCTAAATACTAGTTGTCAAGCAGAGATGGGCAAAACCATAGGCTTCGAATAAATCCGAAGTTCGCCGACTCGTTTATCCCGTTTCCGTTTTTGGAAAATGTTTAAAAGAGGAAACGAGACAAATGTATCGGTAAACTTCAGATTTATTCGAAGCCTAGGGTTCTGTTTCTGCTTCTCTGTTTCCAAGGAGTGTCGAAGCTCCAAGTGCTCATGCTTCTTTTTCGAATCGCAGGACGTGATGGACGAGCTGGCAGACATCCGTGAGAAGAAGAGGAAAGCCACGCTGGAGCAAAGGAGGTCCTTCTTCGTTCGCATGGTGTCCGATCCCGCGATTCAGCCAGGATTTACGAAGACTCCGAACAGAACGGGAGCGAAATTGGACGCTCAGGCGACGATCGGTGGCATCGGCTCGAATCCCCATCCCGCGTCGTAAGATTTGAACACGTTGCTACGTTGAAAGTCCCCGGTCACGTCGAATCACTGATATCCACGTGTGTTTTCAGTCGTTCGTGGATATCCTGGCCACTGGCCTACTTGATGCAAGCGAAGGACGCTGATACCAGCGAACTGTCACTCAGGTACTCGCAGAATGTATCCGGACATTCGCTGTCTTCTAAGTTCCCATAGTTCCCATAGTTCCATCGTCGAAAGATTTTCTTACCCTGGTTTCTAGCAAACGTTCCCAATCTTCTTCTCCATCTGGATTATTTGTAGCTCGAGGAAGTCTGCGTTGCTTGAAACGTAAAATAAGGAGGCAATTCTTTCAGATTTCGTCATTTGGACACCATGGTTCGCCTGAAGGCGGGCGGGACCGGAAGTCGTCGCGGCAGCAGCAATGGCTGCAGCCCCGAGCCATCACCGTCTGGTTCTCCGTCCCGTGGAAGATCACCCAACGGCAGGGCGTAAAGTGCCCTTCCATCCTCGAATCGTCCAGCCATTTTCTAAGGTTTCTCCAGGTCGGAGTGGACCAGTGATCGTTTTTATACAAATTATTCTCGATGATCACGTTGATCGGTGAACCCTTTCCACTCGAGAGACGACTCTCACTCACCACTAGGTTTCACGCAGCAAATCTACCAACAATGTTTCTTTAGGTTCTATTTCTTTGGAACTCGAATTGTCCAGTAAAGGTGACCTGTTCCTCGAATCTCAAATTAGAGGTCTAATCTTCGAAGTCGATCAAAGCTTAGCATTCGTGGCGATAGAATGCTAAGAAAGCATCTCAAGTTGCTGGAAGATACCAGAAGAATAGGCCTCGAGTGCAAAGGGTTAATCATACCTGATCATCTCCAGGTACCGCAGTCATCTTAATCATTTCATCGGACACGGTTCCAGGTGCATGGACTAGGAATGGAACGTTCAGCGAGGAAAGAGATCCTTGGACCAGATACTGCCCGACGGAAACGAACGACACGTTCGCAGAGATCGACCGGAAAGGACGTCCCCGAATTGCTCAGCAACGAACAACGGAGCGATGTTTGAAATCGATCGATGGCTCGTTTAGATATGCGCGTGTGTGCCCCCTCCCCCCCCCCCCCCTCGTCATCAGTTCTCGTTGCGTTTTTTCGTTAGGGATCTTTTGAACTTTGTAGTAGCCGTTGAATAAGTTTCACGTTTCCCGTACCCCTGGCGACCGTAGTAGCTCAAACGCTCCACCGAAGGAGGCGCTCGATAAATACAAGTACACCTTCTTTACTTGCTTATCGATCTGTTTATATAAATGTGCTCTGTTTTGGATCGCCACGGAATCATGTTCCACGCGGACACACCAGTACACGTGTAACATACACACCTATATAGATATATAAATATATATATATATATATACAAGGTCGATAGTAAACGATTTCAGAAATAAAGAATCGAGTACTTGTTATTACGCTGCTACCTCCCCAACAAAAACCATGGAGCGTATCGCATAAGTTATCTAAGTTAGGCAAAGCACGCTCTATGGTGAATATAAACTAACTGAAAATGGATAAAACGAAATTGCAAAAGAAAGACTTGGTGATTTGACATTTTAATGTTGTTAAAAAAAAAAAAAAAAAAAAAAAGGTCATAAAGAGGTTGGTTGAATGCTCCAAAAGTCTGGGGTCACCAGGGTGACCGATGCAGCTGAATTCTGTTCGTTCTCTGTCGCGTTCTTTATCCTTTCGCGTTCGACGTTCCAAGCGTCCGTGATATTCATTCCATTCTATTTTAATTCACATTTTCGATTAGTTTACGCAAACGACGACGTGGAATGCGAGCGACTGTCCCATTAACGTACGTGTTCCCAGAATTCCGCCGAATGGTGCTACGTCAAGAGTGAAACACGCGAACGTAATCGACTTACGTTGGACGAGCTCTGGGGAATGTTGGGTACGCGACGTGAAACAATTCCTTGAGTCGCAACCCCGTGGCAAAACATATTTCGATCGTGTGAATCGGCTCGATTGCGACGGAACATGTTCGCGAGAAAGAGTAAATTATTCCCGTCGGCGGAGCGACAGACAGAAATCGATGAAAGATGACATTCTAATCGATCGTATCGGGTTCACTTTAAACAATATAAAAGAAAGCTCGCGACAAAAGAAAATTTCTCGACAAAAATCGCTCGAGTGAGTCTGTGTGCCTTCTATACTAATTACAAAGTCCACTCTTCTGCATCCCTTCGTATTTATTCCTATCATCGTTTTATCAGCACGCCTCGTTAGCCTCCTCTGATACCAGAGCAAACACCGTTAAAAATGTTTCGAGGGCCAGCTACTCGACGACTCCTTCGTTCATTAAATTCCGTTATACCCGAAAAAGCTCCAAAATGATACGCAAGTCAGACTTTTGATAAAAGTACAGCTGTACCGAACGCACAGCGTTTCCTTAGTCTCTGATATTTCGATTGGTCGCCAACAGTCGGACCACTCGCATCCCAATTTGTTTTGAGCGACGTGGTCGGCTTTTCGCTATCAGCTTTCGCGTTTATGCGAATAGTTTTACAAATATAGAATAAGCCCGCGTGGCTGGTGAAATTAATTAATTCGAACGCGGCGATCGCCAACCCTCGGCCGAGAATCCAATTCGAAAGCTACGGGACGCGAGCAGATCATGCGTGAAGGTGGCGACGAGAGAAAATGGTGATCACGGCGGTCTCCATGTGTGCGTTACAAAGATTGAGCGGTGACCTGTCACCGCTTCTCTACGGGTTGTTGTAAATGTAGGTGAAGAGTAAACGTCTATTTATAAACGGGGATGGAGGGGGCGAGTTTACTCCCCGTGCATCATCGACAACACGCTGGCTTATTCAAGCACCGAACCCCCATCCCCGACGCATCGCCATTGATGCCATCCACCCTTCGCGCGAATTTTCGTTCAAATTTTCGGAATCGATTCGCGGCCAATCGATTTTTCGACAATTAAAATAGCCGAGACGATCGATGAGAGGGCTCGCGGCTACGTGGAAAATGCTATTCCTACGAACCAACTCGAACGCGTGAAACGAAACGGAATTGAATTTTGAGAATTGCTCTGCAGAAACCTCATAATCTCTCTTAAGGGTTTTGGGTCCTCTCTAAAACTTATAAAAACTACGATATTACGATAATAAATTACCAATTATGCTCTTGTATCGGATCAACCTTCGCGAGTTGCAAAGAGGACCCAAATCTAACAATAAATATTCTATGAATACGTAAAAAGTTCTTCTAAACGAATCGAACAGAGCAGAGAATAATTTAACAATTACATTTCCAAAAGCACTCGTATTGTATCGTATATAACACCATGGAATTCGATCAGTTATCGCAAATGTTTGTAGGCGAGGGTGAACGCGCTGCACCATTTTCGTGTGTCGATTCGTTCGATAACCGTCACGGTGGACGCTCGGGTGTCGCGGGCTAGAATGAAGCAGATAAATTAAAAATCGTTCACGATCGTCCGAAGTACCGCCTCAAGTTTATCCGCGTGAAGCAGGGATGTACGAAGAGGAGGCGCGCAATAAAACTGACCGGCGCTTTGGCAGGTGCTACCAGTCTCCGTTCCGACGCGGGGCATACCTGTTACGCGTTTCCTCTGAAGCAGAGTCGCGCAACAACGATTTCGAAACAGCGGCCGTCCCACACAGCGGAGGAACCGTGCTCGGTACGAGCAACCGACGTATCGTCCGAGTCGATCGGTTTTTTTCGTCGGTTAACTGAGAAAAGTGAGTGAAAAAGTACAAGCCACAGCAGTGATTTATTATTAAATAAGACGACACCGTCGTTGCTCGTGATTCTCTTTTATCCCAGTTTTCGATTCTCTGCATAAAATCCGTACAGAATTTTCTTATCGAATACCGCTGATATATCTCGTAATAACAGGGATGAAACGCACCCTTCGTTACAGTCGCTTTTGCACCATACGAGGTCTTTCGTCGATTCGAATATAAATTTAAACATCGAAGAAAATAGAGTCAATCTTGTTCGAGTTTCGGTGGAAACGAAGCCCGTTTCACGGCAATTTAATTCAGATTTCTTTCGTCGTCCAAGTATTTCTCGCCAAGTGACGTTGATTTAATTCCGCGTATCGATAAAGGGTGCCGGAAACAGTCACGATCACGTACATGTTTGTCGAGTACGTGCTCAATCGTGGCGAGTTTCGATGACAAACGTTACAACGTTTCCTCGAAATTCCATTGCAGCCGGTGACTATCATGAACATCGATGAGTTTCAAGTACGCGGCAAGCAGATGATAGAGTATATCTGCGAGTACCTGCGCACCCTGGAAGGGAAGAGAGTGACGGCGAACGTGGACCCCGGTTACCTGAGGCCCCTTCTGCCGAAGGAGGCGCCAGCGAAAGGGGAGCCATGGGACGCCATAATGCGGGACGTCGACTGCAAGATAATGCCCGGGGTGAGTGCCGGCCGTGGCTCGATTATCGATTCCGACCTCTTTCGATGTTAATAATATTCGCGAACACGAAAAAATAGTAAAAAGTAAGGCGACCGTGAACAGACGCTACTCCTTCCCCGTGGAACGACACGGTCCAGCAATTAAGTCATGAGACTAAACTTTTATACAATCAGCCGTCAACGCCATCTGTCTATAAATACCATAACCCCGGTTTATAATCTGATCCAGTGGTTCTTAACCGTTTTAAAGTCGGCTCTTAATTTCGGCAGAGGATTCTTAACTCTTGCTTCGATCGAGACCACTTCTGTACTCTTCCTTAAAAACTGGAGACGGCGAAGTGCGTACTCTCTTTCTGTCTGCAATAACAATCACTATAATACGTGACGCGTTCTAATCTTCAAACGTTGCGTAAACTGCCATCGTACCGTTCATTTTCCGATCCAAGACAAGATCCGAGTAACTTGCTTAATTATCTGTACAATCTCTGCTAACTTCTCTCCGTTCGATCGCCGTAAAGATTCGTACATCCTGAAACCATCGAAGTAACAAAAGTTTTAAAAAACATTCCGGATGATATCCTTGTGACAGACGCCCTGTCGATTTTCAGATCACCCACTGGCAGCATCCACGGTTCCACGCCTACTTTCCAGCGGGGAACTCGTTCCCTTCGATCCTCGGGGACATGCTGTCCGATGCCATCGGTTGCATAGGGTTCTCGTGGGCGGCCAGTCCCGCTTGCACGGAACTGGAAACGATCGTTCTCGACTGGTACGCGAAGGCGATAGACCTTCCACCGGCGTTCCTGGCCGAGAACAAGACCTCGAAAGGCGGCGGGGTGATCCAAGGTTCCGCTTCCGAGTGTATCCTGGTCACCATGCTGGCGGCGCGCACCCAAGCGATCAGGACCCTCAAGGAGCAGGATCCAAACACCGAGGACTCTGCCTTCTTACCGCGTCTGGTGGCCTATTGTTCCACAGAAGCGCACTCATGCGTGGAGAAGGCGGCGATGATCGGCCTGGTGAAGCTTCGAGTTCTGGAGCCCGACGAGAAAGGCTCTCTACGAGGCAAACGGCTGGAGGCTGCCATCCGCGAGGACGTGGCTAACGGTCTGGTGCCATTCTTCGTCTCCACCAGCTTCGGGACCACGGGATCCTGCGCCTTCGACAACCTAGTCGAGATCGGTCCCGTGTGCAAGCTCTATCCCAACGTGTGGTTACACGTGGACGGCGCCTACGCAGGAAACGCCTTCATCTGTCCCGAAATGAGGCCCCTGATGGCTGGCATAGAGCACGCGGACTCGTTCAATACGAATCCCAACAAATGGCTGCTGGTAAACTTCGATTGCTCCTGCCTCTGGGTACGCGATCGCGTCAAGTTGACGTCCGCCTTGGTAGTCGATCCTCTGTACCTTCAGCACGCCAGATCGGGAGAGTCGATCGACTATCGTCACTGGGGCATCCCTCTGAGCAGACGTTTCAGGGCCCTCAAGCTCTGGTTCGTGATGAGATCGTACGGGATCACCGGGCTGCAGAAGTACATAAGGAACCACATCCGGCTGGCGAGACGATTCGAGACCCTGATGAGGAAGGACAAGAGGTTCGAGATCACGAACGACGTCAGGGTGGGTCTGGTCTGCTTCAGACTGAAAGAAAGCGACGAGATCAATCAGGAGTTGCTGGCGAACATCAACGCGTCCGGTAGGCTTCACATGATACCGGCCAGAGTGATGGGCAAGTACATACTGCGGTTCTGCGTGATAAAGGAGAACGCTACCGACGACGACATCGACTACGCCGTAGACGTGATCGAGGAACACGCGACGGAGGTGATGCTCGCCCATTACGCTGGTACCGAGGACGAGTTCCGGGCGAAGGGTCCGAAGAGTCCCGCCGCGTTGGACAAGAAGCTGGTGCGCAAGTTCAGCTTCACCAGAAGCGTCACCAGAGACGTTTACAAACGATCCATCTCGAAGTCGAGCCTCCACGACGGCGCGACGCCCATCATGGTCGTCGACGATAACTCGCAGGTCGAGACCATTGAGGAAGACGTGTTCTGCAACAGCAGGTAGACCGCGCCACAGCTCACGGTGCCCAAGAGGAGGGACCCGCTGCTATCGTTGCCGTGAGCTGCTGACGATGATGATCGGTGTGATGTTGTTTCAGGTCGTGACGATCCCGATGACGACGATATCCGGACGATTCGCGATTTGTGTGATAGGCAGGACCGCACGACCGACCAGGCGTCTTTGTCTGGGATATCGCAACTGCGCGAAATGTATGGTTGTTTTTTCAGAGAGCGGTGCTTGCGGTGGATCCGAGTTCCGAGAGATCGTTACGGAAGTATGTTTAACGACGGGGTTACGATAGCGTTTCTTGACGTACAAGTATCGGTAGGGTAATCGCTCGCGACGTAGACGTCTTCGACGATGCGCCAAGGATGTCAGACCTTCCTCGAGATGTTGGCAAATCGTTCGGGAATTTGCCACTCCACGCATGATTTTACGCAAACGTAAGTGCAACTGGAATTTTATTTTCGTATGACCGAATTCGGTGTCCCGGGACGCTAACATAATTGTTTCGTATCGAATGGAAAATGATTGTAGATAGAATAAGCACGGTGGCGCGTTGTATCTTCCGCAAGTACCAAGAAATTGTAGTCTTCTTTTGGGTTTTTCATTTCTGCAGAACGTAAACGTAAATATTGACAGAGTAAATATTTGTTAGGTTGATAATGGAGTACTCTTTCGTTCCAATTAACAAGAACTGTTGATTTCTGCTTACAATTTATTTTTGAATCGGACCTCACAATTTGCGAGCAAAAGCGATTGTTTGTTGTCTATAGCAGTGTTCCTGAAACTTCACCAGCTCTAAATAAAGGATTTTAGATAAAATCGATTCATTATAAACGAAAATTACAATAAAATTTGCTACTTTTTATTATCCGTAATGATCCCCGGACTAGTTTGAGAAGCACTGGTCTATAGAATAACGCGCCACTGGATAAGCAACTTATCGATTCGTGTAACAATTAAAAACATATTAAAAATTAATACGTAGTTGTGCAAAATAAGAGTCACTGTTAAATACATCGATTGTACCTTAGAGATACGACGTTAAATTATTTAATGAACGAATTGTATACGAATACACATATATAATAGTTTCTGAATAGATCGATGTAACGGAGTATGAAAGGATGACCTAAAATTTTACGGTTGAAATTATCGTCGATCGATGCTAATTATAGAGTTAGATCACGTATGTACGTACGTCTTCACTTTGGATGTTTCACCTCCAAAAAAAATTGAACCGAGTCATAAGTCGTATTAATTATTTAAACGAGATTGGATTCTAATCCAGCATGATACGATATGAATTGTGAAATGGAATATTTATTTCATATGTAAATCTAACGTAATAAAATCCAAGTTCGTAAAACGACAAATTCTTTCACTTCATTTCTGTATAATTACGTATTAAGTACCAATAAGTAGATAGTCCTGATAGCCAATTTAGAATTAATAAGGAATCATAAGATAGCCAGAGGTAACAGGAGGTATGGACTGCCTGGAGGTAAATCTGTAATTATGGTCACAATTAATTACCAATCTAGCTTTTAATTATACTTTATAGAGAAGTGAGAGTAAAACATAGTTAGGTGCTTTACCATACAAACATGGTGGGAGGCATTCGATTGAAATACCATCTTTACTCTAGGAAAATATAATACAAGTTTTTGTATTTTACATGTACATTCTTTATAAAAATATAAATAACAATTATATTAGCTATTACATTTGTCCACATTGCGATATAGTTACTGGAATTTTTGGTTTATTGTTTGGACCAGTAGGTACATTCTCCACTTTTCTCATAACGAGAAGTCCATCGATAACTCTTCCAAAAACAACATGTTTACCATCTAAGAAATTACATTTTGCGCATGTGATGAAAAACTGACAACCATTGGTGTCTTTACCGCTATTAGCCATGGATAATAACCCAGGTGAGTCGTGTTTCAATGTAAAATTCTCATCTGGAAAGGTTCCACCGCCATAGATACTTATGACTCCAGTACCATCGCCGTTTACAAAGTCACCACCTTGGATCATAAAGTCTTTAATAACTCTGTGAAAAATGGCACCTTTGAAACCCAAAGGCACACCGTCCTTTCTGTATTCCCCTGTGCAGAACTGTCGAAAATTCTCAGAAGTTTTCGGGCAGACGTCTTCGAAAAGCTCGAAGATCATTCGACCAATTTCTGTTGTACCCACAGATACGTCGAAAAATACCACTGGGTTATTTGGATTTCGAAGTTGAGCTTGAATTTGGTTCCACGTAGGCATATTTGCGCGTTTCGATAAAAACTTTCTATAAGTTTTCTTATTTTATTTCAGGATTGTTTACTCCACGATCATTTGTTCGGTAAAGTGAAGCACCGGTAACATAACCTCTTCAACATGTACAGATATCCACGCGTTGTCGATTGAGGTTAAAACTTGTTTATTTTGAAGCGTATCTTTCACCATACGAAATATATTTCTAACTCGATCTTTTTTACGTAATTATAGTACATTTATACAAAGTATTCTTTTGTGTTTGAGTTTACAATGCCACACGTGAAACGTTGGCTGTATACTTTCTTATATACTGGCGATAAAAGGGGGAGGAAGATATTAAATGCGGTGTACAGGTTAATATTTAATTTTAAATATAAATAATCAGGAATATTAGTCGTTGTAAGTCGTTATATTGTCGATCGCGTAATATGAATTGAAAATACGAATAAATAACTATTCGTTCTACAAGATTCAAAATCGCGTGTACGTAAAATGTGCTTACATTATTGTTTTCTAAATATTCAACCTCACTTACTTTTTCGCCAGACGTATCGAATGTTGATGGACAGCTATCGAAATCACGTAACACCTTATACAGTAATTATAAAATACATTCACGAAATATAATTGTTTATTTCGAAAATTCACGCGCACTCGTATTTCATTCCGTCAACAACACGTGACTGTTCCGCAATATTAGTTTCGAAAAGCGCGCGACAATACAAATACGAAGGAGCCAATTGTTACGTAATAAAAAAAACTGGATAAAAGTTGGTAACGTACGAAAGAAAAAATATGTTTCAATATGATATAAAGTAAAAGATAAACGTAGAAAATAAAATGCACTTTATTTTCTTATTGCACTTCATATTCTACATCGTATGTGGCATTTGGCTCATTTATAAATTACGTATCGTAAATCGATACATTAATTCAAAAGACCAAACAATTTATAAAATTGCATCAAGCAGAACTACGTAAACCTCAGGTTAATTTTTTACGATATGTTTTTCTTCTTTTTCCTCAACATAACTATAAATATGTTCCACTTAATATATAAATCATCATCTATCCAATTTTATTTTAATAAATGTACATTATTTAACCACATGTATAGTGTACAACCTAACTGTGCAAAAGCATATCTGGGAATTGTAAATCAAAAACATAAATCATTCAATTAAAAATGTATAAATATAATCGAAAATTCCCTATGTTTTAATATCAGTGCGTTTTCAAGACACATAGAAAACTGGTGCTCTACTACTATTGTTGGATACCTATATTTCGCAATTCTTTTTCCAACATAAAAAGTTTTCAAGTTCGTTATTTCCTACATAGTTACATTGATAGCACAAGAATATCACAAACTTGGATAGCGAGAAAATAACGTCAATTATATATGAATTTTAACATGTTCCATCAACACCGTTTTGTCGTCAAAACATTCTCCACAAATACCACAAACTAATTCCTCCCCATCGTCGCTTTCGTGTTGATGGTACTGTACGACTTGTATTACAGCTGTCTGAGATGCTCCCTCTTGTATTAACGTGTCTTGTCCAACCTCATCTTTTATATTTTGATCATGTCTAGTTGAATGATGAGTCACCATATTCATAGGTATATCGCTATTATTTATTTGTGCGATTTGACTGGAAAAGTTTTCGTGGTCCTGAGGATTTGGTAGTGTTAGAACAGGCAATGATTCGTTCTGCTTTGATATTAAATGTAAAGTGTTATTTTGTTTCGAAGTTTGTATTAAATGCATTGTAGTTACTTCGCTATGACTGGTCGTCGGATGCAGACTGCTTCCTTCCTGTTCAGAAGTGCCTCCATGACTATGATTAGTTTGCGAAATATGCATATTTTCTTCTTGTTTTTCATTAACTATCAATTGTACATTTTCAGATTTAAGTTCTGATATTGCAATATAATTTTCATTACGTTTTTCTGTGGTGACTACAAGGAAAGTACTATTCTGTTCATCATTTAAATCTTCCGATTTAATTGTTTCAGTAATAGACAAAAGCGCTTCGTTCTGTTCAGCTTTCGAAATTAAACGATTTCCAGATCCTTGTTTTTCTGGTAAGTTAGTAGTCAGAGATGCTTTTGATTTTTTCTTAACTGACTTGGGTTTTGACGCGTTATTGTTTGTTTTGGCTTTTGCTTCTGCTATCATTTGGTCAGAGTGTTTAACGATATGTGCGCATAATTCGTCGCGATCTTGATTTAGAGCACCGCATATAGGACAAGAGAACGGAGGTCCGGTTACTTCAGTTTCGTTTTTCCCTGCCGCGTGAACCCATCGTACGTGTTCTCTCAGAACAACTTTTTGATTGAATGCTCTTGAACACAGAGGACAAACGTGTGGTCTTTCTCCCGTGTGAATACGTTCGTGTTTCCTTAATGTTCCGCCATCTCTGAATGCTTTCCAACAAAATTTACAGCCGTATGGTCTCTCTCCGGTATGAGTTCGGTGATGTATTAAATATCCTTGTCTAGATGAAAACGTTTTGGAGCATGTGTCGCAATGAAAATGAGCAGGACTTCCAGCATGCGTTCTCCCGTGTTCCCAAAGACCCTGACGAGATACGAAACTTTTACCACATTCTGTACAAGTAAATGGCGAATCACCAGGATGGGCTGATAATCTATGCTCGTCCAATTGATTCTGTTTTTCAAACTGAGATCCACATACTTCACAGGAATGGGTTTTTTTCCTATGAATCCATTGGTGCCTGAACATTTTTTGTTTAGTTGTAAATTTTTTACCGCATTCGGAACACGAATGTTTACCCCACTTATTGTTAGGTGTACCTTGTTCTATATTATTTTGCATCATTTTTTTCGCGCAAGTTGTTTGATGAGTAGCTAAATGATTGCCATCTTGAAACTGTTTATCACAGTATTCGCATTCTATTGGCATGTTCCAATTTTTAGATGCATGAATTTTTTCATGGGACACCAGTGCTGTTGCACGAGAAAAGCTAATTCCACAGTGTCTACAAGTATATTGCTTTGTACCATTTGTTTCAATTCCTACATAATTCCTCTTAGTTTCGTTATTATATGATAATGTTTCAACTTTAACTATTGCATCTGTATTATTAAAAGAGTTCAATGAGAGATTGTATTGTTGATTGACTTGGTTACTTAGATTATTTTGCTGAGTGTATTCGAACTGTGTTACTTCTCCATTTGGCATTACAGTAAATTCATGTAGAGTGTCTATTTTTTCCTGAGGACTGGATATTGTATTTACTGTTGACTGTTCATTGTGAAAATTATAAGAGGGAACCGTCCAGTGAACTGTATCGTAAGTTTGAACTGTTTGTACAGATGAAGATGGTGCTTGATTGTTCTGGGATTCGGTCATATCTTCCGACCACTTTCCAAATGTTTCCTCAGACTGAGTACTTTGAGATTGCATGATAGCACGTCCAGCGACGTATGTGTGAATTTTCATATGGTTAGACAAACTAGAAGGCCTCTGAAAATCTGCTCCGCATATTGTGCACTTGTGAGGTCTTTCTACTTGATGTACTTCTACCATATGACATCTTAAGTTGTTTTTTGAACGAAATAAATTACCGCAAGTTCTACAAGCATGCGGCCTATCCACTTGATGACAAACCATATGATTGTTGAGGTCTATTTTTCTTTCAAATCTTTCCCCACAAGTCATGCAAGATAATTTAGTAGAGGTGCACGTAGTATGATGTTTGGCCATCTCATCTTGCGTGAAAAGGTTTGCGCAATTAGAACAAGACACTTTTTTATCTTCAAAACAAGGATACATCCCACCCAGTTGTCTGAGAGCTTCAACAGCCATGGATTCGTCGTCCCCAGACGTGTATTGTTGCTGTTCCTCTTGTTTAATATATATAGGGTATACTACACGGTTCTCATCTTCCTCATCGGAATGTTCTGCTAAAATTTCAACTGCGACCTGTGCCTCTGTTATACCAGAATTGACATCTGCGACAGATACTTCTGTAAGACCATCTTGAAGGATGCACTCATCGACAGGTTCGCATATCTCCTCGTGAGATACCATATTATCTTGTACACCGTCGTGTACCCCAGAAAGAGGAAACGTAACATACTGTTCGTTTTCATGAGCTTCCATTGCGTAGTATTGTTTGAAAAACACTGGAAGCTAATATTATATAAAATCTTGATGAACCTAGTTTCACCTCATGTTAAGTTAGGTCCTGTCACTACTGATAACCAAGCGGTACTCGTCGATGTGCGTAAACGCATTACAAATTATTGTTTCCTTCGTATGAATAGTTATGGAAATCAGTACGTGTATTTTCTTCTATTACACTGTAATCCAATACGGCGTACCGTCAACCTTTACTTTCTTCGTGTACATACGAAACTTTGTCTATGAAATTTCTACGACCGCCGAGTTACACGTGTAAAATTATGTTCAAGGAATTCATTTTAACACGCGTGATTTATTTGTTATATAAATTTGTAAATTCACCACCGTTCGAACGATGGTGTAACGAGGTTATTTGCACAGAAGTGCAGCAAATCGTGCGCCACCTGAAGTTGTCGGCGTACTTTGCGCAATGCCCAACAAGTTGAATATTTCGATACTTCAGAAGATTCGAATAACCAAGTTTACAAGCATTCGAGTATTTGTTTTTACAGCGTGTTGTACTCACCCGTTCGTTTGGGATTACGTTGTCAGTCGAGAATATCGCGAACAAGGTTCATTCCTAAATCAACAATCGTGTCTTTCCTTCTGTTAAATTTCGTTTGTGTACGATACACGAATGACACAAGCCACGAACGATTACAGTACACAAATGCACGTACGATAAAGGAATTACTTGAACCTGTTTTACTATGCAGGGGATAGTTAGTTAGTTGTTTTTATTAAAGTGATTATTTATAATAATAACATATTTACAGTTAACGAGTGTTATAACTGTAACTACTGAAATATGTAGAAATCGATTATTCCAGTTCTCGACAGCCAGTAAGGTAGGACGGTGGGAATTGTACGGGCGGGGTAAGTGCACATTTCTTTCAAATATTAAGTAGTTTATTTGAAATTTCCGTACGAAATAAGGATTGAATACTGAAATCTAGCCAAACTAGTACAAAGTTTACTAATAGTAAACCATTTCTACGGTAATTTTATATATTAAATCAGAAATTAGTGTCCCAGTCGGCGTAATCTGCTGGTGACGCCGTGTAATCGGGAGAGCATTTCTCGAAGTTTCTCATATCGAGGTGATTTTTAACCTGTAAATAAACAAATTAACGAACAATTTATCTCGTAATTTAATTAATTTCGCGAGAATCGACGTGTAGAGAATAGTTAGAAATAGTTTCTACCCTCGGTACAATGGGAGAAGGCATCGTTTGGTTTTGCAGCTCTTGCCAGTTGAAATAATTAAACCACCTGAAATCAATTCGACGAATAATCGATACACAGTCATAAAAATTCAACCCATTTTTTACACATGATCGCGTACCTATGATTGCGAATATCGGCAACATTGTTTATCAGATTACCGAGCCTTTTAACGGGATTATTCTGCAGCAGGGACGCGATAAATTGTTTCGCTGAATTTTTCACAGCAGGCGGTAAAAGTCTTTCATCGAAACCTTGTATAATTTTTTTGTAGATCTCCATATCGTTGACGTCTTGAAACGGTGTTCGACCCAGGAGTACTTCGTACGTCAAGATTCCCAGTGCCCAGTAATCAGCCGCCCTTTATTAATAGAAAACGATCGTTCGAAAAATAAGGTATTACATTAAGCGATACTTTTTCTACTTTTTTTTTTTTTTTTAAACTACATTAATTCCCGAAGAATGCTCGAAGGTCGAAACACGTAAACATCCAGCACGTAAACGTCCAGAAAAAGTTTTGTTAGCTAAGTCGAATTTGTTTGTACAATAAAAAGCTAGGAAAATATTTTTAAGGTGTTAGCCGCAGTCAGGAAAATGGAAACGGATAGTTTCTTGTGTAATAGAAATTTTTTAAAGGTATTAAATAATAATTTTTATGAATGAAATGTAACTATATTGGAAAGTATGTCTTAAAGAACTATAAAAGAATTTTTGTTCTAAAAAAAGGTTAGTCCATTTCTTGGTTTGCGGTGAGCAAGATTTCTTCAAACTGGTGCACCTGAAAGCAAAACCAAAGGGTAGATTCAGAAAATATATTAGACTAACGGGTCCCTGATCGAAGGTTTTTTTTATTTTCTTGTATCCTTTTTTTTTACCCTGTATTGAATCGCTTAATTTTAGTGAAAAAATTGAAAATCAATTTCAAATGTACGCCATTTTGTTTTAAATTAATTTTTTCCCAAAATCCTTCGATCGGGGACCCGCTAGTCTAATCCATTTTCGAAATCTACCTTTGTTTTTGCTTTCAGGTAAATCAGCGTAGAGAAATCTTGCTCGCCGCAAACCTATGTTTTTAAATCGTCGTCTACGTCATCGGCTGTTATGACGATGTAAGTTAACGTTTCTTAAAACAAAAAAATGTTTTTTTAGTTCTTTAAAAGATGCTTTATAATATACTTAAATGTTACAATATGCAAATTATTATTTAACAACAACAAAAAAAAAAAATCACAAAGAAATGTCGTTTTTCCTCTTCCTGACTGCGACTAACCCCTTAATAGAAATTTGAGAGAACCACGTACGCGTTGTAGCCATTGCACTGAATGATTTCAGGAGCCAAGTACTCTGGCGTTCCCACGAAGGTTTTCGTCTTATACGGGCCGACTTTTTTGCTGGCCCCGAAGTCAGTCTGTAAAGAGAATTATCGAACTAACGGAGAAACTCAAAATCAGTTATCGTTCGCTCGTAATAAAGAAACTTGCAAGCTTAGCGTAGCCTCGACTGTCGATCACGATGTTCTCGGGCTTCAAGTCTCTGTAGATGATCCCGAGCGAGTGAAGATGATGCAGACCTTCCACAACGCAGGCGATGATGAAACGAGCGGTCAAATTTTCGAATCGGCCGTTTCTGTGCAAGGCTGTCCTCAAGTCTCCGCCGAGGCACACCTCTATCAGGAAATAGAGATACCTCTTGTCCTTGAAGGTTTTGTGTAACCTGCAAGAGAAATTCCATACTTCTTTTTCGTTATAAATATGATTGCAATCGTTTTGGATCGAGATTTTCAATTACTTTTGAAATAGATTAAGACTATAGAAACTTTAGGTTAAAGAGAACTCAAACCAATCACAGGTTTCCCCCCAGAAATGTTGAAGATGAAAAAGAAAATTGTATCTCACTGCTGTTCTCTTTCATTTCCGCCATTTTCTTCAGGCCACAAAACCTGTGGTCGTGAACGTTCTAACAAAGCTTGCTCAAGCTACGATAATTATGAATTATAACTTAGATTCTTCTTTATCCTCATCCGCTCGTGTTCCTCTTTGCGCTTACTTGCAGATGAAAGGCGAATTGCACAGCTTCATGTTATTCTTCTCGTTGTAAATCATCTTCTGGAACCCACCCCGCGTGATCATGTCCTTCTTCACCTTCTTCCGCGCGAAGCTCATATTGGGCATCGATTTCGCGACCACCAGTTCCACTCTACCGTATCCACCTGTCCCGATCGTTCCTTCCACTTCTAAATCCGACACAGTCAGTTTCTGGAACTCGTCGTTCCAGTTGTCCTGCTCGTACGACTGCTGATGTCGCAGCCAGTTTTTGTTTCTGATAGACTCCATCCCGCCTAGGTAATCCAGAAACACTCTGACGTGAAACAGAAAAGGTGGCGTGTAACCCTTTAAACAAAGCCGAACAGTTTTATGAATGTGAATGTTTATGGAGTGAATATCTTGTTCGATTTACGATCTTTCTATGGCGTAACACTCGGCCCCGGGAGGCAACGCGATGACGTTCGCCTGTCGACGAGATTCGTTTTCGTACAGTGCTTTTTCGCCGAAATAATCGCCCTTGTTGAGCACCACCTGTTCCTCCTGTACGCCGTGCAATCTGGTTTTCGTGACTTGCACGTTCCCGCAGTTCAGGATGTAGAATTTGTTCCCTAGGTCCCCTTCGTGTATCACGTACGAGTTCGCAGGATAGAATTCCTGCAGAGGCAATACAGAAGCGATGGCTCCGTTGATCTAGACTTGGTATGATTCGTGTCAAGTATTGTCTTCAACTTCTTTGACTAAAGTAAGACTTAGAGTTGAATGTTTCGTTAGAGGAGTCTTTCAGAACAATTTCTCAAGTATTTTCTACACCTTCTTTACCTAAAGTAAGACTTAGAGTTGAATGTTTCGTTAGAGAAGTCTTTTACAACAATGTCTCACGTACCACCGTTATTAGGTCGGATATTTTCAGAAGCGCCTCTTCGGATAGGTCCTTAAATATCTTGATACGACGAAGCAGTTGAAGATTGCGTTGCGTGGCCTCCTCGGTGCCCTTCGTCATTATGGTTTGGAACACGTGTCTGTCAAGCACCCAGAGCTTTCCATTCGTATTCGCTGGGGAAGAAACGAGTGTCTCGTCAGTAAGACGATTCTGGGTTCAATGTTTAGACTTTGAGTACCGTCGATGGAGCACAATCTTTTGGTATTGTACAAGAGGGCCAGCTCCCCGAAAGCGACACCGGGGCCGAAGCTTCCGTGGTATGTGCTGCCCACGTAGATTTCGAACGTGCCTTCCTCGGACACGAACAGATGAGAACCTGGCCCGACACGTGACAATTGATAATATTAATGAATGATTCGTTACAATATTCCTTGTTATTCGCTTTAGAACCAACGGGCGATCATAACACATTTTGACTAATTAACTCAGCCCGTAAATGATACGATGCTTCTGAGAATCGATGACTCACCAGTTTCACCCTCGTAGATGATTCTCGTATTAGCTTTAACGTGTTTCGGGTACATCACCGAAATGATGTTCTCTATTTGCGTCTCGTCTATGTCGTTTAGAAATTTGTTCTTCAGAATCGCATTCTTGATGAGCTCCTTCGTCCTGCAATTCGTTAAGTATGTTGAATTCGGGAGCGAACGAAGTAATATTTAAACATTCGTCGTCTGATAATTGTATTATTTATTTAATAATCGTGATCCAAAGAAGGAAGTACTTAAACGTTGATTTTTCTCATTTCAGGTTTACGCAACGATTCATTTACTTTTCGTCCTTCTTGAAGACGGCGATCCGCGTGTCGGACGACACGTTCACCTCACCAACAACACCTAGTTTACGTTGATTGTTCAAATCTCGATAATACTCGACGCTCTCCCGCCGTTTGGACTCGAAGAATTGGACGTTGCCTCGGAAGACCTTTCGAAGACACAGGTAATGCATCGTGAGGTTTCTTTCCACTAGACCATCTGTCACTATTCGTTTACTGCCACATGTACTACGATGGACTGACCGTTTTAATTGCACGGACCTTATCTATGAAAAATCGGATTACGGGTGTATTCGATAAGTCTCGTATTATCGAGGATTCAAGTAGAATAAGTATGCTTTTTGAAAGAACAATTATCAGATCAGTCACCATTGAAATATTCTCTATAAGAATGGATAATCCTTATGACAATACAAGTGTATGTCATTGTAAGCTTTGGAAGAACTTTGTATTTGGTAGAATCTCGCGTGTATTCGTCACAATATTCGTTGTGACTTCACTTGCGTGTCAATTGTTAAAAGAACGGACGAGGTTAAGCAAGGTAAAAACCTTACGTACCTATGTCCGTTCTGATGATAGCGAAGATACAAGTGCAGGTAACGAAATTGTCAGGGTACAGAAACAAAGTAGTCGTGAATCTTTTTATTAATTCAAGTATAAATTTATTATCAATTCGTAACGCTAATGGCTGTTAATATCGTTGTCGTCGATCATCGGAGTATCATTCACACACTTTTCCTACGGATCCTAGATGTCGATATATGCATCGCGGTTTACCGACCCAAAATAGGTCGGTTAGCAAGTTCAAATAGAAAACTATTTTGATGTACTCATCGGTGATAACCACATCTGGCCAAGATAATGGTAATCCTATTAACGTTAGGTTTTTGTTTAACGATTGTCATTGTAAGAGTCCTTCTCAATGCACTTCCGCGGCTAGTCACTCTTATCGTTCGTTCGACAGATAAGGAACAAAGCACGTACTGCTGGTCATCGCGCAGTAATTTTTCTCGTCAGAACTCGGAATCCCATCCGGAGAACTCGTCGGGTGGAATATTGCGATCCGGTGGATACCTCTCGAAATTTCGCGTGTCGACCTGGCTTCGTACCTTGAAAAGTCCATGGAAAAAACTTGTTAATCGTCACGAAAATTGTCGGTTTATCACGACGCGTACTTTTCTTAACGCGTTCACCGCTGCATTACCCGTATATAGGCGACAGGATTTTCCGCTAGGGGTTTTAAAAACTCGAAGATGAGATGTTAAAGAAAATCAATCTGAATAAGATTCTTGAATTCTGCTAAGGTTGTAACGTCAAACGCTTTCCAATTATTTTAAAATAAAATCGTAGCCTCGTAAAAATTTTCTAAAAAATTAGCGTGGCAGTCGACGTGTTAATAAAACAAATCTAAAGAAGTGTGAAAATGAAACGTACCGTTGGAACGATCGGTGCTGGCAAAGCTAGTCTCTGCAAGGCCTGCCAATTGAATGCATGGAACCACCTGCGTGGACGAAATTTCGTTAGAACTCTTTACTTTTTCTTTAATGAATTTCTATTTACAAAAGACTCACTTATGGTCTCGAATATCCTGGATGCCGTTTCTTTGGTATCCGAGACGCTCCGAAGGATTCACGCGAAGAAGCTTCCTGATGAGGCTGTTGGCGTTCTTGCTGACGATACTTGGTATCCCGACCACCTCGATGCCCTTTAAGATCTTATTGTACGTGGTCATGTGGTCGCTGCCACGGAAGGGTGGTTTGCCAACCAGCAGCTCGTGAGTTAAGATTCCCAGCGCCCAATAGTCCACAGCCCTTTGATCGGAACGGAAATTGATAAATTAGCATCGACCAGCTACTGCGATTGGTTTCGGTCGATTAAATAATCATTCCTCCTGACGTTCTCGAAATCACTTGCCTGTCGTGTCCCTTGTTCAGAATGATCTCCGGTGCGACGTATTCAGGGGTGCCGGCGAATGTCCACGTCTTGTGTGGTCCAATCTTTTTGCTAAAACCGAAGTCAACCTGGAAAAACGATCCACGGATTATTCAATCTCCTGATGAGGCTGTTGGCAAAGAGTAATTCTTTCAAATTGGACAGCTACCAGTTTCAGGTATCCACGAGAGTCGAGCATTAGGTTCTCCGGCTTCAAATCTCTATAAACGATGTTCAGCAAGTGAAGATGATCGAGAGCCTCCACCACGCACCCTACCATAAACTGCGCGGTGCCGTCGTCGAAGTATCTTCTCCTCTGAAGGGACGTCCACACGTCTCCACCCAGGCACACCTCCATCAGGAAGTACACGTATTTCGCGTCCTTGTACGTCTGATAGAGTCTAGAGTACAGAAATTAATCTCACATCGACATGCACGTAGAGACATCTAACAGGTCTACAGATTCTCTTACTTATCGTTCAATTGGAATATTAATTGATTCATTATAGCGTGCGTTCTCTTTCTCTTACGTTTCTTGTTTACAGAGATTAATTGTAAGATAAGAATAGGATAAGGATAGGATAAGGATAGAATAAAGTGTAAAGAATTTGTAAACGGAAGTGGGACCATGCAAACCCCTTGGGAATGCATTAAATACATATATACATACATACATACATACATAATTAATTCTTGAATATGCAAGTAACATTATTCGCAATATAAAATCCATGTAACAGAGGGATTACAGGTCCTCGCTATATACTGACTTGCATATGAACGGCGAATCGCAGGCTTGCATGATGTGCTTCTCGTTCAGGACGTGTACTTGTTGCTGCTGCTCGACCATCACCTTCTTTTTGAGCTTCTTCAACGCGAAGCTCTTCTCGGAATCCGATTGGAGGGTGACCAACTCGACGCGCCCGAATCCGCCGCACCCCAAGGTACCTCTGGTCTCCAGGTCGGCCAGGGTGACGTTGGAGTACTCGTTGGTCCAGTTCGTCGGGGTCAGCGATCGCTTCTGTTTCTCGTATTCTGCCAACCAGTCCTTGTTGCGTATCTCGTCGAGGCCGCCAAGGTAGTTCAAGAACGACCTGAGGTTAATTTAGGTTTACTTAGGAGGAAACATTGTTATATTACCTATTATTAGATTTTAGATTTATAAGAGACTGTATTTTATCGCCACTCGGTTCACCGAATACTGGCTTAAGGTCGATTCAGACTATACAGACTAAAACACGCGTTTTAATGGAACTATTCGTACTATTCCCGTTGACGGAACGTTCAGGTCGGTGTCTGTTAAGTGTGAATAGTTCCATTAAAACGCGTGTTTTAATGTTTTGTCGTGTCGTTGCCGGTCCGTGTCGTATAGTCTGAATCGACCTTTAGTTTAAAATTCACTAAATTCACGGCAACTTACGATCGATCTAACGTTAAACATTCCACGCCAGGCGCGAGCGCCACAGCGTTGGCGTGCCTGCGATTTTCGCCCTTGTCGTCGAACAGAGCCTTCTCCCCGAAATACTGACCCTTCGCCAGGACAACCAGTTCCTCCTCGTCGCCGTACTCGGTGTCCTTCGTGATCCTAACGTTTCCACCGCTGATTATGTAGAACTTGTCGCCCTTCTCCCCTTGCCGCACTATTTTCGCACCAGCAGGGAAGAATTCCTAGAAGACACGCATTACGTTTGGATAAATTTCTCTAGGAGTTCTCTAGGAGACACTCACCACGCGGATGAGGTCGGAAATCTTCGAGAGCAGGTGGTCCTTCGGCTCGGGCAACTTTTGGAGAACGGAAACGCGTCGAAGGAACCGGACGTTCCCCTCTAGTCTTTCCTGGGCCGTCTTCATCATTATAGTGAGGAAGACGGATCGGTCCAGCACCCATACTTTCCCGGCGTTCTTTACTGAAAATACACACTTTGTTACGCTCTACTACATAAGCATTTGTTCTTGAAATTGATATATAGATGACAGAGATTTTCACTAAGGAAATAAAGCATTAATTCCGAAGATCGGATAGGATTCGTGAAGTTTGATCGGTTTGTACAAATGAATACTATCGTAAATGTTGATCATACGAAAAGGGGAGTGGGTGATTCCACGCGAAAAAATAGGTCGAAAATATAAAATAAAAACTTTTCACGGGAGGCTTTGTTTTCGAGTAAATCGTCTTTGAATATTTTCGAACAGCATAGTCAAACATATTAATTTGTTCTAAACTAATGGAAGGTATTTACCGCTGATGGATCGAAGCCTCTTCGTGTTGTACAACAAGGCGATCTCCCCGAAGGCTACACCAGGGCCGAAACTTCGTTGGAATTTGTTGCCCTGGTAGATGTCGAACTCCCCCTCCGCCGAAACGTAAAGATGGGACCCTGAAGAGTACATTGATAGATCGGTATTCGTACAGTCGTAGAGTACGAACAGTCAAGCGTTACCTATATCTCCCTCTCGAATCACCAAAGTGCCCGGCGGTATCTGTTTCGGGTACATAGCGGACACCAGATCCTCCACCTGATTCTCCTCGAGATTACCAAGGAACTCGTTCTCCAAAATGGCTCTCTTGATCTGCCGTCTACACCTGCGCCAATAATGCACGTCTTTAAACGAACGCTAACGTTTCGACCCTGGCTTATCGATTGCAATTCATCGTCACTGTGAACATAATCGTAATTCTTTCTGTTTCAGAACTTACTTGGCATCCTTCTCGTAGACGGGGGTTGGAGCAGAGGGTGGCGTCGGTGTTCTACCGATGACACCGCCACGGGGATTTTGCGCAGGCTGATCGGAACCGTCGGAGTTCCTGGCATGTTCCTGCTCGTTCTCATGATGCGTGGTAAGATTATTATTGCTCTTTGACCGAGGCGGTGGAGGAGCTCTACCTTTCCCAGTGGAGTTCAGGAGCGGTGCAGAGCCGTTGGACACCGCGGTACCTGGCAAGGGTCGTATCTGAAAAGGAGAGGACCTTGATACGTGGTACTTTGTTTTCCGAGTTTTACTCATTTTCCTTGGATTAGTTCTCTATAGTTCGCCGAAACGCCGTTCTATCGATTACTCACCACGCCGTTAGTCAGATCTGGTTCCCCAGGTTGCTTGTAGCTCGTCACCACCGGGCTCTTCGCGTTTCCATTCTGCAAAAAGCAACGATCATGCGACTGTTCTTCTCTCAAAAACGGTCTATTCCCCTAGGAAGATCGCTTACTATGCTTACACCGGTCGCGCTGTTCGTATCGTCGGTCCCTGGCCGAGGGGTGAGATTGATGCTGCCCCTCTGTCCCAGGATGCTTGGCCGCGGGAAACACGAGA